GGGGTGGAGAGGAGGACGATGGGGGCGAACAGTCCCCTTCCTCCCTGCCTCCCTGCACCCTCTCTGCAGCACAGGACACAGTGCACAGGCTCCAGCTGTGCTGGCCCCTTCCTTCCCCTTTCCCTGAGTGATGTCGGCTCCCGAGGCTGCTGGGCGGTGGTCTCTGGAGCCCCAGTGGCTCCCTTGTTGCTGGGGTATGCTGGTGGGGGGGCATGGGGGCCTTTTGCTCCTCTGGGGACAGACTGAACCCAGCTGGGACCCATTGTGAGGTAGTGGGAACATCAGGGAGGGTGTGAATTTGCATTTTGGGGGGTGGGGGAGGGGGGATGTGGCCTTATGAACTGGGCCCTCAGTCCCTGCCAGCTGACTCTGTGGATTAAGTAAAATTTCAGTGCAGGCCCCCTGGCTGTCAAGGGCTGTGGCGGCTAGAAATATGCAGGACCCCTCCTGCCTTTTTGTCGTTTTGGAGACTTTCAGCTGATTGCTCTGGGGTGGTCCCTGGGGGTGCTCCGGGGGGCCTTGCAGTGCCAGGCAGGAATCCAGCTTCCCTGGACAAAGCTGCGTTCCCTTAGCACACCCCCCCAGGCCTGGAGACAGCCGGTTCTGCCTAGAGAAACGCTTCGCACGGACCCCACGGACCCTGCTCTCTCCTTTCCGCCTGGCTCTGGCCCATGTCTACCTGCTACTGTAGCAGCAAGGCTTCGCCTCTGCTACTTCTATCCTTTCCTTTGCTGCGATTTTTATTTTCTTTTGGAAGTCTGGAGGGGGATGGGAGGTAAGGGTGGGCGTGGGGGAGGGGGAGGGGAGGGGAGGTGCTGAGACCTCGCCCCTGGGGAGCATGAGCTCCCTCCCTCTCATGCTCCCTCCCTGCCCCTCTTCATCACTCCGGTAGGGAGGGGAAGGCTCTTGAGACCACTTTCACATCAGCTTTCTCAGCAGGGGCCAGAAGCTGGTGGTGACCTTGCCTAGTCGGGAGAGAGCCCAGCCCAGCCTCCCTGGAGGAACTGAGCCGCTGGAGCTCTGCCACGGGAGCTCCCTGGAGAGAGACAGGATTTACATGCCTGTAGTTCATTCGCTGTGTAGGGAGGTTGCAGTAATGTTGGCAGTGACTTAGAACAAGGGGACCTGGTAACCGCACTCTCGGATATTGGGGTGCAGAAGGGCAGGGTCGCTCTCCCAGTGAGGACGGGGGAGGGAGAAAAGGGAAGTGCAGGTGTGTCTTCATGCCAGAGACCCCCATGCTCTCTCCCTGGGGGACGCCTCACCTCGGTGTGCAGTTCCTTCTGTTTTAACTGAAACAAAACCAGAGGCATCTCCCCGAATCCTCCTCTCCTTACAGATGAAGCTTCTCAAAAGCCCAGGACGGGCCTGTAGTGTGAAAATGTTGGGTAAAATGCAGGCGTGTTAGAGCACACACAGACAAGTAGAGTGCCAGCAACTGTTTTATGTCCATCAAGGAAAAAGAGCTCGGGCTGGAAGCTGGCACGATGGGGCAGGCGTTTGTCTGGCATGCAGCTGACCTGGGTTCGATCCTGGGCACCCCAGGAGTAATTCCTGAGTTCAGAGTGAGGAGTAATCCCTGAAATCCCTGAGCATTTCTGGGTGTGGCCCAAACACCAAAAAGAAAAAAAGAAGAAGAAGAAGAAGAAAATCCAGAGTCACATGTAACAGAAAAGAAGAAGAAAAGTTGAGTCACATGTAACAGAAAAGAAGAAAAGCCAGAGTCAAGTGTAACAGAAAAGACAGCACCAGCAGGAGTGTGTGGGTGCCGCTTGGGGCCACGCGCTCTGCCTGCTGGCCGGAGCTCGAGTCTGCAGTCTGCAGGTGTTGGCCACAGGGAGAGGCTCTGGTGGCAGATGAGACCATGAGCTCCCACTATCCTGTTTCTTTCTTTGTTCTTGGGCCACTCCTGGCAGTGCTCAGGACTGACTTCTGACCTAGGCATCACTCCTGTCACACTCGGGAGACCCTTAGCGATTGCCGGGGATCAAACCTGGGTGGGCCACATGCAAGACAAGCACCCTGCCCGCCGTACTCTCTACCTACTGTCTCTTCTTAATAGCATGTCAGAAGTTCTCGGACTCAGCAGGGATCCCTTCGATGACTAACAAGACTGATACCATTTCTCAGAAGGCCAAATCCAGTTCCAAAATGAATCTCCAGTGGACGCCTACTGTCTGCTAGTCGGTTGACCACGTTTGTAGGGCAGGAACATGATGTCACCATGGTCCCTAAGAACTTACAAGCGTGAAGAAAACAGGCCAAACACGCTGTGGTCTTGGCTGCAGGGAGCCCTCGAGGGCCTTGGCTTCAGTGGCAGGAAAAACGAGAATAAATCAGTGGATTTTATCGAAGAGCAAAGCTTCTCCAGGGAAAGAAGCTATGGGAGATACTTGTGCACTGCAGCTAGCAGAGGGCTCATGTCCTCGACAGTTACGGAACTTCTCAACCCCGCGACCAGCAAACAAACGTTCCCATCAGAAAATGGGAAGAAGCAGAGAGCAGACACATTTCCAAAGGAGACAAGCAGACAGCCAACAGCCAACGGGGACATGACAACAAATGCCCTTTATCTCCGACGATCAGAGGAAACCAAGACGAAATGACAGCGAGCCCTCACCCTCACTCAGAGCTTTGGCCTGGCACCAGCGAGGCCAGACGTAAGTGCTGGAAGGGCGTGGGGGAAGGACCCCTCAGGCATCACGGCTGGCAGGCAGATGGCTTTCGTCTTGTGAAAGTGAGCTCTCAGAACATCAAAAATGGGTCTAGCACCTGACCCAGCAGTTCCACTCCTAGGTATCAACCCGAAGGGCACTAATCGGAGAGATGTCCATATGGCCACGAGTATGCCGGGATGAGTCCAAGAGCCAAGCCTGGCGAGGAACCCAACTCTCCAAGGGCAGCAGAAGTGTGCTCTGGGACTGGGGAGAGAGTTCGGGGGGGCTCTGCTGCCCACCTGGTGCTCAAAACTCTGTGGTCTGTGCCTGTATACACAACCAAACATCACCTGTTTACACACAGTGGTCTTTTCTTGGGGTGGGGGTAGGGCGCTCCCAGCAATGCTTAGCGCTTACTCCTGGCTCTGTGGTTGGGGACCACTCCTGGCTGGGCTCGGGGGACCACATGGATTGCCGGGGATCAGCTCAGGTCGGCCATGCGCAAGGCCAGCAACATACCTGCTGTACTATCACTCCGCCCCTCCCCCCACCTGCCTATAACAAAAAATAAAATCTTGCATTTTGCAACAAAATGGATGAAACTGGAGGGTGTCATGTTAAGTCAAAAAACAAAATATGTCAGGGAGAAAGACTCGCTCATGTGAGAAGCAAAGCAAGGGGACAAAGACAAGACGGATGAGAAGAAACCCTTGGGCTCTGACCGCCAGGAGCACGTTTTGGGAGGGGGCTTGAGGAGGGGGGGCAGTAGTGTGAGATTAGGGCCCCCAGATCGAGCAGGTTATGGCTGGCAGCGGGTCCAGAGCAGCAGGGAACAGCTAACGTATGTGATGTCAGCCTGGTTCTAAAATATATTAGTCGACTGGGAGGATGGGAAAAGATATGAAGTAAGATTCGTTGGAGTTCAATGCAGACCTCCCCACCCATTTTAGAAATCAGTGAAATCAGTGAAAGGACTGGGGAGAGACATAGTCTGAATAACAGTCTATGAGAGTCTTGGATTCTATTGCTATTATTTCATCATTTTGTTTTCTGGCCACACCTCGTGGTACTCAGGGCTTGCTCCTGGCTCTGTGCTCAGGAATAACTCCTGGCGGTGCTCAGGGGACCATTTGCAGTGCAGGGACATTGAACCAAGGTGGGCTGCATGCAAGGCAGGCGCCTTAACCCCTGTGTTGTCTCTCTGGCCCTCAGGGATTTTACTTGTTTGCAGGTTCATATTGGGCCAGCAGTTAGCCAAGGGAGTCCCGTAAGTGCAAGTGCATTCTGACGCCTCAGTCATTAAAAGTACAGACCCTGTGAGATTTTGAGACCAGGACTCCGAGGAATCAGGGTGTCTCAGCTGTGTGAGAGGGATCGAGTGAGCTGCGGGTCCAGTCTGAACGTGAGGGCCTGTCTGCATGTGGGCCAAGGGTCAGACTTACCTTAGCCGCCAGAAGGGAATGTTGTTGGCGCCGCCCAATGCATGAAGGACCCGCCAGAAGATCCTGGTTCCCAGAACTTCCCCCTGGAGCTCGTTGGAGCCGCTCACTGGCCAGGGTTCTGCTGGGTGTTGGGAATGAGGCCAAGCAGTGCCACGGACCGTGGGAGCCAGAGACTCAGGGAAGGTGAGGGTTGTGGAGGGCGAGGCCGGAGATGGGACAGACTCTTGGCAAGGGAGCCGCCTGGGGCTCACTGGGCAGGCAGGGTCGTGGCTGGAGAGTGGCTTCCTGTGTTGCATGGGCAGAAGCTGGGGTGGTGTCAGCGCTGGGCCCGGGTCATGCTCCATCACATTCATTTGGTAAGGCGGCTGTCGCCCGATGCCCATCCCAACCCGGCTGGTGGACGCGGCTGACGGCGCTGGGTCTGCCTGTGAAACCTCGGTCTCTCTGAGGGGTGTGGGACTCACCCTGGATTTTACCCACCGCACGTTCCAACACTGCACGCCTTACTTTCAACGCAAAGCCTCGGAGACATCAGATCATTCCCCTGTCGCTGGGCACCCCAGACAGTGCAGATGTAAGACAGGTGATGCCCCATGCGCTAGGGTGTGTGTGTGTGTGTGTGTGTGTGTGTTAGCATGTGTGTGTGGGGTAGGTTGGGGCTTGTTCTTCACATGTGCAGGGGCAGGCGGCCTCTTGCAGCAGGTTTGAGAGAGCAGGAGAGCAGGACCCCAGGGCAGCTGAGACTCTGGGAGTGCTCAGCCTGTTGGGGTCGGGGGTCCCACTGATGTCCGACAGCCTGTGCTGGGCAGAGAAGCACCCCTCGCACCCTGGAGGCCTCCCTCAAACCCGGGACCTCGTGCGTGCAGGCACATGTGCTCACCCAGACCCCAACTCTGTCCAGGCCACGTTGCCGGTGCATGGCCAGGTGCTGCCTTCCATGGAGGAAGGCGTGGACGCCGCCGACCCTCTGGCCACCCTGCAGAACCCCATGGACAGGCTGGAGGCCAAGGAGGAGGAGGAGGAAGAGGAAGAGGAGGAGGAAGAGGAAGAAGAAGAAGAGGAGGAGGAGGAGGACTCTGAAGAGGATGAGGAGGAGGACGGGGAGGACACGGACCTGGATGAGTGGGAAGCTGACCCACCCCGGCCCTTTGACCCGCACGACCTCTGTGAGTCCCAGTGAAGCCCCGTGAGGGGTGGGAGCCAGTCCTGGGGTCCCTGCACGTGTCCACACGGAGCCTTCCGGGTCCCGAGTTCTGGTGGGGGAGGGGCTCGTGTGATGAAGCATCACTGAGGTGTCTGTCTCTCCGGGGCTCCCCCGGGCCACTGTGCTGAAGGGTGTGACCCCCCGGACCAGCTCAGCGTGGATGAGGCTGTCTCGGTCATCACCTCGCAGAGTGCCCGTTACCTCTGGCCCCTGGCGCCTCCCATTTTCTAACGTGTGCCATGCATCCCAGTCTTGGGAGGGAGGCGGCTGTGCCGGATCAGACCCTCGGTTGCAGCCTCGAGGGGTCTGGGCATGTCCCAGTCCACCCCTTGGACCCAGCTCCCAGCTGCTGGGCTTGGGCTCCCTGCTTCCACCCGCCACGCCCTTCCTGACCCCCATTTCGTTGGCTGTGGTGCTGGTTTGCGGCCACGTCCAGCAGCGCCTCGGGGCTATTTCTGGCTCTGTGCTCAGGAGTGACCCCTTGGCCGTGCTGCGGAGGCGTTGGAGGTGCCAGGGATCAGAAGTCGGGGCCGTGGCTGCAGGCGGTGTCTGGCCGGGACCCACTGTTCCGATTCTTACCCGGTGGGGATCGAGGTTCTGGGCTGCAGGAGTCTCGGCGCCGGCCGGAGCTGCACTCCACCTCCTTGCAGGGGGGAGGCCTTCCCGCTCCGTGCAGCCTCCTGCCCGCTGTGCTCAGGGCGCCACTGCAGGGCGGCGCCGGACTCTGGGGTTCCTGTTGGTGGTGGCCCCTGACTCGCGGGGTGTCTTTCTCCTGCAGGGTGTGAGGAGTGTAACAACGCCCACTCGTCCGTGTGCCCCAAGCACGGCCCGCTGCACCCCATCCCCAACCGGCCGGTGCTCACGCGCGCCCGCGCCAGCCTCCCCCTGGTCCTCTACATCGACAGGTTCCTGGGCGGCGTCTTCTCCAAACGGCGTATCCCCAAACGCACCCAGTTTGGCCCCGTGGAGGGGCCCCTGGTCAGGGAGTCCGAGCTGAAGGACTGTTACATTCACCTGAAGGTAAGGCACGGAGGAGTGTCCCGCCGTGGCTCGCGCTGGGTCTCCACCAGAGAGCCTGCGGTTCCCGGGACTTGCTGGCCTGGTACATTTCTTTAACTGCTTATTTTGTTCTAAATAGAGGTTTTTTTCTCTGTTGTTGTTTTTCCTTCGGGGGCTGTGTTTTGTGTCTCTTGGTTTGTTTTGGGAGCAAGACTGCTGGCTCAGGAACCGGGTGGCATGTCAAGGATTGAACCCTGGCCTGCCGCGTGCGAAGCTCACACATTGAGCTACTTCTTGGCACTGGAGACTTCTCTCATTCCCTGAGGTCATGTTATGGATAGTTTGCAAAGGCGGAGAAGTCTCAGGGACTAGGTCAGCGTGGGCTACCATGACAGAATGCCCCAGACTAGGTTACGTAAGGACCAGACATCAGTCTCGTCCAGCGTCTGGAGCCAGAAGGCCAAGATTGAGAGTGTGCTTGCTTGTTCATGGAACACGTCCTTGATGCTCAGGGCCTGCTCTGAGGCTAGTGCCTGGGGGACCCTGTGTCTGGGGGACCCTGAGGTCCTGATCCGACCCAGTCTGCCAACCCAGTACCCCACCCACCCCCCCGCCCCATGCAAAGCCTTCCTCTGGCTCTCTGAGATCTCTCTTCAGCCCAAGGTCAAGGTTCTTTTTATTTTATTTTACTTACTAATTTTTTTTTTTTTTTTTTTTTGCTTTGTGGGTCACACCCAGCGATGCACAGGGTTACTCCTGGTTCACGCACTCAGGAATTACTCCCGGCCGTGCTCAGGGGACCATATGGGATGCTGGCAATTGGACCTGTGTCAGCCATGTGCAAGGCAAACGCCCTACCCTCTGTGCTATCACTCCAGCACCTGTTTTATTTTTTTTAATTTTGGGATTACTCCTGGTCATACTCAGGGCTTACTCCTGACTCTGCACTCAGGAATCACTCCTGGCAGTGCTCGGTGGACTGAATGGGGTACCAGGGATCAAACTTGGGTCAGCTGCGTGCAAGGCAAGTGCTCTTCTCACTGTGCTCTTGCTCCAGCCCCCAAGGCCCAGGTCTGGCCACAGTGGTTTCCTCCGTGGCTCCCCTCTGACTTGCACATGGCCACTCTCCTGCCGTTGCCCGAGGGGACCCTCTGGTGCGCCTGCAACTACCTGGACACGCACAGCGATCGGGCTAGCGCTCACTCCCTCATCCTACAACCTAGCTCCAGGCACCGTCACATTCTGAGCACGGGTGGAGGGCAGTTAGGATTCTAGCTCGAAATTTGGGGTACACGGTCCATGATGGGGCTCTAGTGGCTTCAAAGATGGGCCTGGGGGCTGCATTTTGGGGCCCTGGATTTGATCCCTGACCCTGCGAAGACCAGCAGAAGCACCAGAATGCACAGAGGATCCTGCAAACTCGTGCTATCTGCCGAGTGCCGGGGTGCTCCCAGGGAGCCCGCATTGCAGTTTCTGGAACAGTCTGTCCTGTGCACCAACGTCTAGTCCCGCTATGTTCCAGGCCTCGAAGATCTCTCTTCCTTACACTTGATGTCCTGCCTTCCATCCAGTCCTTCTGCTCTCCTCGTCTCATTTTGGGGGTAGCACCCAGGGGTGCTCAGGGGCTGCTCTCCGTTTTGTGCTTGGGGCCACATGTGTTGCTGGGGCCCCAGCCCAGACCCCCAGCAGCTGAGCCTGCACTCAGACTGTGGTACCTCCCCGGCTCCGCTGTCTGTCCTTGAAGAGCAAAGTGTGAGAGCTGCGTGAACGGGTCCTGGTTGTGTTTTTTCAGCAAGTGGGCTGCCACCCAGGGGGAGGTTAACTTAAACACAATTTTTTTTTTTTTTTTTTTTTTTTTTTGCTTTTCAGGTCACACCTGGCAATGCTCAGGGGTTATTCCTGGCTTTGCACTCAGGAATCACTCCTGGTAATGTGCTCAGGGGACCATATGGGATGATGGGAATCGAACCCGGGTCGATCGCGTGCAAGGCAAATGCCCTACCTGCTGTGCTATGACTCCAGCCCCTAAACGCTATTTTTTTTTTTTTCAATGGGGAGGGGACAAACCTAGTGGTGTCCTGGCATATCTCGTGCCTGGGATTGAGCCCAGGTTGGGCATGTGCAGGGCCAGTGCCTTAATCCTGTACTGTCCCTCTAGCCCTCGTGGTTGACTTTTAGGGTGTTTTGTTTTGTGGGAGTGAGGACTGGATTGGGCCCCTCCCAGTGGTGCTCAGGGGCTGTCCCTGGCTCTGTGCTCAGGAGTGATTTCTGGCAGTGCTGGAGATTCAACCTCTCAGTAGGGTCCTCCATGCAGGTAACTGTTCCTCTCTGTCATCTCTCTGGCCCCGACTTTTAGGATTTGTCTTTTTTTGGTTTGGTTTTGTTTCTGGGTCACACCTGGCAGTGCTCAGGAGTTCCTTCTGGCTCTGCACTCAGGGATCACTCCTGGCGGGATTCAAGGGGTTTTGGGAATCGTACCTATATTGGCCACGGGTAAGGCAAGTACCCTCCCTGCTGTGCAACCCCAGCTTTTCAGTTTTGTCAGGTAAATCCTTCAGAGATCTTCAGTAACTTTCTTTTCAAACCTTTAAAATTTGGCAGTGGGAAACTTGCCCCTGCAGGGCTCCACGTCTGCCCTGGAATTATGTATTTGTGACTAGAAAACTTGTAAGAAATTCTTTTTGGATCGCAGAAATCCACAATTCCAGTGCCTTTCTGGTCGGACAGGGAGGTCTCAGGATCTGTGGCGGGAGCAGTGTTTTGTGTTTAACCGGGACATTAATGCACATTTTAGGGGAAAGTTTTGCGATACGGGGTGTGCTAATTTGGTGCGACATTTCACTTTCTCTTTGGTTGCAGGTATCTCTGGAGAAAGGGGACAGAAAAGACAGGGATTTGCATGAAGACCTGTGGTTTGAGTTGTCTGACGAGACCGTTTGTAACTGGATGATGTTTGTGCGTCCAGCCCAGAACCACCTGGAGCAGAACCTGGTGGCTTACCAGTATGGCCACCACGTGTACTACACCACGATAAAGAACGTGGAGCCCAAGCAGGAGCTGAAGGTACAGTCCAACGGGTGTCACGACGTCTGCCCGCGGGCAGAGAGGGGATTGTCGCGGAAGGTGCGGAGTTCAGTTGGGGTGTCCTCAGTGGTCGGGCAGGTGATTGTTGAATGCTTTTCCTGCTTCCCTCCGGAGTGGATTTCTTACAAAAAGGTCCTTTGCTGACCTGCTGGGTATAAGCTGCGTCCGTTACATTTGCGACGATTCACAGACCAGCAGGGTGAAAGGTAAGTGACGCTGAGCCTTGTGGCGGGCGGGATCGGCTGCTTTGGGACGCAGCCTGGCCTTGGTGAGGGAGAGATTCAAGAGCTGGTCACTGGCAAACAGAAGATGGAATTCAGATGTTTGGGCAAGATCTCTCTTTCTTTTCTTTTCTTTTCTTTCTCTGTTCGGATTATTTTGGTTTGTTTTGTTTCATTTTTGAGCCACACCTGGTAGTGTTCAGGGCCTACTCCCAGTGCTGTGCTCTGGCCACCGGAGGGGACCCTCCTGGCTGGGCTCAGGTGACTGAGTGTTGGCGGGGATCAAACCCAGTCCTTGAGCCTGCAAAGCCTGAGCTCAATCTCCACCCTTTTTTTTTTTTTTTAAATCTCAGTACTTGATTTTACATAAATAATTTTATATACTGTTTTAGGAATCAAATTAGGGCTGACTTTTGTTGGAGTTTGTCTTCATAGTAAATATTGATGGCATAATGAAATTGATTCTATAATCATTCCTTTATTTATGTATATTTGGGGTGCCAGGGATCAAAGCCACCAAACCATATCCCTGACCCTGACCCCTCCCTCCCTTTTTTTTTTTTTGTGAGCCACACCCGACTGTGCTTAAGGCTTTCTCCTGGCTCTGTGTTCAGGGATGATTCCTGGCAGGGATTAGGGGACCATATGGGATCTGGGGATTCAACCCAGGCCAACCACATGCAAGGCCAGCCCTAATGCCTGGAATAGACTTTATTTGGAAGAGGAATCAAATACTAATTGAAATTGAAAAGTGGCTTCATTGTTGACAATTTGTTTGTTTATTTATTTTGGTAGGGCTGGAGCGATAGCACAGTGGTAGGGCATTTGTGTTGCATGAAGCCAGCCCGTCCAGCTGGGTTTAATTCCTCCACCTCTCTCAGAGAGCCCAGCGAGCTACTGAGAGTATCTCGCCCGCGTGGCAAAGCCTGGCAAGCTACCCGTGACATACTCAATATGCCAAACACAGTAGCAACAAGTCTCAAAATGGAGACGTTACTGGGCCCGCTCGAGCAAATCAATGAACAACGGGAGGACAGTGTGACTGTTTTTTTTTTTAAATTTTTTTTTAAATTTTGGTATTTGGATATCCCCCAGCTTACTCCTGGCTCTGCACTCTGGAGTCACTTCCAGTGGGGCTCGGGGGACCACAATGGGATGCCACGGATCTAACCCTGGCTGACCATTGCAAGGCAAGCACCCTGCCCACTATACCCTCCAGCCCCAACAGACATTTTGGGGCGACCGTGGGTGTAGATTTGGCCACATCTGGTGGTGTTCAGGGCCCAATCCTGCACTCAGGGATCAGTCCTGGCCCTGGCAGTGCTCAGAGATCTGTTGGGTCCTGGGGATCGAACCTTGGTCAGCTGTGTGCAAGGCTTACCTGCCTACTTTTTCTCCAGCCTCTTCGGTATTGATCATTTAAAAACTCTTGAAACGTGTAGGAGTTGCTGGGTTTGTTGTTGTCGTCGTTGTTACTTTTTGTTTCGGGGTCACACCTGGCAGTGGTCCAGGGCTGCTCCCGCCGCTGCTTTGGAGATCTTAGGGTGCTGCTGTGGGGACTGCCCCGGCCTTCAGGACACACGGCTGCGCCCAGCCCATTGTGTGGCTCTCAGTCGGGCCTTGTTAACTTTTTTTTTAAATTTTATTTTCATAAAGTTGTGGGGCCCTGTTAACATTTTTACCTATTTATTTTATTTGCTCGAGCGGGCCCAGTAATGTCTCCATCGTGAGACTTGTTACTGTGTTTGGCATATCGAATACGTCACGGGTGGCTTGCTTGGGGGCAGCTGGGACGACACCTGGTGGGCTCAGGACATTCTCAGGCTCATTTAGAAACATTTAAATTCATCATGTTGGAGACAGAGCACAGCATGTGGGCAGTGGACCGGTGGGTGTCAGAGTGGAAAAGAGGGGGCTCGTGGAGGGCCAGGGAGGAGCGAGGCAGGAGTTCGTGTTGGCACTCACCTAGGGGGAGAAGCGGAGGCTGAGAACATTGAGAACATCTGAGCAGCCACTAGCTCTTGCCAGATGGCTGCAGGGAAGTGGGGGGGGTGGGCATGGAGAGTGGAGCTGGAGGGAGGGAGGGAGGGAGGGAGGGAGGAGAGGGAGGGAGGTGGTGCTGGAGGTGGGGAGTGGGGCCGGCCGGGAGCAGGGCAGCCACCGCAGGGAAGGGAGGCCTGCATGGGCTAAGAGGTGAAGATCGATTTCCCCAACGTCTAGGGGCTGGGGAGACAGCACAGGAGCTGGGGCCGTGCTTGCAGCCAGCCCTGGCTCCGTCCCGCACTCCACGCTCCCCTCCCCAGTATTGCTGGGTGTAGTCCTGGTCCCAGGCACAGCCTGAGCAGCCCCCCCCCCCCATCCCCTGTCCAAGCAGTGAGTCAATGGAGTGGCCTGAGAGTGCTGCTTGGGGGCCCCCCGACCTGCCTAAAGCCCCCACCAGTATCCAGAAGCCAGGCCGAGGAGGGGGAGCCGGACTAAGGAATGAGCAGAGCAGGGGACGGAGGGCCTAGACTGGGCAGCCGTTTGAAGTGGTCAGGGCACCCCATACCATGTGGGGGCCTGTGTGATCACAGCACCGTCAGAACCTGCGTTTAAATATTGATTAACACAACACAAGGGAGAGGGGGGGTGGAAAAACAACCAAAGACCAAATCTACAAGGGCCTGTTTCAGTTAGACAGCGGGAACGGAAATGGAGCACGCTCGTGGGAAGTTGTGGAGCCAAGACAGAGTGATCTTTCGGTGGTGCCGGGAATTGAACCCAGAGCCTCACACATGCACAGCAAATGCTGTGCCACTGGGCTGCTTCCTACCCCCACAAAGCCCCCCCCCCTTTTACTTAAAACAATCTATTCATAACATAAATATCTTGATGAATGAAGCATTGTGACCCGGGAGTGTCTAGCAAACCCTGGGCTATGACGCCACAGTGATAAGTTTTTCAAGAGGGTCTCGAAACACAGCAAGCCGTTGTGTTCCAACGGCTCCATCCACAACCTGGAGTCACAGCTGAGTGTGACAGACACCACACTCGCCACGGCAAACCTAGTTAAGGAACTAGTCAGTCACAGGAATCACCCCATCCCCTGTAGTACCAACTTTGAAGTGGGTTCATAATAGCTGATCACTTTTTTGGTGTGTGTGGGGGGCGGGGGGGGGGGGGGCGGCCCGGGGGGGGGGGGGTGGCCCACGCAGCAGTGCTCAAGGCTTACTCCTGGCTCTGACTCAGGAATTACTCCTGGCGGTGCTCAGGGCACCCTATGGGATGTCGGGGATCCAACCCCAGTCAGCCATGTGCGAGGCAAGTGTGCCCTTCTTGCTGTACTACCGCTCCGGCCTTAGCCGAGAAATTTCTGATTCCAAATATTCCTAAATTGGAGATTATGAAGGCGCCGCCCTGGTGGAACTCGTGCAGGACTTCCACAAAACACCAAAGGGAGAAGGGAAACTCACGGAGGGTCCTAGCCCATGAGCTTCCCGGGCTGGCAGAGTCCTAGACCACCAGGGCTCTGGAGACAGTGTGAGTTGGGGGCTGGTGGCCAGCGGGCAAGGACTGGACAGGACCTGCCGTATGTGGGCAGGTGGAGGCGCTGGGCACGCAGGGTCCACGGGCCAGGGGCTGACTGCATGCTTGCTTCTTGCAGGTTTGGTATGCGGCGTCCTACGCGGAGTTCGTGAACCAGAAAATCCACGACATTTCCGAGGAAGAGAGGAAAGGTGGTTGCGTTTTTTTCATGCTGTGTATTTTCTAGGCATTTCCAGTTGCTCCCTTCGAGCTTCGGCTCACCTTCTGTTGAAGGGACGATTTCTCTAGGCCTTTCTGAGTCCCACACTTCAGTCCAGTTTCAGTTCTCAAGGGACCGCGCCGTCTACGGCACCTCCCCGGGTGCTGGAGAATGGTGTTTACTGGAATGCGAACCTCCAAATGCTCCATCAGAACCCGGAGCAGAGGCTGGTCCTTATCTCAAGTCGTTGTTGTCTCTGTGGCGATGGAGCCAGGCAGCCTTGGTGCTGTTGGCCGTATGCCCCCTCCACTCGTCCACTCGCGGGAGGGCGCACAGTCCAGAAGTCAACAGCTGATGCATCATTGCGAAGGGGATGCAGAGCGATGCCAGAAGTTGTTCTGCCACAGCTGGCGGTGCTCAGGGGACCACATGGGATGCCGGGGATCGAACCCAGGCCGGCCACGTGCAAGGCAGACGCTCTCGCCGCCCCTGCCTCTTGTGCCTTCCTTCAATTCCCCTTTGCTCCCGAGCTTAGCCATCCTTGCAGATTGGAGCCTCTGGTGATGGCCAAGTGCAGACACGGATGCCACGATGTGTCCCCTGGTGGTGGCTGTGCATCTTCGGCTCAGCTTCAGATTCCTTAGTCACTCTCACTGCCGTGTATCACTTTATTTCATCTCACTTATTTTGGTTCCTGGACACACCCAGCGGTGCTCGGGGCTTCCTCCTGGCTCTGCACTCAGGGATCACTCCTGGCGGGGCTCTGGGGGTCCTGTGGGATGCTGGGGATCACACTTGGGTCAGCCACGTGCCGGGCCTTGCCCTGTACTCTCGCTCTGCCCCCTGCCGGGTATCACTTTAACTGTTCCTTCTTGTGGCTGTTTCGGTGTTTCCTTGCAGGAACAGAGCACAAGTCAGTGGTCCGTTTGCTTAGGCTGGAAGTGGGGGTCGGTCAGAGCCGGTCTGCCACTGGCTACCAGAGATGAGCACATTTCACAGGTCGCGGGCAGGGTCTTCCTCCAGACTCACCTCACACGAGACACCGGCTTCTAGTTCTAGTGCGGCTTCCCACCGCACCTGCTCTTCGAATCCATCAGCTGCAGTGTGGAGAGTCTTTACGACCCCTTCCGGGCTTGACAACTCACTCGAGTGACTCACAGAGCTCATGAAAGTTCAGTCGTTCTGATTATAGGTCTGTTCCAGTGGCCACGCCCAGGGGGACCGCCAGAGTCAGAGACTCTCAGGGCGGGTCGGGTCGTCAGCTGGTGTCACTCCTGGCACATCGACTGTGATTACCAACTAGTAAAGCTCCCCTGAGCCTTTGTTGCAGAGTTTTTATTGAGGTATAATAGCCTGATTGATGGAATCATTAGCCAGTGACTTGCTCTCCAGCGGCTCCCCTCCCTGGCTCCAAGTCTCAACCCATAATCATAGGGCTGGGTTTTTTGGCATCTCCTGCCTTCATCCTGAGTCACTCATTAGCATGAATTCAGGTATCTCAAAAGACCACCAGGAAGAAAGAGAACACCTCTCTCTATCGGGACATTCCGGAGATCGAGGGATTAGCTCCAGGAATCTGGGGACAAGGGCCAGCCTTGTCTTGTTTCGACAAAGGGGCTGCTTCCGGGTTTGGGCTGTTAGAAGGGTTGCCACTGCAGACATTGTTCTACGTGGCTCTTAGCTGACACAGCAGTTGAGAGAGGAGGATTGCTGGGTCCGCGGGGGTATGTGTGTGTCAGCTTCAGGAGATGCCCCCGAACCTTTCACCAGTGTGGTCACATTGGACACGGATTTTCAAGCTCATTGTGATGAAATACTCCCTTAGATTCTGAAACGTGGATTTGAATCACTGGGGCATAGATTCCCATGGAAGCACTTTTGCTCTCTGCAGTGTGCAGAAAGTCGCCTGTACGCGCGTGTGTCGGGGCGGCGGGAGGTGGGAGCATAGGGGCACTTCTCCCCCTTGATACCGCACCCATATGGCTGTATTAGAGAATAAGACCCTGTGAACCACTTCCTTGTCAAACTTGAGCCTTGACACCCATATGGACTACGCAAGCAGCAAGACCCATGGTTGGGAGCCTTGGTTCCCTTGCGACAGGAACCAGGAGGCCCCTGACCCGCTTGCTTGTGCTGGTGGCCGCTGACCGTTGGTCTTTGTGCTTTCTCTCCCGTGCTTGTAGTTCTCCGAGAGCAGGAGAAGAACTGGCCCTGCTACGAGTGTAACCGCCGGTTTATAAGCTCAGAACAGCTGCAGCAACACCTCAATTCTCATGATGAGAAGCTCGACGTGTTTAGCAGGTAGAGTGAAGAGCCTGTCTCCCAGACCTGTTATTTCCCAGCTCCCAAATTGCTCCTGAATTGTCTGTCAAACCCACGAGTGTTTCTCCCTCCGTGTGTGTATGTGTGTGGCCAGGCACAGAGGCTGCAGCCCGGCCTCTGCTGCGGGAAATTCCTTTTCTCCTGCTTCCTAACTTCCTCTCTGAGCCTCGCTGACCACTGAATTCACTTCCGGTGTGACCAGAACCAGTCAGGAGAGCCTTTCCTCCCAGTTTCATCTGCCCTGACTGAAGATTCGGAGATAGGAATTCTTGAGTCGCACACATCTTTGAAATCACCCAGATTTCTCATTCCCAGGCTTTTATTGAACTAAAGCCCCGGTCTCTTTGTATTGGAAAACAAAACAAGAAAAGGGGCCATGGAAGAGAAGAACTGCAGAGGAAGGGGTGGGCCTGGGCCAGACCTAGATCGTGCCTGGGGGGTCAGGGTAGAGCATTTGGAATGATTCTGGGTGTACGTCTTCAGAAGGCTCTGACCTGGGTGTGTGGTGCTGTCAGACTCCGGGTTTCAGCATCACTCAAGATGGAGCTGCGGACAGGGCTTTAGTTTCTCTGGAGCCAGAGGGAAGCTGACTCCATGGGAACCTCTCGTGGCGAGGTGGTTCCGCAGAGAGCAAGAGCCTCCGGACGGGGTGCAGGCAGTGAGTCTGCGCTGCATGTGTCCCGGGACTGTTTGTAGTGTGGGCAGAGGCCTGGAGGCAGGAAGCGATGAGAGCTAATGAGGTTGCGTGTTGTTGGCCAACTCCCCCTGCAGCCCCTGTAGCCTGACTAGGAGAAATCAGACACAATTAGGAAAAATTGACCAGATATATAATAATACTGAGCAACTGTCAGGGTTTTTTTTTTTTAAGGTGAGATACTGGCTTTTGGCCATGTAGGGGTTCCTTTTGTTTTAGAGACTCATTCTGATGTCCTTGCAGATGAAATGGTTCCAGATAAGCTAATGGGTATGTGCGTGTGAGGCCGGGGAGAGGCAGGAGGGATTTCTCAGCTGGATTTCTGAAGCTGGCCATCAGTTGAGAAATACTGAAATCAAAATCATGGTATTAGTGGACTCATCTTACCCTTGGCATTTGCCTGAGTTCTGAAGTTCTCATAATAAGCAATCTTTTTTTAAGCTTCGTTTTGGTGGAATTGTTTGATCGAGGAGTAGGGGAGTCAGCGTTGTCTGATTCAGCACTTCTCAAACAGGCCTTCCCGGCCTACTTCCTGAACCCCTTCCCTTTAAGGATTGCCAAGGGTCCATGGAATACTTTTTGGGTGTTTCCTAGGCCTGTTAGGGAAGGGCTGAACTTGCCATTTGTTCGGACCTTCCAGTAGCCAAGAGGAAAACCAGGAGGAACTTCGCATCCCCAAGTTCTTTGCATCTGGCTGCCCTTCTGGAGGCAGGAAGAGGGAGGACCAGGCCGTGGGCTCACGGTCTCTCCAGCTCAGCCCCACGGGGCACCGTCTTTCCACAGCCCTCCCCTGCCTGCTTGCCTTGCAGCCTCTCAGAGTTGTCTTTGCGCTTCTGGAGTGTAGTCGCAAGGCGCACCTAGTGCTTTGGATTTCCAGAGCTCTTTCCTATGCTTTTAAGAGCTCCCTGTGAGCTGTGATGAGGGTGAGAAGGAAGAGCGCGGGAAAGTGTGGAGTAAGGAGGTACCTACTTGCATCAGAGAACACAGGCGGGAAGCGGGAGAGGAGTAAAGTGAGAGTTCAAGCCTGGGGGCGCGGGGGGCTCTCATCGAGGCCATTAGGGGGAATATTTGTTCTGGGCTCTGGTGTGACCATGACCGTGTGTGACCCTGTCTCTCATCCCCAGAACGAGAGGCCGAGGAAGGGGACGAGGCAAGAGGCGGTTTGGCCCAGGTCGTCGGCCAGGGCGCCCGCCCAAATTCATCCGCTTGGAAATAACCAGCGAGAATGGGGACAAGTGTGACGATGGGACACAGGTATGGGACGTGGGAGCGGCTCTGGGTGCTCGTTGGAGGACCGATGTGGGGGCGGGGGGCCCTGGCGCGCCTGAGACGCGCTTCCCTGTCAGGGTGACTGAAGAAAGGCAGAACGAGTGTTCGGAGCGTGAGAGAGCTCCGCTGGCAGACACATGCCTGGCATGTGCGAAGCCTCCAGTTCAGCCCCGAGACCCCCGCTTTTACCCGTTCCGTGACCCCACCGCCCCAGCATCGCTGAGCCAAGTGCCCCTGGGTGGCCCTTCTTTTAAAAAAGCATTTTCCATAAAAACGCAAGACTGTTTTTGTTTGTTTGTTTTTGGGTCACACTTGGTGACACTCAGGGGTCACTTCTGGTTCTCCACTCAGGAATTACACCTGGAATTCCTCAGGGCGATGCCAGGGATGGAACCCAGGTCAGCCTACCCGCTATGGTACTGCTCTGGCCCCCCCCAAAACTCAATTTGATAATTTCCTTTTTTTTTTTTTTGCCTTTTGGGTCACACCCGGTGATGCACAGGGGTTGTTCCTGTCTCCTGCACTCAGGAACTACTCCTGGGGGTGCTCGGGGGACCATATGGGGTGCGGGGAATCGAACCCGGGTTGTTTGCGGGCAAGGCAAACGCCCTACCCGCTGTGCTATCGCTCCAGCCCCTCAATTTTACGATCTTTAAGATTTCAAGACTGTTGCATTAGTATGAAGGATTCCAAGGACGGCGTTCTTGCATTTCCCCTGGCTGGGACGTCACATGGTTCTGCTCCCAAGGATGCTGCCTGAATCTGCCCCTCCCCCCCAGAGGAGACTTCCTCCCAGGCCTCAGGGCCCTCATGCTTAGAGAGCGAGCAGGACCGCCGTCTGACGGATGCCCCTTCCAGCTCCGCCGGAGCCCAGTTCCACCCGTTCTCTTTCAGGACTTGCTGCACTTCCCTGCCAAGGAGCAGTTTGATGGGCCCGAGCCAGCCTCTCTGAACGGGCTGGACCAGCCCGAGCAGCCCACGCTCCCCCTCCCTCAGCTGCCCCAGGAGACCCCCGCCGTTCTGGAGCAGGAGCCCGAAGCTCACAGCCTCCACCTGCAGCCCCAGCAGGAGGAGAACGTGCTGCCCGCCCCGAGCACCCTGACGGCCGACGACATGCGCAGAGCCAAACGCATCCGGGTAAGTGGGCAGCGGGCGGCGCAGCGCTCTGCCGCCCCCCAGCTGTCTGGGTGCTCTGCTTCCAACCAGCTCCGCCATCCGCTTCGACATCCTGCGCCCTGGCATCCTGCGCGCCACCCTCCTCTCCTCCCCCACCCTCCTTTTCTTGGAACTCTTGCTTGGTGGCTTGGTGGCCAGTGGCCGGCGGCAGTGGCTGATTCTCGGTCTGATCAGTGTGGCCGTGGTGTGGGGGCGCCTGGCCTGGCAGAGCTGGAAAGGAGGGCTCGTGGCTCCTGCACCCCAGAGGCCCGAGGGAGGGAGAGATACGCACCTTTGAGGGTGGGATTCTGTTCCAGGGGGTGCCAGCTCATCGGCGCTCAGTCCTCACTCTCCAGTGAATGTAGGCGGGCTGCATTTGGTGGTCCGCGCTTCCCTGCAGAGCGCAGGCCAGTGTTGTTTGGCCCATGTCCCCCGTGTCCGCGCAGGCACAGTGTCCACACGTGGGGCAGCTCCTAGTCCAGCTTCTGGAGCGGAAACGGCTGATGTCACGCTGGTAGGTCCTGCTTGCCCATCGTGGTGTTCCAGTCTTTCCACGCCGTGGTGAAATCTGTAACAGGGGCCGCAGTCAGATGGAGAAGAGTGTGGCTTCATGGGATCATGCCTGCACTCATGACCAGTATCACGTCAAGCCTGCGCTTGTGGCTTCTCAGTCTTGTACGTGTGCATGGGAGCCCCGTGTGCTTTCATCTCCAGGGTTCACAGCTACTTGCTGGATGATTGTTTTCGATTCGGGTTTCTGTTGGGTTTTGTCCTCTAAGCCAGAAGGGACCTGCGAAAACAGTCACGGCCCCGCCTTCACGTCACCATTCATGGTTCTGGGAGAACATTCAGGGGCTGAGTTGCCAGTGGCCTCCGTAGAAACAGACTCGGGATCTGACTGCCCGTCTAGCGTTTCTGAAGGATCAGCAGGAAGGCAAAAGTCCGATCGGTCCCCGTCCATCCTCCTCCATCACTTCTCAAGTCTGCATCTCATTCTTTTGCCCACTTACTATCTTTTCTGCTTTGGCCGTCTTGTATTTTTTTTTTTATGAAGTTCCGAGAAATGTTTATTACTAGGTTGACATTTACATTTGGAGGGGAAGGGAGCAGACGGTCACACCGGGCCTTGCAGGCGTCAGACCCAGTGACCCTGCACTCAGGCACGTGCACTTGCCCTCCAAGCCGTTTGCCCGGCTGTAGCTTCCCTTGGTTTGAAGCAAAAAGCACCAGCCAGCCGACACGGTGAAGTGCTCAAGACGCAGGCGTTGCCGGCCGGCCCCGTGCGTGCCTGTGTGAGTTGGTCACGGGCTTGGGCCTGCGGTTCCGTACTCCTGCACGAAGACCGCGTGCTGTGTGTCTGCAGGTTAGTCAGAGCTGAGCTCCTACACATTCCCAAACGGTGGGCTGTGTATTTTTTTTTTCCATTTTTCCCACCCAGATTGGTAATGACCAACTCAAGGCAAGTCCGCCAGTGCAGCTGGTAATGGAACTTTCTCTCTCTCCTCCGCTGCTGCCTGTTCAGCTGGAGCTGCAGGTAGGTCTCGTTCCCGTGTTCACGTGACAGAGTGTCATTCTCGTGTGTGCCCGCACTGCCATCCTCTGCCGCCTTACGGACCGTGCCGGACGTCCTAGCTGGGCTGCGTCAGTGAGTGCCAACCAGCTCTCTGACCACATGCCTCTGTTCCCGTGAGCCCAGAGGCGAGTGCACAGCTGGGCCTGGCCTCCACCCCCAGGTCCATGTGACAGTCTGAGGGAGGGAGGAGTCGTGAGGTCTGAGCTCACGCTCAGCCCCGTCACAGTTTTGGTGGTGCCCTGGCCTCTGGCAGCTGGCCAGTTAGAGGCTGTTGGCGTCTGTGGTTACGGCGGCCAAAGGAGGACCGACGTGGATGATGGCTGTTCTGAGGGGGGCAGGGGTAGGCCAAAGAGGGATGAGGACGCCTGGGGTCCGTCGCAGAGAGATCGAGACTCGGAGAGATCCCCGGAAGCCGGAGGCTCATTTTAGAGGAGGACAGCAAGAGGTCAAAGGCCAGGCTCAGGTGTGACCTGATTAGGAGGGGTGCTCAGTCTTGTCGAAGGCCCAGGAGAGTCTGGTGTGTTGGGCAGGGCAGATGACAGGCCAGGGAGGGCTGCGTCCAGGGCCAGCAGAAATCCGGCACCCGTGACTGGTTTCCTCCTAGTGCCAGGATGGAAATAGCACGGAACGCGATCAAAGATTCATGTGCTAATTGATGATACCATCATCAGATGTCGGGGACTGCGGCGGAGCTGTGCTCTCAGCACTGGCTTGACTGTGACCCAGATTTCCTGCTCACGGATTGTAGCCGCGCGGCTGGAGGAGCTGCACGCCAGATGGTGTGGTGTGTGGCTGGCTGCCTGCGGCCCCGGATCCTCGGGGCTCTTTGGATCCATCTGTGGCCGCGGCCAGCGCTTGTTCTTGGTTTCGCTTAGAAATGTGTTAACTTGGACCTCTGGGCTTCGGGAGTGACCTTGGAGTGGAAAGGCCCCCGAGTGGGTCCCGGGGCTAGAGCGTGGCAGCAACCCCAGTGACTCGTCTAGTGGCCTTTAGGGTCATCGGCTCTGAGGCACCCGGTCTGGTCCCGAGGACCCATCAGTCAGGGCTCCGCGGAAGTGAAGAGGTTGCTAGGAGCAGGGCCTGTGGGAAGCGCCGCGAATGTGGCAAGGCGGTGGCTGCATTGAAATCGAGAGTCTGAGGACATGTGCGCTGATGGAGCTGACAGGAGGCTTGCTGGCATCATGGGGACTTAAGCATCCCGGAGCAATGAGCTCTCCATTTGGTCCCCCATCGGCGTTGCCGGTCGTGTCTCCCTGTGGGGACCTGAGTGGGCTTGGGAGAAGGGAGCGGCCGCAGGTGCACCCTCCCCTGACTCGGGCTCAGAGGCACCTTGCGGGTCTGCACTACTGCTGCCACGTTCGGAAGAGGCCAGACTAGTGCGTTCTCTTCTGTCAAGCAAGCGTGAGACATGGTAGAGAGCAGGAGACGGGGAAGGGAGCATGGGGAAGGGGCTCCGTGGCTGGTGGGATGAAGGGATGAAGGTGGACGCTTCCAGCTCTCTGCAGAACTCTAGGGAAAAATCGAGATCATTTTTTTAACAACAAAAAAATTTTTTTAAACATCAGTATCTGCATCATTTTTATTTGTGAAAAAGACTTGAACCCACCTTAAATACCCATCTTAGTTGAATCCAAGGATTCATAATGAGAAAGACCGTCTACTTGTTCAGGAAACAAGTAAACCATTTACTTTACGAAAATACCAAAACAATCTTAATCTGAAATCGTGAGCGATTGGTAGAGAGCACGCCTGCCTGCTTTGCATCTGTGTGAGCGCAGGGCTTGATTCCCGTCACAAATCCATAACACCTTAGCAGAAGCTCCCACGGGAAGCCTCAGCAAGGTAGGGAAGCCTGCATTCGACTCTCGGAGGAGAAATGCCCTCGTCCCACTTCCTGCCTGGTTCTGTCCTTCCAGCCTGGTCCTTTGGAGTTTTTGTTGTTGTTGGGTCACACCTGGCGATGCTCAGGGGCTACTCCTGTTTCTGCACTCAGGAATCACTCCTGGTGGTACTCAGGGGACCATAAGGGCTGCCAGGATCTAACCTGGGTTGGCCGCGTGCAAGGGAAGAGTCCTACCCACTGTCCTCTCTATCCAGCCCTACCTTTGGAAAGAATTTACGGGGTGGATAAACGCCGCAGTCTCTCCTAGCCCCAGAGTCTCACTCTGTGTTTAGTGAGATGTGTTGGAATCACTCTCCAGCTTTTGTTGACCCCTTCCTCTGAGCTCAGCAGTGTTTGAAGGGCTGTAGATACAAAGGGGCAGAGGAGATATGGCCCCGAAATAGCCCTGAGTCTATTTGCATAGACTCATTTGCACAGACTCAGGAAGATCACAGAACTGTTCCACATCTACTCAGAAGTAAATGAGTAGGGGAGACTTCCCCTTTTCCTGTTAGCTGCCCCCCAAGCAGGAAGTTTCCAGTTCCCAATCACTTTCAGAGTTTTCAGTAAGCCAAAAATAAGAATCTCGGGGGCTGGAGAGAGAGCACAGCGGGTAGGGCGTTTGCCTTGCACGCGGCCGACCCGGGTTCGATTCCCAGCATCCCATATGGTCCCCTGAGCACTACCAGGAGTAACTTCTGAGTACAGAGCCAGGAGTAACCCCTGTGCATCGCCAGGTGTGACCCAAAAAGCAAACAAACAAACAAACAAAAGAATCTCGCTCTTCTCCAAAGTGATCCTTTTCACGTTCATGTAGAAGTTGCAGTTTGAAAGTCGCTTGCAGTAAAGGGTTAAGCATTGATGATCGCTCTTTCTTCATTGTACAAACAGCATTTGAAGCTGTCAGTGAAAGCTCCTCACGTCCTTTCTCTGGCCCTGAAACAAGTACACACACACACTCATGGGTCTTTTTTTGAGGGCTGTTTCCCCCTCAGATCTGTCTAGAAGTTCACTTTTCTCCAGGTCTTCTGGGGACTGTATGAGTGAGTCTTTCTAATTGACAGCACCATCAAATGGTGCTTGTGTCCCCTGTATTGGTCTTGCTTGCCACGGCGTGGTCATTCTTCCTCCACCCGGTGCTGCATTTGTACTGAGGAGTCCCCTCCTCTCACTTGGGTTCCCTGGAGCGTGCGCATGAATTTACAGGATGCTCATCAGAACTGGAAGTGCAGCTCGGGCCCAGAAAAATCAAAAGAGTTAAGATGACTGGCCCAGACAGGCCAATCCCCTGATCTTTGTCCACATTTGAGCACATCCTGTTTTTGGTTATGTCTGGGGGCCGCACCCAGCAGTGCTCAGGGGTTACTCCTGGCTCTGCACTCAGGGATCACTCTGGGTGGTCCTTGGGGTGCTGGGATAGAACCAGGATTGGCTGCAAGGCAAGTGCCCTACCCACTGTACTGTCTCTCTGGCCCTCAGACACATTCTAACTGTGGACCTAATTAACCTCACCAGGAACGCGTCCTCTGCCTTTGGCAGGAGCAAGTTGGTGCACGTTCACATTCCATTTCCCCGTGTGCTTGTGAACAAACACATCCTTGAAAATCCGGCCCTTTCCTTTCTCTTTCCTTTCTTTTCCTTAAATGGAGATAGAGTTCAGAAACCGTGAAACACACCCCTTTCAAGAGGTTTTTCACTGGGAGGGTTCCACAGTCCGCTCAGCTCAGGGCGCATTCCTGGCTGTGACTCGGGAGGTGTGTGTGTGTGTGTGGGGGGGTCCCTCCTACTGTGCACAGTATTGGGAATTGAACTGGGATGACCAAATGCAAGGAAGGCGCCTTCACTGCTCGTTCTATCTCTTTTTTTCTCTTTTTTTGAAATTTTTTTGGCGACTTTTGGTTTTGGTTCCTGGCCCATAGCCAGCAGTATTTGGGTGCAGGGAGGTGGTGCCACATGTCAAGGACCGTGCCGGGATCAAATCTGGGTCTGGGAAGCATGCGCAGTCGCCCTTTCAGCCCCCCCTGCCCTACGGGGTTTCTGAGCCTGTTGGCCGAGCATATCAGCGCAGTTGAACCAAAACCATTACCCAGTTTTCAGAAAATCGCCATCAGCCTATCAGGAAGCCGCCAGAGCCCCTGCCACGGACTGCTTTTCAGGTTTTTTTTATTGTCTCTTATTTGCTCAACATTTTAATCACTTCAGATTTTTCCTCCAGGGCTTCAGCAAGTTGATGTTTAACCAGATGTTCAACCTCATTCGCATATTTCTTTGTTCTTCATTTTCCCCACTCCCGGGTTTTTCTTAGACTTTGCTGAGTATGACCTCAGTCCTTTCCAAAGAACACCTGCATCCACAGACCTGTCTGAGCACAGCCCTGTCTCTCCAGGGAGAGCTCTCTGGGGACAGCATCATTCATGCTTCCTGATTCGCCAGGAAGTCCTGTCCCCTCTGTGTCCTGCGCTTGGCTTTCCCTGCAACCAGCCTGCGGTGGCCAGCCCCTAGCCTCTCCGTGCTGGGGCCTGTCCAGCGCTGAGTGACCCGTCCATGTGTGTCTTGCAGAATGCGGCTCTCCAGCATCTGTTCATTCGGAAGTCCTTCCGGCCTTTCAAATGCCTGCAGTGTGGGAAGGCCTTCCGGGAGAAGGACAAGCTGGACCAGCACCTGCGCTTCCACGGGCGCGAGGGCAATTGCCCTTTGACCTGTGACCTCTGCAACAAGGGCTTCATCAGCAGCACGGCCTTGGAGAGCCACATGAAGCTGCACTCGGACCAGAAGACCTACTCTTGCATCTTCTGCCCCGAGTCCTTTGACCGCCTGGACTTGTTGAAGGACCACGTGGTCATTCATATCACTGATGGCTACTTCACCTGCCCCACCTGTAAGAAACGGTTCCCAGACTTTATCCAGGTGGGTGTCCACTGCTGTGATCCCTGCACACCTCGTTCCGTGGGTGAAAGAAATGTGAGTTTGGGGAAAATTGAGAACATCCAGAACGGCCCACGTTTTCTTTCCTTCTCTGAAATAGCTTGATAGCAGTACTCCAATCCTTCTAGATTGAGGCCAAATAGTGCCTCACACGTGGGCATTTAAGCACTGAAGCTGTGCTTCATGCAGCAAGCTTTCAGATCTGGTTGTCAGCTATGTCTTTCTTTTTCCTGGCCAAATCTACCACTCAGAAAATACATAGAGGGGCCAGTGAGAGTACAATGGGTAGGGCACTTGCCTTTCTCGAGGCTGACCCAAATTTGATCCCTGGAACCACATATGGTCCCCCCAAGTCTGCCAGGAGTGATCCCGACTGCAGGAGTCAGCCCCGAGCACTGCCAGTGTGGCCCCCCCAAACAAGAACAGAAAGAAAGTTCTTTCAACTTGTATAGAGCCTGTGAGGGCACACTCCCATTTCCTGGCCTGAAAATTTGTTTTCCCTGCTACTGTGGTTTCCTGCCTTGCTCTGCTAATCATGTATTTTGGGAGGAAACAGAGTTTGGTTTATAATATTATACTCCCATATCTAGCACAGACTGTCTCCTGTCCTGTCTTCTGGAGTACAGTGGGTAAGGATAAATCGGAGAATATTCGTCACTTCAGTTGGGCTTCAAGCGCCGATCCTGTCACTCTCGTGTTATTGAACGTCTGCTCCTGTTATGCTCTCTTTCACTCTCAATTTCCGAAGCAGACAGACTGGGAGGGTCTCATCACAGTTCTGCTGGCACTGAGAGCCTTGCTAACATTCTCACTGAACACAGAACAGATGCTTTAAGCTGGACTCCAGTGGCAGAAGAGTCTCCGAAAATAACAGCAGAATTTCTTCTGGAAGAGTTGGCTATGACTCACTGCTCACGTCCTGTTCACAGCTCTTCCTCATGGGTCACACCGGCAGTGCTGGGGGACCCAGAGCCACCACAGCAGGACGTGGGTGTCACAGGAATACCCAGCAGTACTTGGGTGGGGGGGGGGCACATAGTGCAGAGGGGCCAGATGTGGAGGCACAGATGCGAGGCCCATGCTCTACCTCACGGGCCATCTCCCCAGCCCCTCTGGTGGCTGGGAGGGTGAGGAGGCCGTGAAGTTCCTCAGAGGTGGTTCTTGAGGAAACTTCCTTTAATGACGTAAAGTGCAAGGAGTGAGTCACAGCTAAGCAGAATTTCTGCTGCTACTGCATTTTCCTCAGAAGTGGGAACTTTTCTTTCTTTCTATTTTCCTATGAAAACCGATCAAAGGACCAGCTTCTAAAAAGGGAGCCAACTTGTATATTTGTTAGAAGCAGAAAAAGAAGGGAAGAAGGGGCTGGAGAGATAGCACAGTGGGGGTAGGCGTTTGCCAGGAGTGACTTGTGAGCACTGAGCCAGGAGTAATCCCTGAGTGTAATCCAAAAACAAAAACAAGAAAAAAGGAAAGAAAAAAGTGAAGAAGAATTTTTTAAATTTTCCTATAGTTTTTTTTTTTTGCTTTTTGGGTTACACCCAGCGATGCTCAGGGGTTCCTCCTGGCTCATGTGCTCAGGAATTACTCCTGGCAGTGCTCGGGGAACCATATGGGATGCTGGGAATCGAACCCGGGTTGGCCGCGTGCAAGGCAAACGCCCTACCCGCTGTGCTACTGCTCCAGCTCCTTTCCTATAGTTTTTAGTAAGATTCATTTAAATAAAAACTTATTTATTTATATATATTAAAAAAATACAAGAAAAAGAAAAATGGGCCCCCGGGAGATGAAACTGAGCCCACAGCCCCACGCCTGTCCCCTGCCTCCCTCCTTGTGCCTGAGCGTGGCGGGCGCGGCCAGGACCATCTCCGCGTCTCTGGCTCCCCCTAGCGCCGCCGCCGTGCGGGGCCTGACTCCCGCGCCTTCACGTCTTCTCGGTGCCACCAGGTGAAGAAACACGTGCGGAGCTTCCACTCGGAAAAGATCTACCAGTGTACGGAGTGCGACAAGGCCTTCTGCCGCCCCGACAAGCTGCGTCTGCACATGCTGCGACACTCGGACCGCAAAGATTTCCTGTGCTCCACGTGTGGGAAGCAGTTCAAGGTGTGTCGCGGCCCGCGGGGACGGGGACTGGGGGTGGAGGGGGCGGTCGGGGCTGCCCGCTGCAATCCCCAGCGCCCCGCCAGGAGCCCGCCCTGAGCACCGAGGCAGGAGTCAGCCCCGAGTACCGCTGCGTGTGGCCCCAGTTCCAAACCCACAAAGAACAGCCGGGGCGGTGTGCCTCTGGGGCTCCGGTCTGGGGACCCAGTGCCCAGCCGCGACGTGGGGTGGGCATCAGGGCATGCCTTGGGGTGGTGAGCGGGACACTAGGGACCCCGCCAGGGTGTCTGGGATCAAACCCCAGTCAGCCACGTGCAAGGTAAACGTCCTCTCCACTGTGCTATCGCTCCAGGGACATTTTCTAAAAACTAAGCTGCTGTCCCAAGTCTCTGGGGGGCCCCGATCAGCCCTCACATAGACAGGTCCCAAGGTGGCACCCCTGACCCCCTCCCCGCCCCCCTGCAGCGGTGAGGCTGCCCGCCCACCCAGGGCTGCCTTGAGTCTTGCTTGGGCCCGCCGCCGGCGCTCCCTGCTCCCCTCTGCCTCTGCGCTGCACTCCAGCCCTCACCTGCGAGAAACCACCCAGCCCACCTCCAGCAATGTTCTACCTGGATGAGGTCGCACGTGTCAGGCCGTTTCTTGACCCTCCCCCCCCTGCCCCCCCCCCCCCACCAGATTCAGTGCTTCTCTGTGTCCCCAGAGTTGTTTCGCTCTGACCCCGCTCCAGCCCTCACTGTGCTCTGCGGCAAGAGTGGGCCTTACAACTCCCCGAGCCCCTTTGCGGCAGCCAGCTCGGACCTTCTGACTTCAAGGGGACCCGGTTAGTGGGACATGGGAGATGCGCCCTAAAAGTGACCTCTGGCTGGAGACACACTTGCCTTGCCCATGCCTGACTTCGTTTCCGTCTCCTGCACCCGATCTGGTCCCTCACGCCCCACCAGGAGGGACTCCTGAGCACAGCTGGCGTGGCCCCAAACCCCGCCACACGCAAAAAATTATTGCTGGGGCCGTAGAGACGGGACAAATCTGAGGGTGCAGGCCTGGCATGCAGTTAACTCTGGTTCCATCCGTGGCTCCACATGAACCCCACACCCCCACAGCGTAGTCCTGGGGGCCCCAGAGCACCCCTGCATCCTGGTGCCCTCACGTGGATCCAGCCAGCTCAGTTGGCAGCAAGTTGCTGGGAGTGACCCCAGCGCCCTCCCCACCCCCCCCCATTACCCACCCAGTAACGGATTGGTCGCATTCTCCCCCACACCCCCCCCCAAAAACAGGGGAGAAAAACCCATTGTTACTATGATAGGGAAGAATCAGTTGCCATAGGAAGGGTTCAGATCTCGGGGACTTTGTAAGTTTGGTGAGAATTCTGATTCCTGAACTTGTCTGTCTTCACAAGCAGTTTTAATTCTCTTCCTGTGGACTGATGCCAGGGGATCACTAGATCTCTCCTCCGAGCAGGAGTGGGAGTGGTCCGTCCAGGTGGATAATGCCGTTGCTCCCGAGTCCCTAGCATGGCAGACTGGTTCTTAAATTCATTTGGGATTTGGCGGGATTATCCTCGTTGTTCAAGTGTGTGGGAATACGGGTCTGCACCCGGCTTTGTACATCCAGGATTCCCCCATCGTCTGTTATCAAGCTGTCTCCGAGTTCTTAATACCAAGTTTAGTCCAGGTACCTTTGATCTCCTCTCCACGAAAGCCCCGTCTGTCTTCTTGAAACCCCGAATGTAACTCGAGTGAAATGACACTTTATTTGGGGGGGGGGTTGGGGGACAGTGGGGCCACTCACCGCAGTGCCCGGTGTACCCGCTTGGTGCAGGGCAGTCCCCTCACTCTGACCGTACGTTCCACTCTGTGGCCACTGGGATGCGTCTTGGGAGTTTGCGGTTGCTGCTAACGTCTATTGATTTTGCTTTAATCCCCTCACTTGAAAATTGTCAGTTAACTGGATGGTTTCACTCCGTAAAATCTGAATAACTAAAATGAAGCAACTACCAAAATACGGCCACGTCACCTTATTTTCTGTTTTTCGTTTTTCTTGTATTTGAGCCACGCCTGTCTGTGATCAGGGCTTACTCTCTGCACTCAGGGGCTCAAGGGACCACGTGGGGTGCCGGGGATCGAACCCTGGCTGACTTGTATGCAAGCCCTGCTGTCCTATTGCTCTGGCCCACGAGAATTCCTCTTAGACGGCAAAAGATGCGATCGCTCCCAGAGGGGCTGGGGAAGGGGAAGGGGATCGAGGCGGGCTGGAGCTCTGGGAGGACACACAGGCTGAATGAAGGTCACTCCCTGATGGAGGGCGGTGACACACCCATGGCGGAGCCGTGCGACTTCATATAAAGCTGCTTTTCCTCCCCGCTCCCCGCCCTCCTGCCTTTTCGGAAATTCTGCTGGAGTAGCGGAAAGACAAGCTGCGGGAGCACATGCAGAGGATGCACAACCCCGAGAGGGAGGCCAAGAAGGCCGACCGCATCAGCCGCTCCAAGACCTTCAAGCCGCGCATCACGTCCTCGGACTACGACAGCTTCACCTTCAAGTGCCGCCTGTGCATGATGGGCTTCCGGCGCCGCGGCATGCTGGTCAGTGCCCCCTGCAGGCTACCGTGGCTCTGAGTCCCTGCCCCCCTGACCTCTGCCCCCGCCCCTTGACCTCTGCCCTCTGCCCTGCTTCACCCACCAGGGGACAGCTCTGGTGACAGGCTCAGGATGGGGGGCCTCAGCTTTCCCCTCTATTTGATCCCGCTCTCCCCCCTCTTCTCCAGCCCGTCCGGGGCGGGTGTGTGGGTGGGGGCCGAGGGCAGTGACACACCCATGGCGGAGCCGTGCGACTTCATATAAAGCTGCTTTTCCTCCCCACTCCCCGCCCTCATCCCACCCACTCCCCTTGCTCTCTCTCGTTTCTGCTTATGAAACCGCCATCAGGGGCGACAGGTTATGGGAACCCAGGTCAGCCGCAGGCTCAGGGTGATCAGTTCACGTGGCATAGGAGACCTCGAACGGCTTTTGCAGAACACAGTTGTGTCAGGAGCCCTAGAGCATCATTTCAAATGCAGAGCCTGAGTTCGCATCTCTTTTGGTACAGGTGGTGAGGCTGGGGCAGTGAGGGACAGAGACGGTCTGTTCAGGGATGCTCCTGCCTCTGAAGCCTTCCTCTCAGAGTCGGAAGCGGGGGTCACCTGTCCCCCCGACTCTCCCCCCACTCATTTGCCACTTTGCCGTCGACTCCTGGGAAGGCTGCCTGCGATGCTGGGCCTGGCCCCCTCACTGCAGGGAGCCTGGCCTCAGAGACCACCAGCTCCGGCCGTTCATCCTGGGGGGCTTGCTCAGCGCCTGTCCACTCTCCGCAGGTGAATCACCTGTCCAAGAGGCACCCGGACATGAAGATCGAGGAGGTGCCGGAGCTGACGCTGCCCATCATCAAGCCCAACCGCGACTACTTCTGTCAGTACTGTGATAAGGTAGGGGCTTGCCTGCTGCTGTCTCAGCGGGAACCTTAGCATCCCACGGCCTGGGCGCGTCCCCGCAGGCTGGGGGTGTCTATCATCACCCAGAGCGGGTGGTCTCTGTCTTTCCCGAACTTTCCTCTGAGACAGGAAAGGGCTAACAGTGCAGTCTTGTTGGAAGCCAGCTGCCTTTAATTTGGCTTTGTGGGGTCAAACCTCGGACCTCACATTGGTGAGGCATGATCACCGTCACAGAGACACTTGTCCCAAGTCAGACTATTTCCCTTCTGCCCGAGAAGCTTCGGGATTAAGACTTGCCTTGCATGAGGCGATGTGGTTTGATCCCCAGCATCAAACGGTCCCCCGAACGCAGCCGGGAGGGACCCTGCAGAGCTGGGAGTAGTCACCAGGCACCACCAGGCCTGACCCAGACCCCATCACCCCTCTCAGCGTTTCCCTTTCTTTTGATTGGGGGTGGAGCACAGCTGGCAGTGCTCAGAGGTCAATCCTGGTGGTGCTCGGGGAACCATGCAGCGCCCAGGATTGAGCTGGGGTCTTCTCCGTGCAAAGCATGCTCATGGGCCCTCGGGGCCGTCACCCTAACCCTCCAGTTCTTCAGAATTTGTAGACCAGGGTGCTCGCTTGCTCAGGGCTGGAGCATGTGCTGCCTGCTCAGGGCCTTGGGTTTGATCCCTGGCGTCACACGTCTTCCCCTCCCTCTGAGCCCTGCCAGCGCCAGCCTTAGTGTCCGGCAGGAGGACTGGGCCGGGCACAGCCCTGGAGTGACCCCAGGGCCGGAACCCTGCTCTGAAGGCCCCTACCCCAACAGAGGAATTCGTTCACTTCATTCTTGCTGTTTCTAGTCTCTGATTTTGTTACAAAAGAATCAGCTTACAGGGGCCAGAGCAATAGTACAGCAGGGAGGGTGTTGGTCTTGCATGTGACCAACTGGGGTTCGGTCCCCAGCATGCCATTTGGTTCCCCAAGCCCCTCCGGGAGTGATCCCTGAGCACAGTGCCAGGCGTAACCTCTGAGGATCTCTGGGTATGGCCCCCAAACAAGCAAGAAGCCCCGAAACAGCAAAAGAAGCCATGCTGGGGTTGGAGCCATAGCACAGTGGCTGGCACCTGCCTTCACGCGGCTGACAGGGCTCAATCCCCAGCACTGCTCACGGTCTCCCAAGTCCGCCAGGAGTGACCCCTGAGTGCAGAGCCAGGAATAAGTCCTGAGCACCCCCGATGTGGCCCAAAAGACCAAAAAATCAAAGTTTGAGTGAATGTTTGTGGTTTCGCTATGATCTTGCTTCTTTAAACAATGTAGCTGTGATTAAAAATAAGCAAGTCCGGGTCGGAGAGATTGCACAGCGGGAAGGGCACTTGCTTTGCATGTGGTGGACGCAAGTTCAATTCCCGGCAGCCCAACTGGTCCTCCGAGCCCACTGGGAGTGAGTGCTGAGTGCAGAGCTGGGAGTAAGCCCTGAGCACTGCTGGTGTGACGCCCCGATCCACTCCCCCTCTCCCCCACCAATCTGAAAGTCTCCTTTTTCTCTCTGGGCCTCCTAAGGTTGCCACAGAGTCTGAGGGGCCACCCTGCGCCAAACTGTGGCAGCCACACAAGGATGTGGCGGCTGTTGGGGCCCTGTGCAGAAGAAAATGTGTTTTATTTTTCCAATATCTCGAGTCACTGTGAATTTCATTATGAAGCTATTCACAGTTGAGTGTCAGGCGTGCAGTTTTCTGCCACTGGTTCTTCACCAGTGCCCACTTCCTGCCACCCGTGTTTCCCTCCTGGCCCCTAGCCTGCCCGTGTGGCAGCACTCTCTCCCCCTCGCCCTCATCCTTGCAATCATCCTCCTCCGCCTCCTCCTCCTCCTTCTCTTCCTCCTCCTCCTCCTCCTCCTCCTCCTCCTCCTCCATCTGTCTGTGCTTTATAAAACTGTTACTGATAGGGTGCCACGCACATCCCTTCACCTCTTTTCAGACGAAGAACATTTTTCAATCATAGGTCCCCCACTGCAGGTCCTAGTTGACATTCTGGAAGACTTTTTTGGCGTCAAACACACACACACACACACACACACACACACACACACACACACACCTATGACTCTCACAGAAAGACAGAAGAATGAACTGACCTCCGACACAATTCTCGGTCACTCACTGTCTGTCTGTCCGAAGACTTTTTTGGTGTCAAACACACACACACACACACACACACACACACACACACACCCTATGACACACACACACACACACACACACACACACACACACACACACACACCCTATGACTCTCACAGAAAGACAGAAGAAGGAACCGACCTCCGAAACAATTCTCGGTCACTCACTGTCTGTCCGCCTTTCACCTTTCATTGTCGGTGGTGCTAGGGTTCGGACCCGGGGCCTCACGTGTGCTGGGTTCTCGGCTGCTGAGCTGCGTCCTGTGCACCCTCCTCCCAACCCCCAGGTAAAGGTGATTTCCAATGGGCCAGGGGGGCGGCTCCGAGTTGCACACAGGCTCAGCATGCGTCCCTGACTCTGCCCCCCATATCGCAGGGCCCCCGCACTGCAGGAAGTGACCCCTGAGCAATAAGCTGGAAGTAGTCCCTAGACACTGCTAGGTGTGGTCCAAGAAACAGCCACAGGAAAAGAGAAAACCCAGAGATGGTTCTTGCCGTCTCCATGTCGGATGCGCGCACCCGAGCAGCACCGTGTCCCCTTCTGATCTGTCTCTCGCACTGTCTGTCCTTCACTCTGTGGGGACACTTTGTCTGGGGCCATGGGACTGCGTCGCCCCCGTCCCCTGTCCCGGGCGTGGAGAGGGCTGCTCTGAGCCGGGGAGCGGGACCGTCCGGCTGTCACAGCAAAGCGTCTGAATGTGCAGGTGTATAAAAGCGCCAGCAAGCGGAAAGCGCATATCCTGAAGAACCACCCGGGGGCCGAGCTCCCGCCCAGCATCCGGAAGCTGCGTCCTGCGGGCCCCGGAGAGCCGGACCCCATGCTGAGCACCCACACCCAGCTCACAGGCACCATCGCCACCCCTCCCGTCTGCTGCCCGCACTGCTCCAAACAGTACAGCAGCAAGGTAGGCCGGCCGGCGGGCGTGGCGGGGAGGTGGCGCCCGGGAGCAGCGCGGGCCGACGGGGGGATGATCACCCGACGCGAGCATCTGGGAACCGGCACCCAACCAGTGCCAGCTGGGCACCCGCTTCTTCCTCTCAGCCTCCGAGGCTTCCCGGCAGGAGGTTTCTCTTACCTGGAGCATTGCCCCCCAGGAGCTGGCCAGGCAGGGAGCTGCCGGAGCTGCTGCTGGTCAGGGCCCCGGGTTGCTGGGGGCTTGGAGCTGTCAGGAAGTTCTGTCACCCTGCCCGATGGTGCAGGCCCACTCCAGTTTCTTAGTTCTCTGCAGTTCCTTTTCGTTTTCCGGCAGAAGCTTGGTGCAGGGAGGTGTGGGGAAGTTGTGCGGCCCGCGGCACTCTTGTGGCTGCCGTGTGGAAGGAGGAGGCATCCCTTGTCCCTCAGAATCACTCTTGGTGTTCCCTGCCCTGTTCCAGACCAAGATGGTGCAGCACATCCGGAAGAAGCACCCCGAGTACGCCCAGCTCCCCAACACCTTCCACACCCCTCTGGCCCCCGCCGTCATCAGCACGACTCCCGCCGTGCTGACGACCGACAGTGCCACTGGCGAGACGGTGGTGGTAAGTGGGTGGACGCATCTGGGGCCAGCAGCGCTGCTTGTGTGGCGTGCGCGCGTGCACGCGTGTGTGTGTGTGTGTGTGTGTGTGTGTGTGTGTGTGTGTGTGTGGTGCTGGGGGCAGAAGCCATGCCTCAGCCGTGCTAGTCTGGGCTCTGTCACTGTGCCACAGCTGGACCCGGAGCTGCGTGCTTGGCTCCCTGCACAGGTGGCCGTGTCACTTGGCGTCCTCCACCTGGGTTCCCAACCACAGCATTTCAGCTCTCTGAAAGGGCGTGGAGAAATATTTTGGGCTGCTTGTTTGCTGCAAGTGTGTTCTGGGCTCTGGGGGGAATTAATTCCGCTGGGACTAATGAAGACAGATCAGTCCAGGGCCAGAGCGATAGTACAGTGGGTCCTCTGCCTGCCTTGCATGTGGCTGCCCCCGGTTAGAATCCACAGCACCACATGAGTACTGCCAGGACTCACCACTGAGCAGAGCCAGGATAGCTTCTGAGCATGCAGGTCCTTGCCGTCACTGCCCCTCCAATGAAATTAAAATCCTATCTTAAAACAAACAAACAATAACAAAACAACAAACAACGACAACAACAAAATCTATATCTGTATCTATATATGATTTGCAGCATTTTGTCAACTTCGAATTTTTTCTATTTGAGTTTGAGGCTGATCGGGGGTTCCATGACCCTCGGGGGGGCGGGGTGCTCAGTTTCCCGGGGGTGGTTGGGGGTTTCATGACCCCCCAGGGAGGAGGCTCAGTTTCCCGGGAGTGATTGGGGGTTTCATGACCTACCAGGGAGGGGGCTCAGTTTCCCAAGGAGTCACCGGTTTGGAGCAGCTGCAAGCCATAGCCTCCACTAACGGGCTCCCTGTGAATTTACAGACAACCGACCTGCTCACCCAGGCCATGACGGAGCTGTCGCAGACCCTGACCACGGACTACCGGACGCCGCAGGGCGACTACCAGAGGATCCAGTACATCCCCGTGTCACAGTCCACACCCGGCCTGCAGCCGCCTCAGCACATCCAGCTGCAGGTGGTGCAGGTGGCCCCAGTGAGTGCCCACGGCTGGCCTGTGTGTTCCGGGGAGTGCCGCGGCCTGCGTGTGCCCCGAGTGCCCCCGGCCTGTGTGTGCCCCCCACCTCCACCACGGGGATGCTGCTGCCCTTGTGAGCCTGACAGCCGAGGGCAGCAGAAGCACCTGGTTCTCAGAGCTAGAGCTGGACCCTCCGCCGTGCTTCTGCGCGTAGCTTCTGACTCAGAGGAATCATGCCCTTCCCCGCAGTAGCCCTGGCACCGGGGTGAGGTCCCTGTGCCCCGCAGTGTCCACGATCTCTGTCCTCCCTGTCTGCGAGGCGCCATCTGGGCCTTCGGAGGCAGCAATGTGTGACTTCTTCCGCTTTCTCCCCGGCACCCGGGCTGAGCATGTGCTGAGGAGCCTGTCCTGACCTGGACTCAGACGACCGCCGGCAGGAGTGATTCCCATTCAGTTTGTAGGAGTCAGTCCTTGTTAGAGTGGAGGAGGCGTAAGCTGTGGTCGCTCGTTCTTGCCCAGCAGGGAGCAACACAAGGGTTCCCCTCTCCCCACAACTATTCGTGAATCACACCCAGGAAGTGTATTCATCCTCCTCCAAGGAGCTGCCTTGTTGCTTTGAGACGGTACAGTCTCTGAGATGAGATGAACAGTCTGTGAGATGGTACAGTCTCGGAGGAGGGAATATTCTCTGGAATGGTATCGTCTCTGAGATCAGACGGTGTCAGAGGAATGGAAGTCACTGCCATCTGTCACTAGAAGTGAGCTTAGTTTTCTTGAGGAAGGGTCTTAATTTAGGTCTTGGAGGAATCAGGAATAATGGAGATTGGCTCTAGGAACACACGCTGCGTGTTGATTATTCGAGGAAGAATCTATACTTGACCCAGGGTTTCAAAGGTTCTGTCGTACTTAAAGCCACTCTTGCACGGGGTGAGTGATGACACATTGAAAGCAAATCTTTGAACTCCTTTAACGGGTGCCAGGTAGGCCAGGGCACTGAGGCGCTTAAGGGAAGGCGCCTGGAGGGCTGTGCTCTTCACGTTGTTATTAGAAGCTGCAGTTCTTTTTTCCCCCAGAACTCAAGAGTGTCAGTAGCTTATGTTGCATAAGCCTATTTTAGCTTATTTAGGTTTTGGGTTCACTCCTGGAGGTGCCCAGGGCTTATTCTGTACTCAGGAATCCTCGCAGTGCCAGAGGGCCTCTATGGGGTGCCAGGGATTGAACCCGTGTGGGTCTCAGTGTGAGGCGCCGCTTCATGAGTTCTGTCTGGCCTTGTCAGCCTGTCCGTCCGGATGCCGGGGCCCCTTTCCCTCACCCATCCCTCTTGCCCCCCTCCAGGCCACCTCCCCACACCAGCCTCAGCAGTCGACGGTGGACGTTGGCCAGCTGCACGACCCACAGACCTACACCCAGCACGCCATCCAGGTGCAGCACATCCGGGTCACGGAGCCCCCCACCTCAGCGGCCCCTACCTCCCAGGTACCTGGCCCGCAGACCGCTGGCCCTCAGGGCCCCCCAGGAGCGGTGGAAGTGGGGGGAGGGTCGTGTGTTCTCGGCGCTGATGAGGCTGTTTGTTGCTGTCGGGGACAGGCTTGCATTCAGGGGCGCCTCGAACATCTCCTTTGCAGGGGGGCCGTGCGGCCTGGTGTCCCGGAAACGACTGTCCCCTCGGCCTCCTCTGCTGAGTGGTGGGTGATGTGCGTGGTAGCTGACTCGTCCCTGCCGCTTTGGGTGGTGACTTAGTAGAGTCGCTTTTGTTGGATGAGTCTGTGATGGGGACCACGCCGCCACCTCTGTCCGGCTGCCTCCTTTCAGAAACGCTGGCTAAGTCCCTACCCCGTGCCTGAAGGAGCTGGGCGTCTAATGGGGGGTGAGGCCTGTGCACGTTCGAGTCTGGAGGTCCCAGGAAGGAGGCGCTGGGTCATCATCGGGGGGTGCAGGCGGGCATCCCAACATTGGCAGGTCCCAGAGCATGTGGACAGATGGCGTTCCCCGTCTGCGTAGCACAGCATCAGAACGAGCGAGAGTGAAGCAGGATGAGGCTTCTGAGTGGAGGAGAGACTTTCGCGGTGATGAAACTGCAAAGTGCGTGCGAAGTAGGAATTGAGGCTAAGTCGCATGCACTGTGCCAGAGGGAAAGAACTGCAGTTTCTGCCCAGCAGCCAGGCTGGGCTCGGGAAGCAGCAGGGAGAAGCGAGTACCCCTCCCTTTGCTGGCTCTGACCCCCCAGTTGCCACAGCAATCCAGAGGTCACACGGCGTCCTCGTCTGGGTGTCTCCTTTTTGTTTTGTTTTGGGCCACACCTACAGGTGCTTGGGTCTGACTCCTGGCTCTGTGGTCTGGGATCCCTTCTGGCAGGGCTCAGGGAACCATAGGGGGTGCCAGGGATTGAACCCAGGTCGCCACTTGCCAGGCAAGTGCCCTCCTGCTGTGCTCTCTCTCCCGCCCTTAAGTTTTCCTCTGTTCAGTGGGCTGGGGTGGGCCACGTGGCTTGCCAGGATCACCCCCTCCTCGTGTGGATGCCGTGGCTAAGTTTCTCCTGGCTCCTGCCAGTCCAACACAGGTGGCCTCTGTCCCCCCTGAGACCCCGAATTTCACTATGGAAGTGGCCCTGTACCCTGGTTCCTTTTCTTCCTGGGACAAGGGCTGCTCCGATGATCCCTGAGTGCCAGGAATAAGACTGGGAGAGGGCATGGCCACCTGCAGGCATGTGGGCGAAGCCAAGCTGTCAGTCAGGCCTCAGGTGCTGCCACACAGAGCCCGGGAGAGGAGGAGGAGGAGGAGGGCGAGGGGGAGGCCTGTCCTGGGGCCCCCACATTCCAGTTCTGAAAGTACTTCCTCAACCTGCACCCCAGGCCCCTGAGAAATGCACAAGTGTGGGGCTAGTGGGAAACTCGGGGTGTCGGGGGGACAGAGGCCACCACCCCTTCCGTCGCTGGCGAGCGTCGACTCCAATTGGAAGCTCCTCTTTTCCTCCTCTCGCCTGCTCTTGCCATCCAGGTGGCGGGCCAGCCGCTGAGCCCCTCCTCGCAGCAGTCCCAGCCAGGGCTAAGCCCCTCGCAGATCCAAGGCAGCACATCGGCGCAGGCCCAAAGCCTCCAGCAGCAGCCGCAGGGCGCCACGGTGCAGCACACCTACCTGCCCAACGCCTGGAACTCCTTCCGGGGCTACTGTGAGTAACCGGTGGGGAGAGGGGCTCAAGCCGCAGCCCGGCCATCTGGTCGACCCGAGAGTCGCTGGTCCCGATTACAGTCTTAGGGTCCCCTCTTGACTGTCCTGAAGTGAATTTTGGGACGGAGCCCCAGGCGATCCTGTCATTCCAAAAGGCCACGAACCGTAGAGTTGCTGGGAGTATTGCGGGAGGAAGGGCGGGTGGGGGGCGCAGGGAGTAGGGAAGATGGATGGGAGATGGGCAGATGGGCGCGAGTTGTCTCTTTCCTGAGTGCTGGCATATCAGTCACTGTGCGAGAGCCCTCATGACAAGACAGATGCAGACTCTTTCCTCAGCCACACCACACGGTGATGACGCTCGCTGACTTTCTGTAAGCTGTGGGGACGTTCCAGGAATGTTTCTGATCCACTTTTCCAGCACGTTCATTATTCTCTCCCTCCTCTGAGAAAAGGACAGCTTCTACTTGGATTGTTTATTATTTACTTATTCTAAAAATTTCTTTAAATGTAGGAGTACTGCTCTTTATTCAGCCACTGATTAAGCTGATTGAAGCAGCCATGAACCGCACGTGACTATTTTTGTAAAAATGTTTAATTGAATATCCGTGAGATAGACCATTACAAAGCTGTTCATAATTGGGTTTCAGTCATACAGTGATCCGGCACCCATCTCCACCAGTGTACATTTCCCACCACCAATGTCCTCTGTTTCCCTCCCATCCTCCAACACCTCTTCCCCCATCTCCCCCACCCCCAAGCCTACCTCTATGGGAGCCACTTTTTGTCTTACTCTCGACGAGGCAGTTTAGACAGAGTGACTGGCCCAGGGGACATAGCTCGTATCTAGACGGTTGGTCCCCAGCAGTAAGGCTCCAGGAATGTCCACTTTAAATCACCTCTTCATGCTCCTTCTAGCAAGAGAATCTTTAGCTCAAAGAGATTGTTGTTTTGTGCACAAGATATGCAGGCCGTTAATTTCTAAGCCTGTGCTTTGTGCTGTAGAAGCGGTCAAAGGTGGACTCGCAGCTGGGGGTTGAAAACTGGTCTGAGGAAAACAGCCCGGGGCATGAACCAGCCAGCCTGCCAGCTTTAGCACTGAAGAGGCGGAGGGGCAGGGAAGAGCGGCAACGGTCAGCTCTCTGCGGGAGGACCAAGTGGATTCGGCAGGCCCTGGCAGGAGGGAGGAGAGGAGGAACACCATGGACCTTTCTGCACCATACATCTCTGGGAGCTGTGGGGCCGGGTGCCAGCCCTGCGTGCCAGCTGTCTCTGCAGTCTGTGCTCTCCAGCACGGCAGCCGTGTGAACACTGAGTGTGGTCTCTGCTCAGGGAAGGCGCCGACGCCTGCTGATACCCGCAGAGTCCAGAGGACAGATTGAGGCTTATGCTCCGCTGAGTTCTGTGGCAGTTGGTGGAATGGTGCACATCGCCCCCGTGGAACCAGTATGAGTTAGCCTTTGAGCCTGAAGATTCGAGAACTGAAGTTTCGTTTTTGTGGTGGTGGTGGTGTGTGTGGAGTGGTGTTCCAGCAGGAGGGGCACACCTGGCAGTGCTGGGGGCCATGAGGTACCAGGGACAGAATCCGGGTGTCCTACATGCTAAGAATGTGGGCTTGCTATTGGCTCTGTGCTTGATTTCACTTCTAGTGGTGGTTGGGGGACCCTTTGTGGTACCAGGGATTGAACTAGGACCAACCTCGTGCAAAGCAAGCACCTTAACTTCTGTAGTGTCTCCCCAGCTCCCTTCTCTTCATAGGGGGGCCCATGTCCAGCAGTGCTCAGGGATCACTCCCAGCTCTGTGTTCAGGGATCACTTCTGGCAGTGCTCGGGGTGCTGGGGATCAAACCCAGGTTGGCCGTGTGCAAGACAAGTGCCCTGCACACTGTCCGATAGCTCCAGCCACCACGTCCCACTTTTATGTTTTAATGCCACTGAATTCTTCATCACCATCAGCCTTCACTAGCCTTTGTACCTACATGATTGTGTCACGGTTTTTATGTATTTTTTAAAATTTAATTTTACTTTTATAAAGTTGTTCACAATGATTGATGACATTCAATATTCCAGAACCAATTCCACCACTGTCACAACTTCCCACCACCATTACTTCTAAGTTTCTCAACCACCACCCAAGTCTGTCCCGATAGCCGTCCCTAAATAATTTATTCTGAATTGCTTGTTATGATTCGCTAAAACTGATCCCAAATAAGTTTTATGTGAAGATTGTTGTATCTCACCCTGAAGACATTAAGCTCCTGTGTAAGAGATTGCTAATATGTTGTTACAGGTTGAGCCTTGTGTGCTAATTTTTTTTAAATCGAGATCAGTTGTCTTCTACTTTCCATCCCACCCAAGGTGGCGTGCTACTCCTGGTCCATCAGTGGTGTAGAGTTATGAGAGGTCACTCCAGGAGTTCCAGAGTTTTGATAGGGCGATGCAGCTGGAGTTGAATTTTTAACTAGATGGTGGCTTTGTGGTCTGGAGGCATTTTGTTCACAAAAACCACATGCCTGAGTTTTTCAAGAAGTTTGTGGAGCTCGGCCGTGAGCGTGGCGGTGATTGGGTCCTGGAGGTTTTCGGCTGCTGGGGCTCTGTTTGCGCAGGGGCTGGGTTCGCCCACCACTCCCCGGGGTGCCCTGGGTGAGATTCAGTCTGGCGCAGGCCTGGAGGCATCTCTGGGGCTTGTCGATCTCTTCTGAGACTTGTGAGTCTCTGGATCATGACTGGTTAATGAGTTTATATGGGGCCAGAGGTAGTTTGTGGGTGTGTCTGCCAGGCTCCTAGAAGAACAGGGAGATGGGGGGGGGTCACCCATCCCTGACTCTGCGAAGGCCTGGATATTTTGGTTACAAAACCCGCATACCCGAGTTTTTCAAAAGATTCATTCCTGGATGAGGCTCATCCCGAGTCTGTGGAGATCGGCTAGTCTCACTGCCTTTTTTTTCTGTTTGTTTTGTTTTGTTTTATTATTATTTTTTTTGATCACCCTGAGATACAGTTACAGAGCTTTCCTGTTTGAATTTCAGTCATACAGTGATCGACCACCCAACCCTCCACCAGTGCACATCTTTCACCACCAAGAACACCCGTATCCCCCCATCCCACCCCTCCCCCTGCCTCTATGGCAGACAATCTCCCCCATACTCTTTTTGTATTGCTTGTCATGAACAGCATAAGATGTCATGCAGCTGTAAGAGCGACCATGTGCTCCTCGAACGCCAAAATTCCAGATAATTAGGGTCTGGAGAAATCTCTGCAGCAAGCTGCTGGGTTCAGCAATTCCTTTGTCTCTCTGGATCAAGGCCCTCAAGAAGCTTAAGTAGCAGCCTGAGGCAGCTTGTGGGCGTGACCTCCAGGGTCCCAGGGGGTTGGGGGAATGGTCCATCCCCTATCCCTTGAGGCTTGGAGTTCGCCATCACTGAACTTCTCACTGGATTCTGGAAGTTGGCAGCTGCCAGGGTTTTTAAGAGGCAGATGGAAGGATGACGCCTCCCCCTGTCTGAGGCACCCTGGTGAAGTCGGCCTGGCTTAAAGTCCGGAGGCAACTCTGCAGTGATCTGCTCAGTTGGGAGATTCTTTGGCGTGTCTCTGGATCATGGCCCTTGTTTCCATCTTTTCCCGAGATATAAACTATTGGATCTGCCCTGCAGGGAGCACCTGCTCACCAGCAGCACGCTGTGTTGGCCCTAACTGCAGCTTTTGATCCCTTTTGAGAATATGGGTCTCTGAAACAAGGCCAACAGATGAGCTTGTATAGCTGAGCCAGAGGTGGTTTGTAGGTGTGGCTCCCGCATACCGAACTTTTGGCCATTTACTTTCTTGGTAAACTTGGACCCAAGCTGTTGGGGTCAGGCCGAAGGCACAGCAACAATTTTGAGGGATCAGGAAGTCTGAAGGCACCATGAGGCTGCGGATGCACTCGCCCCACGGGTACAGGTTGCTCTGCTGGTGGCACCGTACCCCCTGGCCCCATGTTTTTAATAGCTAATTTATTCACACTCCTGTCGTCACTTGGAATGATCGTTTAAAGCATGTCTATTGACCTTCAAGATATCAGGAACCAGATCTGGTTACTTATTCCACCTTACTTACTGCCTCACCTGGAGAGTGGAGAGGGACGCAGAGAGGGCTCTGCTTGCCTGTATCTCGTCTGTCACTCTGGGCTTTCCCAGCCTGGGATTGGCCAGATCCCCTAAGTCTAGATTCTCATTCTGATGGTGCCACAAGGGGTGCTCGACAGTCAGTCAGATCACAGGATTTTTGCAAGAGTCTGGCTGAGGTCTTCACCCTGCTGAGATGCTTGGGGGCAGGATGGAGGCAGGGGGCTGTCGTAAAAGCCGGTTCATTCCATGTGAGCTCCGAACAAGGGCCACACTTTGTAAGATTGTAGAGTTTCTTTTCGGGTCTCTATTTTCTCTCTGCAAGTTGCGCTCATTGTTGCTGAAGCTGGGTTGTCTGTTCTGAGGCGTTTCCTACGCTTTGGACTATGTTGATAGCACCTGTTAGCCATTGATTTTTCTTGGGCTCCCTTTGTTTCCTGTAGACCTACGACTAGATCATAATCAGGCTCAGTGTTCTGCCCGATGGCTTGTTCCTTCCTCCTTTTTCCTTTGCTTGGTTCTTTCTTTCTTTTTTTGTTGTTTGTTTTTGGTTTGGGGGCCATACCCAGCAGTACTCAGGGCTTACTCCTAGCTCTGCACTCAGGGATCACTCCTGCTGGGGCTCAGGGGACTGTATGTGGTACCAGGAATTACACCTGGGTTGGTCGCATGCAAGGCAAGTGCCCTTCCCACTGTACTATCACTGTGGCCCTGGAGAAGCCATTTTTTCTGGGATTGTCCAAGCTGACCTCTGAGAGCGCATGTGTGTACCTTGGTGTTCTCACATAGATGTCTGCAGATCCTTCTCGATGCTCCCAGGGGCCCAACTTTGGCCAGTGGAGACAGTGGCCACAGGGCTCTGGCATCTTTCCCTCACACCCCAGAAGCTCGTGTGGCTTCTTGCAGTCTGGGATGGCCACGTTCTTGCCTCATCCAACGTTTCCTGCCTCTGGCGTGGAGCCCCCCCATTTCCCCGAGAAGCTCTGGTTCAGAGGGCTGAAAGTACATGCTAATTCATATAGGAATATAAGAAAATCAAAGGACTGAGCTAAGAGGGAGATCTTTGCAGCTTGTCTCAAGGTCTGAAGCATTGGCACGCTTGTCTCAGTGGACCCTGGGAAGCCACGCTGAGGGCCACGTGTGGTTCCTGACCTTCGGTGGCCCTCTCCTAACCTCAGAGAACCCATCTTTATTTTTCAGGAAACCTACCCCTCTTTCAGGAAACTTCAGCCCCCCCCTCCCCCACACACACACCCATGGCAAACAAGTGCATCTGTGGGAAATGTCGAGGGGGCATGTGGTCACCGATAATTTGTTTCTGTGTCACGCATCTAACTCCGCAGCCTCCATAACGCTGGACATTTCCTGTTTTTCAGCCTCTGAGATTCAGATGATGACACTACCTCCAGGTCAGTTTGTGATCACAGACAGTGGCGTGGCCACTCCCTTGCCCGCTGGCCAAGTGAAGGCCGTCGCTACGGTAAGCCACACCGAGGACGGGGGGCTGCTCCCTGTCTCCCTCCCCTGCCTCCTATTCCCCAGCCTTCCGTGTCTGAGCTCCAAGCACCTCCTTTGTCCCCTTAACTACCTGAGGGTTGGACCCCAGCATTCTTCTTGGTTTACTGCCTGTTTGTACCCGGTAGAGAAACCAACCGACCTCCTTTCCTCCCTTTGTCCCTCCTTCTCTTCTTTCCTTCCTCCCTTCTCTTTCCTCCTTCCTTCCCTGCTGCCTGCCTCCTTCCCTCCCTTCCTTCCTCCCTCTCCCAACAACTCTCAGCCATCTGGTCTAGCAGTTCAGTCGAGGGCCCTAGACATGGTGCTGAGCAGGCCCTGTGTTGCCTAGGACACCAGGGGTCCCCCGGCGATTTGTGGGGGCCCCAGAGCTTCACCCAGTCCTTAGGGGATCATGCATTGCCAGGGAACGAATCAGGGTCAGCTGCATGCAAGTCATGCCCACCAGCCCTGTGCTGGCTCTCTCTGTGGACCCACTCGGGGGCTGCTCCTGGCACTGCGTGGTCACCTTGTAGGGTTGGAACCCAAGCCTTCTGCACGCAAAACGTGCTCAGGCTTTGAGCTACACCGTGTGGCATTCAGGCTCGGTACTCAGGGTCCAGACCTGGTGGTGCTCAGGGTACTGTATGCAGTGTCAGGGATCAAGCCTGGGCTTCCTGCGTGCAGAGCCTGCATTCCTGCCCACGGGGCACCTCTCCAGCCTGGTCTTTATCTCCTCATCCTCTGTGCTTTGCTCAGATTGCTGGCATACAGCAGATGCTCGAGGAATGTTTATTCGAAGAAATAGAAGAGAAAAAGGAAAGGAAAGCAAAGAATTTTTCAAAGTAGTCAGTCAATAATACTTTGGTCCAGAAAGCTAGTGAAGTAAGGGAGTAAGTTGTACACCCCCTGATTGGAAAGCCAGGAGCCTGTATACTTGCTCCCTTGAGAGAGAGAGAAAGAGAGAGAGAGAGAGACAGACAGAGACACAGAGACAGGCAGACAGACAGACAGAGACGGAAAGAATCTAAAATAAATAAGGGGCCAGGACGGTAGCCCAGCAGGGGGTCACTCACCCTGCACATGGGTGACCCTGTTTCAATGTCCGGCACCTCCTATGGTCCTCATTCCCCTCCAGGAGTCCCTGAGTGCGGAGGAGCCAGGATTAAGCCCTGACCACCACTGGGCGTGGCCTCAAAACCAACAAACAAAAAGAAATAAAAATTAGACGGAGAGATTGTATAGTGGGTAGGGCACTTGCCTTGCACAGGGCCAACCCAAGTTCTATCCCCAGCACCTCATACATTCCCCCCAAGCCCACCAGGAGTGATCCCTGAGTGCAGAGCCAGGCATAAGCCTTGAGTACTGCCAGGCATGATCCCAAAACCAAAATAGCATAAATAATGACTTGACTTAGCTACATAAATTTGGGAACATTATATGTTCATTTATGTCGTGTTTCTGGTCTTTTAAATTCTGCACCCCATAAGCCACCCCCCTTAATTACCTGTCTGAGTCTGCCTTGTATGTCTGTCTTTTGGGCCACACTGCGGTACTCAGGGCTTCTTCCTGGTTCTGCACTCAGGGATCACTCCTGGTGGGGCTTTCGGGACCATTTGGGGTACTGGGGATTGAACCTGGGTTAGCCACGTGCTGCGCCAGCACCCCGCCTCCTGTACTGTCACTCTAGCCCATGCCACATTCCTCTTGCCGCTGTCCCTGGCCCCGCTTCTGCGTTTTTAAGATGTCGGATGCTTCCTCTCTGGTCCATTTTGTAGTCAGTTGTGATTTCGACTCTCAGAACAGCAATCCTTTTAGGACTTCCTGAACTCCTGGGGCAGCACGGACATGTATATCCTTTACCTTATACCAGGGTGACAGTCCCTGTGCTTCGAGGCTCCCAGTACCATTTGGGTTGGCGGAATGCTCTGGTAAATGACCTTTGTGGCCCACTGCTGTGCCAAATCCATTCTTTCCAAGGCCTTAGGGACCGCAGCTTCCATAGGTGCCTGTCCTAGTGTCCGCTGGCAACACTTCTGTTGTGGACGGACCCTTGTGCACACTCGCGCAGGAGTGCCCACCTTCCCTGCTCCCGTCTGCCGGGCCTTCATGGGGACATTTCTTTGCCTGTTCCTTCCTCGTCCTCTTGCCCCTGCAAGGCCTCAGGTTCCTAAAGGTCCTTTTTCCTGCTTTAGGGGCATTATGTGTTGTCAGAGAACCAACCGGAATTAGAAGAAAAGCAAGCCGCTGCCCTCGCTGGTGGAGTCCAGGTTCAGGCAGCTGCACCCGGTGATTTGGACCCCCAGAGCACGCAGCCGCAGCCCACGCAGTTCATCATCACCACCACCACCAATGGGGACGGTGCCAGTGACGTGCAGTTGGCCAAACCCTGACCCGCCCCATGCTCTGCCCCCAACGCATCATGTCTCCTGTCTCTTCTCATTCCAAGGCCAGAAGCTCCGGCCCCTGCGAGCTCTTTCTTTTAAGATCAATCATTTACTCAAGAGTTTGGAAACCAGTTTTGACACTCATGCAGACAGCCGGGGCATATGTTACCAAGGTCAGCTTTTTCTTATGAGCTCTTGAAACCGTCGGAGTTTCTGCCGCAGAAGGGAACTCTCGGGGGGAAAGCAGATTTCAAGAAGGAGTAACTTTGCCTTGCTCTTGATTTTTTTTTTTTTTGGTTGTCGTTCTGTTTAGCACAGTGATAAGCCTTATTTTTTCCTTTGTGGAAATATGAAGTGGTGTATTGTGTTTGTACCAAAGGTCAAGAAAGGATGTGCCAAGTCCGTGGCCACGGGACTTCTTAACGCCAAGCCATGACACCAAAGGAGAAGGGCGTTCATGGGGGTCTGCTTCACCTCGTGTGTTTTGAGTTGTCAGTCATTTCACAAAAGGAGCCAACTGAAGAAGAACATTAAGAAAATGATGAAACAAAGGGTTGACAGTGATCTTCGGAAGGGAAAAAAGCTGTCATCTAGATTTTTCTTATGGCTGGGTTTTTGTTTTTTTGAAGACTTGCCTCTATGGGGGAAACTGCTGTTGGGCTGTTGGCAGTGGTTCCCGCCGTGGATAAGGCCGGAACCTCATGTTCTCACTGACCCTTGTTTTATTCCCCAGTGGTGGACTCTCCGTACGAGAAAGGGTTGCTTGATGTCAGCCGAATCTCAACTCCGACATTAAAACTTGGCCACTCCGATTGTTGCTTGTGAAGGAAGAGCTGCTAGGGTGACAGGTCCTAAGGGAAGACACTGAAATCACGACGTAGAGGAGGTTCAAGCCCTGGCAACCCGGTCGCGTCCTGTTCTCTGCCGCAGAGAAGGGCGAACCCCGGCTCTTCCTCCTCGGGTGTCTGTTCAGTCGCTCACAGCAGTCCCCGTAACAGTACTTTCAGCATTGTTTCCAAATGAATGTCTCGTGAGGTCGGGTGGAAAGGTGGTCCTCCTTTATTTCTTAACAGTTCTCATTCATAACCGATGACAAGTCACTTGCCCTTTCTCTAAAATAATAGACCTCACACCTCGGTGGAAAAAAAAAAACGTGGGGGACCATTTTATAATGTGTTGAAAAGACTGGATAGGGTTCTGGAAGAAATTCAATCTTTCCGAATATTAAACTATTAGTTGGAAGAGGAGGGAAAATCTGCCTCAGTAATAGTTTTCCTTAGATGTATTCTTCTCTGGGAGTTGTGCTAGCTATGAATTAAGTGGGGAAAAATATTTCCTTTCTACTGTACATTCCAGTATATACACAAAACATGACTGAAAGCAATATGTATTTTAACAACTTTATGTGACATAGTAGCACATTTTTTAGAGTAACTGTTGCGTAATCAAATTTTATCACGCCAGAACAGAAACACCTAATTTCAGTTTCAAATGAACTGAACTCATTTTATTATTTACATTTCAGGGCAAAAACTGGTTCTATAAAGGAAGAGGGAGAGTTGCTTCTTTCCGGTAAAGATACTTTCCTGAAAAACAAACACTTCTGTTGAAATAACTTACTGATACGTAGATTTTGCACTTTATTTCTTGAGATCACGTTCATTTAGTTATCCCTGAAAACTAGGGCACTAGGAGAATTTGAGAAAGTTCCTTGGCCGGTGTGTAGAAACTGAAAGTGGATCCTATTATCTTTGGTAACAAAGAGGTAACGTTGATATTTTCAATAGAAAATACTGTCCAGGACACAACAGAGACTCAGGGTCCCCAAGTCTCACAATGGATTGTTGTAAATATCCTGAGGGTATCCAGTCTAAGAGACTTGCTCCATGAAAAATAATAGACTTTCCCAAAGGTCTTGTTTTATATCTTAAGGTTGACCCTTGTGTGGGTCCTTTTGAATTGGAACCAGCAAGGCCCCCCCACCCCTGGGCCGAACTTATTGATGGAAATGAAAATTCCCACTAAATGAATGTTCATTTTATGCCAGTGATTTCAAGTTTTAAAATACTCAGAAGAAAGGATCGTGGAAGGGCCTTGTCTCTGCCCCATTAAGTGTGTGTGTGTGTGTGTGTGCGTGCGCGCGTGCGTGTGAATGTGTGTGTGCGTGTGTGTGTGTGTGTGTGTGTGTGTGTGTGTGTTTCTTTTTGCTTTGGTCCTCAGACTGAATAAGTAAAGGCCCTAAACATCCATTGCTATCACCAAGCAGGGAGGTAGGTGCAGACCAGTGAAAGAGCATTGCTCTGAGCACCGGTGCTCTACAGATTCATTCCAAGGCAATCGAATTTCCTACCGAGCTGGGCTTGAAGCCCCGGTAGCTTCTGAGTCTTCCAGCGACCCATCCGGAAACAATGTCTGTCACCCACGTTTCTACTGGGGCTTCTCCTAAGACCCGCTGGCACTGCCTCTCTCTGCCAGTGCGGGGACTGTGTTTCCAGGCAGGTGATATACAGGTTTTTACGTTTTTCAACGTTTGCTTTGTATCCACAGAAATAGACATTTCATCATGTATATTCCTGTTGTTCTGGAAATTCCTGTTGTTTTGATCTTCTTGGATTTTTTCCAAAATTTCGAATTCTTTTCCAAATAACTCTCTCAGACGTCTAGAGCAAAAAAAGCACTTGATGAAAGAGGCTTAAGCTGGGCCACCGGTTGGAAATGTTGACCCTCTCCTGTTATTTAAATGTGAACATTTATTGTATATTCAGTGAGTTATAGTGTTGATAGTCTTGTGCTACTCAGCAGGTGTAAAAATTAATAAATATTTTTTTTAATAAACCATCATCCTCGTTCATATGTGCGAAGCTGCAAGAGCTACTGCGATTGTTCCTTTTTTCGGATGTTTCCCATAGGAGTAGTCCTGGGCTGAGTATTACCATCACGTCATTAATTTGGGGGCAGGGCACCCACTGGTGATCAGGGCTTACTCCTGGCTCTGCACTCAGGGATCACTCCTTACGGGGCTTCAGGACCGTATGGGGTGTGGGGGATGGAACCCGGGTCTGCTTTGTGCAAGGCAATGCCCTGCCCGCTGTACTATTGCTCTGGCCCCTTAACAGTCATTAAAACAAACAAACAAAAAAAAACAGGAAAGAAGAGGGCATATGGCCCTGCGGATTGAACCCGGATGGTTAGCGGGCAAGGCAAGTGCCTTATCCACCGTTCTATGGGGGTCCAGGGGCCTGGACTCTTTTGGCCGGTAGGAGGTGCTACACCGGCTGTGCTCAGGGGACCATATGCAGTGCTGGGGATCTAACCCCTCCGGCCCTACCAGCTCTACTCTCTCCCACCCTAGATTCTTACCTAGAGACCGGTTATGGAGTTTAATTCAGCATGTGGCTTTTTTGGGGAACGAGAGATCTCCGAAAGGACTGGGAACCGGGCATTGCATGCAGGAGGCCCAGTTTCAATCCAAGCACCCCTGGGGACAGCCCCTAGCACAGAGCTGGGAGTAGTCCTTGAATATGGCCCCAAGTAAAATTGAGATGCAGCTCTTCGTTGTTGCTTTCTGGACTTCTGCGGCATAGGGATGGAAGAGAGAAATGGGGACGCGCCACGGACAGATTCAGGTTCATTCCTCACTGTAGTGACGTGCCAACAGCTGCAGCGCAGAGAGCATGGACAGAGGGTTTCAGGAATGGCTGGCGCAGAGGTCCGCGCTCAGAAGCCCAGAGCTGAGAAAATCGCGCTCCTGGTGCTGCAGTGTGCAGTTCGCTCTTCAAGGCTTCCAAGTCAGGGGAGCAGGGAGTGCGGAAAGCAGGCATAAAGTGCTCACTACAGAGGCAGGCCTCGGGGCAGGAGGGTAACTGGGGACACTGGCGGAGGTAAGTGGATGGACCCTGGTGAAAGAACTGGTTGTTGGAATTTTGTACTCCAGGACTCAATCATGAATCATTTTGTGACTTTGTAACCCACGGTCATTTATTCAATTTAAAAAAAAAGAACAGAAAAATCTTTCTTTAATGGTAGCACTGTAGCAATGGTAAAAATAAAAAAAGAGAAAGAAAAGAAAAAACTACAACCCACGGGGCTGGAGTGACAGCACAGCCCGTTTGCCTTGCACGCGGCCGACGTGGGTTTGATTCCCAGCATCCCATATGGTCCCCTGAGCACCGCTAGGAGTAATTCCTGAGTGCAGAGCCAGGAGTAACCCCTGAGCATTGCCGGGTGTGGCCCAAAAAAGCAAACAAAAAACCCAAAAAAACTACAATCCGCATCCCAAAGGTCCCGCCTCCATAAGCCTCGCCCCCCTCGCCCCCCCTCCAGGCCCCGCCTCGCGCAGCCTGGCCACGCCCCAGCACCTATAAAGCCCCGCCCCGCGCGGTCCGGACTCCAGGCTCCGCCCCCCGCACCTCCAGGCCCCGCCTCGCGCAGCCTGACCACGCCCCTATAAGCTCTATGCCCCGCCTCGCCTCGAGCACCTCGTTCGTCCCGGCCCCGTCACCTTCAGGTCCCGCCCTATGTCAGCCCCGCCCCCACTCGCTCATCCCCACCCCCGCGGCCTGGGATCCGCTCTTCTCCAGGCCCCGTCCTTGACACCTCCAGGATCCGCCCTCTAGAACCCTCGTCCCCACCTGGCGCAGCCCCGCCCCGCGCAGCCCCGGCTCCGGCCTTCGCCAGGCCCCGCCCCCGACACCTCCGGTCACGCCCTCATGAAGCCCCGCCCCTCTCAGCCCCGTCCCTCAGCCCCGCCCCGGCAGCCCCGGCTCCGGCCTTCGCCAGGCCCCACCCCCGACAGTTCCGGCCCCGCCCCCGGGAAGCCTCGCCCCGCTCAGCCCCGGCTCCGGCCTTCGCCAGGCCCCGCCCTCGGCACCTCTGGCCCCGCCCCCGAGAAGCCCCGCTCCGCTCAGCCCCGGCTCCGGCCTTCGCCAGGCCCCGCCCTCGGCACCTCTGGCCCCGCCCCCGAGAAGCCCCGCTCCGCTCAGCCCCGGCTCCGGCCTTCGCCAGGCCCCGCCCTCGGCACCTCTGGCCCCGCCCCCGAGAAGCCCCGCTCCGCTCAGCCCCGGCTCCGACCTTCGCCAGGCCCCGCCCCCGGCACCTCCGGTCACGCCCTCATGAAGCCCCGCCCCCCTCAGCCCCGTCCCTCAGCCCCGCCCCGCTCAGCCCCGGCTCCGGCCTTCGCCAGGCCCCGCCCTCGGCACCTCTGGCCCCGCCCCCGAGAAGCCCCGCTCCGCTCAGCCCCGGCTCCGGCCTTCGCCAGGCCCCGCCCTCGGCACCTCTGGCCCCGCCCCCGAGAAGCCCCGCTCCGCTCAGCCCCGGCTCCGACCTTCGCCAGGCCCCGCCCTCGGCACCTCTGGCCCCGCCCCCGAGAAGCCCCGCTCCGCTCAGCGCCGGCTCCGGCCTTCGCCAGGCCCCGCCCCCGGCACCTCCGGTCACGCCCCCGAGAAGCCCCGCCCCGCAGCCCCGCCCCGCAGCCCCGCCCCGCTCCGCTCCGGCCTTCCCGGGGCCCAGGCCCGGCCCTCCGCAGGCCCCGCCCCTTCCGCCGCCGACCCCGGAGCGTGCACGCAGCCGGACGCCTGGCGGGAGCGAGCGCGTCCGGGCGCCCGCGGGCCGAGAAGCTCTGCGGGTCGGGAGACCCGGGCCCCGGCTCGGGTGAGGGCAGGCTCGGGGCGGCGGGGGCTCCCGGCGGCACCGGGGAGCCCGGGGGGAGGCGGCCGCCGTGGGCGCGGCGTCGGGAGCGGCGCGCGGGCGCCGGGGCCGGGCGGGCGGGGGTCGGGGCCGGGCACGGGTCGGGGAGGGCCGCGGGGGGCTCACGGCTGCTCGCGGGGAGCCCCGGGTGCAGCTGGTGGCGCCGGGAGCTTCCCGGGAGACGGTCGCCCAGGTGGGCGCAGGGCTCGGGAGCCCCGTTTCCGGGCTCGGCCCGCGGGCGCGGCGTGCGGTTCGGGTTTGGGGGTCGAGTCCGTGTTCCGCGGGGCAGCTGCGGGCCGTGTGGGTTCCGGGACGGGTCCAGCGTTCGGCAGGGCAGAGGCTGCCAGGCAGCGCGGGGAGACCAGCCGGTTGCCCACCGCGGTTGAAGGAGCCGGAGGTAGAACTCTGCCCTTGCGGCCGTTACTCGCCTGTCAGTTCGGAGCACTTTATTCTGAGCAGCAGGTTGCTACAACCCCCCCCCCCCCCTTTTTGCTTTTTAATTGAAAGTCGTTTGTGTGTGTGTGTGTGTGTGTGTGTGCTCGCTGTTAACTGTAAGGCTTGTACTTTTCTCACCTGCCTCGCTTGTTTTGGTGCCAGGAATGTTGGGGACGTTGTGGTTTACCACCCGCTGGAAGGGGTTGGGGCCACAGTTCATTGGGGGACCTGCAGCCCCTTTGCCCAGTGCTCTTCCTTCAGCTGTATCTCGACACTGATGGGAAATCTCTTCCTGGCGACTCGGAGTGATTTGGGGAATAGCCTTAGGTGTCTCTCTGCTCTTGATCGTTGAGGAGCTCAGCATTAGGCCTGTCCGTGCCCCCTCTCTCCAGCTGCATGCCAGGGTGCGGCTCATCCGGCTGGTAACTCACTCACCGTAGGATGCTCAGGCTGGAAATTGCAATTGAGAAGACCTGGGCCAGCTCCCCTTCCTTTAGGAGGAAGAAATATTTGGCCAGCACCACCGAAATGGGGCTTGAAGTTTGATCCTCTCGTCTTCCATCTCTCTTCCTCTTTCTGTATTATTGTATGTGTTCCCTCCTTCATTAGGAATTGGAGGTCAGGCAGATTTAGCCAGGCCTGGAGAGAGAGGACAGTGGGTACGCCCCTTTGCCTTGCATGCAGCCAACTTGTCATCCTTAAGGTCCCCCCAACACCTCCAAGAGTATTCCTCGAGTGCAGCTACAAGTAAGCCCTGATGTAGCCACTGGTGTAGCTAGCCCCTTAACTAAAAAAGTAACTGTTGCCAGTGTTTGTAGAGTGAGTGAATTCACGTTCCCTGTTGGCGCTGTGCAAACCAGAGCTCAGTCTTCCTGTTTCTGATTTGCACTAAGAAAATACTGATTGCTCGCTTAGGCCCTCTCTCCTCCATCCCTCCTTCTCTCTCCAAAGCCTACTGTGACCACTGGGTTCCATTCCCGCCAGCGGTGCTTTATGCCAGGAAAGGGGAATGGTAACATTTACAAGGTTTTAAATGTCAGATCCAGCTGCCGCCTGGTCAGGTGCGAGGAGCCTGTGGAGTTTCAGTGGATATTGACGCTTCCTTGTGATGGTTTAAACTGAGCTGCTGTTGGGGAGAGATGGTGTGTGGGGCCCACATGGGTTTGCAGCCTGACCTGAGTATCATGGCGGGGCAGGTTGATCTCGGTTCTCCTGGGGACCATCCAGTCCCAGTTGTAAGAATTAAGAGATGCGGGAAATACTCAGCACATTAGTAGGTGTTCACTAAATCACTTCTTGTTGGTTGTCTTGAGTTTTGCTCATTTGCGGAATTTTAAATTTTTCTTTTTTTTCTTTTGGCTTTTTTGCTTTTGGGGTCACACCCGGCAATGCACAGGGGTTACTCCTGGCTCTGCACTCAGGAATTGCTCCTGGTGGTGCTCGGGGAACCATATGGGATGCTGGGAATCGAACCCTGGTCAGCCGCGTGCAAGGCAACCGCCCTGCCCGCTGGGCTATTGCTCCAGCCTGGAATTTGAAATTTTTCTTCTGCAAAAGAGAACAGCGAAGAATTAGCTGCTGGGGAAAAAAACAAAACAAAACAAAAAAAAAAAAACCAGCCACTGTGAAAGAAATTGTGGTAGAGGTGAATGTCCTGGGAAGCCTCACTCACAGACCGTGATCTATGGGGCATTTAAGTCTAGTTTTGCTAATGTGTGACGTGTTTGTTTCGGGGCCACACCCACCAGTGTGCAGAGGCAGATCCTGGCTCTGAGCTCAGGAATTACTCCTGGACCGTTCGGAGGGACCGTAGGGGTTGCCGGGAGTTGAACCCGCGTTGGCCGTGCGCATCGCAAGCGCCCTACCTACTGGACTATCTCCCCGGCCCTGCTCATGTGTGTGGTGAAGGCCTAAGAATTGCTACCCGCTTGGCAGTTTGGCGTGTGGGTTGAATGACAGCTCAGTATTCCGAGTCATGAGAGCTCGCGAAGGAAGGCTGGAAGATTCGGATGAGAGGCCAGAGTGATGGGACAGCGAGGAAGACTCTTCCCGCTGTGTAGCCAGGTTCCATCTCTGGCACTGAGTAGGATCCCCCGAGTCTGCCAGGAGCCATCCCCGAGCGCAGAGCCGGGCAGAAGCCCCCAGCTGCTGGGTGGGGTGCGCACCGACTCCAATGCACTGTGGCACTGTCCTCCCGTTGTTCATCGATTTGCTCGAGCGGGCCCAGTAACGTCTTCATTGTGAGACTTGTTGTTACTGTGTCTGGCATATCGAATACGCCACGGGGAGCTTGCCAGGCTCTGCCGCGCGGGCGAGATACTCTCGGTAGTTTGCCGGGCTCTCCGAGAGGGGTGGAGGAATCGAACTCGGGTTGGCCATGTTGGCTGCTTGTAAGGCAAATGCCCTACCCTCTGTGCTATCGCTCCAGCCCACCAACTTCCATAAAAAGAAAAAAAATTTTTTTCCCTATGAGAATGCAGTGGTGGAGGGTAAGAGAAGAGTCTTGGTGGGTAAGGGCGAGAGGTGAGAGGGAATTGGAGAGAGGGTTTGCGGGGCCCACAGTGATTCTGGAGAACAGTCTCTCTGCACGTCCCCTGGATTTCTGTCCTGACGACCCGGCTGTTTCTAGGTTGCTTGTGGAGCAGAGACAATGGACTCCCTGGACCACATGCTGACGGACCCCCTGGAGCTGGGCCCCTGTGGGGACGGCCACGGCGCCCGCATCATGGAGGACTGCCTCCTGGGGAGCACGCGGGTCAGCCTCCCCGAGGACCTCCTGGAGGATGTGAGTGGGCATCCCGCACCCCTCTCTGCTCGGGCCCCGCCAGGCCAGAACACTTGCCAGCCCTGTCTTGTGTGTTTTCCAGCTTGATAGCGTGACAGTGAGCGCCAGCAAGGAACCACCTGTTTTTTACGTCATGCGTAGAATTCGGGGGCCAGGGATGTGATGGAGGTCGGGTGCATCCCTCTCCCGTGGGGGGGTGGGGCCCTGGGTTTGATAGCCCCAGGACTGCAGGGACAGGAGCCACGGCACAGCGCCAGGCGCAGCCCTCTGTGCAAAGGAAACCAGGGGGCATCGCCTCGTGTGCTCTGGGTGCCAGCCTGTCTGCAGGCTCTGGCCCCCCCGGGGTGGGCTGGCCCCTCCTCATCTCTGAGGTGGGGCTCAGTTATTAAGTGCTTGCTGTGTGCAGAACATGTAAGTATGCTGAATCGCTGCATGTTGCCACTGTTAACGTACTGATGAACCTACGCCAGCAGCTGCATGCTAATCCCCAAGTTTGGAGAGTCAAAGCTCAAAGATGAGCGGAGATTCCTTTTACTTGGAAAAACAGACGTGAGCGATAGGACAGTGGGGAGGGCTCTTGCCTGACATGCGGTCAACCTGGGTTCTGTCCCAGACATCCCATACGGTGCCCCCCCGCGAGCACTGCCGGGAGGAAGTTCCTTAGTTCCTCAGGAGTCGATCCTTAGTGCCAAGCCCTGAGCATCCTTGGGTGTAATCCGAAAACCAAAAAAGAAAGAAACAACTCAGAACTAAAAACAGACGCGTTGGTTGGTACAGCGGGGACTTGTGGCTGGACTTCAGAGCCAGAGAAGCAGGGAGCAGAGAAGTCAGACCTCCACGCCCGCACCCGCTCTCTGAACAGCCGGCCTCTTTCTTGCCTCCCCTTCTCCGTGGCCCCTGGACTCTCCCAGCCCGAGATATTCTTCGATGTGGTCAGTCTGTCCACGTGGCGAGAGGTCCTGAGCGACGCTCAGCGGGAGCACCTCCAGCAGTTTCTGCCTCGCTTTCCCGAGGATGGCCTTGACCAGCAGAACCAGCTCATCCTCGCTCTCTTCCGCGGGGAGAACTTCCGCTTCGGGAACCCTCTGCACATCGCCCAGAAGCTCTTTCGAGGTGGGTGGCCAGCCCAGGGGTCATCTCCCAGAGGGGCGGACCGGGGGGGGGGGTGGCTTGACCCATTGGTCACCTCCCAAAGGGGTGGACTGAGGTCGGTGCCCAGCCCAGTGGTCATCTCCCAGAGGGATGGACCACGGACGTGGCTCGACCCAGGGGTCTCCTTTGAGAGAGGCCGGAAGCGGGTCCTGGGGTGAGTGTTCCTCTTGAGGGTGGGGATGGGGGTGGGGGTGGCTGCTCTGGTGGTGCTTGGGGGGCCGACCCAGTGTTGGCTGCATGCAAGACTGTTGCCTTCACTGTCTTATCTCTCCACCCCGATACTCCTTTCTTCCTTTTATTCTACTTATTTTCTGACAGCTGAGTAGAGCGGAATTTTGCTCTATGCTTTGCTGCCGGGGCTAATTTTCTTACAACTGGCACGGGAAGCCTATGAGCCATCGGTGTTTTGTTCGGGCAGGAACCAAAGTGTGTCCCCACTTTCCAGACCAGGGAATTAAACATCACCAGCGTTCTGTGTGCACCCTGCATGCCTGGTGGTTAAGAAATCTTCAAAAGGCAGCTCGCCCTTTGCTTTACCGTGCGTGTGTCTGCGTGTGGCGTGGGCGAGTGCCACGGGAGACAGGCTCCTCGGTGTGGCCTCCGACCAGGGCCTTCCTCCTTGGCATCTCGGCCCTCATCCGGCAGACTGGGTCATGGGAGAGTCTGTGCTCCTCTCTCTGCCTGGGCCTCCAGGCCTTGAAGTCGTTTTACGTAGAGAAAGAGAGTGAGGATCCATCTGCACTTCATGTGGGTGTGTGTCTGTGTGTGTGTTGTGCGTGTCTGTGTGCGTGTGTTGGGGGGATGCCATTCTGGAGGTTGCACCACGTGGTGCTGGGGCGCAGCCAGGAAGGAGCCCAGGCTCTTGATCACACACAGCCCGAGCCCTGTCGCTTGAGTCCCACGCCCCTCCGCGTGCCTTGTGTTTGGAGCTGGGGTCCCGCTCGGCCTTTTTCTTATCACTCTCCAAATACTAACCTTATTTTTCTTCTTTATTTTATTTTTGTCGGGGGCCGGAGGGAGGGCGGGAGGCACAGTGCTCAGGACTTACTCCTGACTCTGCACTCAAGTTTCACTCTTGTCAGGACACAGAGGACCACATGGCCTGCCAGGGATTGAACGGGGGTTGGTCGTGTGCGAGGCAAGCACCCTACCCCGTCCATTTTTTTTTTTAATGTTTATTAGTGAAACACCATGAGGTACACTTGTAGACTTATAAATTTTTGTGCTTGGGTTTCAGTTATACAATGATCGAGTACCCATCCCTCCACCAGTGCCCATTTTCCACCACCACGGATCCCAGTATCCCTCCCACCCCCCATCCCCCCCATCCCACTCTGTCTCTGTGGCAGGGCATTCCCTTTTGTTCTCTCTCTCCTTTTGGGTCCTGTGGTTTGCAAAAGAGGCACCGAGTGGCAATCATGTTCGGTCTATAGTCTACTTTCAGCATGCTTCTCCCATCCTGGGAGGATCCTCCCAACACCCTTTATTTGGTGCTCCCTTCTCTGTCTGAGCTGCCTTTTCCCCTGGCATGTGCAGCTGGCCTCCAAGCCATGGGGTAATCCTCCTGGTACTGATCTCGGCTATTCTTGGGTATTAATCTCCTATTTTGTTACTTTTTGTTCCCCAGATGAATGCAATCTTTCTATATCTGTCCCTCTCTTTCTGACTCATTTCGCTTAGCATGATACTTTCCATGTAGTACCACTTGTATGTAAATTTCATGACTTCATCTTTTCTAACAGCAACATAGTACTCCATTGTGTAGATGAGTGCCCAAGAACAGATGACCGGTCCAGTTTTTGACAGTTTTTGGCTATTGCTCAGAATGCCGTTATCTGACTAATGGTCTTCATCAAACACATCCCCCAGACCCGGGGGAGATAGGCCCTGTGCCAGTTATGGGGGTGTAATGGGGGCGCTTGGGCTTGGTCGCACAAGACCTATTGTGGGGCAGTGACCGAGGCAGGCACACAACGTGGTACAAGGACAGGAAGGGGCGCCTCCGGAGAGCTGTGCCACACAGGCCTCAGGGCCGGCCGTGACTGCTGCCGTTCTTTCTGCGTTTTCATCAAAAACACTCTCACATGGTCTCTGTTACTACTGCCCCGGCTTCATCGTGAAAAACCGTGAATGTCACAGTGGGTTGAATGCCTCGCGCCAAGCAGCCTCCACGTTCCTTTCCCAGATGTCCGTGGCCAGGGCGGCTTGGACGAGGCCCCATGTGTGGCCCCATGCGTCGGCGCCCCCGCGGCTGCTCTTGGCCGTGGTTCCGAGTCCCTGTGTTTGGGGTGGTCTGAGAGAAGGCAGGGCTCCTTGCCTGGGCTTTGTTTCCTGTTTCCTCCCCTGGCCTGGCCGTCGGCCCCGCGCAGCCGTGGTTGATCCCTGCCTCCCCCCAACGCGGTCCAGCTTGGCGCGGGGCTGAGCACACGCCGCGCACGTGGGAAGCCGCTGGCCGCTGGGCGATGCGGTGGCCTCCCTGCTCTTTGCAGACGGACACTTCAACCCCGAGGTGGTCAAGTACCGGCAGCTGTGCTTCAGGTCCCAGTACAAGCGCTACCTCTCCTCGCAGCAGCAGTACTTCCACCGGCTGCTGAAGCAGATCCTGGCCTCGCGGAGCGTGAGTACTGCCAGGGCCCGGGCAGGACGCTGCCCCTCGCTCGCTCCCCGCCACGGGGTCCCTGGCGCTGAAGATGCTGGGATATGAACAGAGTAGGGGAGATCCGGCCAGAGAGATGGTATGGCGGGTTGGGTGCTGGCCTGGTTGAGGGGCTTGATCTCCGCACCTCCTGGGGGCCCCTGGTCCCTGCCAGGAATGATCACTGAGAGTTCGGAGCCAGGAGTCAGCCCCGAGTGCCGTCAGGTGTGGCCCCAAAATACAAGAGGGAGGGAGGAGAGAGAGGGGAGAGAGAGAGAGAGAACGACGTTTCAGCCGGCCAGGAACAGTAGCTTCGTCTGCACCAGGCGGGGCCGATGCTTGCAGGGCCCACTGGGTAATGCCCATGTGTGGACAGTCCCCACAGCAGCCAGGCCCTGCCCGCGGCTGCCGCCAGCTGGCTTATCCCTCTTCTTAGTGTCTGGTGCTGGGGCCAGTGTCCAGGGCCTCACGTGTGCGGGGCAACCGTTGTACCGCTTGGCCGCCATCCCAGCCCCAGCTGCTCTGTCTCCCGGGGGCGCTGTCCACTCCGGTTTGAAATCCTCAGGGGTCTGCTCCATGCCTTGTTTCTGGTCACAGTCCAGACCTTTGTCATTGGGACCAGCTCGGAGGGGGCGGAGGGGAGGTGCTTGTGTGGCTGTGCCGGGTCCGACGTGTGCCTTCTGCTCTCTCCCCAGGACCTCCTGGAGACGGCGCGGCGGAGCGGCCCGACCCTGTCCCTGCGGCACAGGCGGGCGTCACCGTCCCGCGCCCCCGAGGTGCGGGAGTGGCGCGCCCAGCAGCGCTACCTGAAGGTCCTGCGGGAGGTGAAGGAGGAGTGTGGGGACACGTCCCTGTCGTCGGACGAGGAGGGTGCGTGTCCCCGGGTGCCCGCGGTGGTCGGGTGGAGAGCAGAGTCCGCGCTGGCTGCCCTCTGTCCTCTCTCCATACTCCCTTCTCGAGGAGCCAGCTGGGTGGCCCAAGTGTGTGACGGGCGGGCAGGGGGGCGTGGGGAAGCCCCTCCGTGTTCCTGGTGGGGGGGGCTCGGCCTTGGCTGACCCCGACAGCCACTTACCCAATCTCCCCTGTTGGAGTCCACAGCCACGTTGGATTTACAAGAAAAATTTTCTTTTGAAGATCTTGGCTCGTGGCTCCCCGGCTCCCCGGCGCGTTCTCCCAGCCCCGCAGTGCCCCTGCGGGTGGTGCCCACACTGTCCACTACGGACATGAAAACTGCAGGTGAGCCCCCGCAGAGGCGGGCGGAGGGTCAGGGGTCGGTCTGGACTGGCAGGCGTGGGCCCAGGGGTCTGTCCAGACCGATGGGCCGGGGTTGGCGTGGCGGGAGGGCGGGGGGGGGGGAGGGTTCTTTCGAGTCGGGAGCCCTGTGCAGCTTGGAAAGTGGCATCGCTCTTGAGGGACCCACGCAGACCTTGTGAGGAAGCTGCCTTTGCTGCGCCAGCTTCCCCTGGGAGAAGACCAGCCGGCATTTTGGGGTGAAAGCAAGCAGTCAAGGCTCTTCATTTATGTTTGGGGGCCTCACCTCACTGTGCTCAAGTCTCAGTCCTGACTCTGCATTCAGGGGTCACTCCTGGTGGGGCCTGGGGGTCTGTACAGGGTGCCAGACATCGAATCTGGGCTGGCCACTTGCATGGCAAATGCCCTGCCCACTGTACTCTCTCTTCGGCCCCAAGCTGCAGAATCTGGGGCCAGAGAAATTCCACACCTGGCAGATCATCTGCAAGGTCTTGGGTTTGACCCCAGTGTTGCCTGCGCCCCTCAGCTCCGTGGGCCCAAGTACCAAAATGCATCGAAGCCACACACCTGCGCTCTTGGCCTGAGCTTTGCAGCCAGCTGCGTTTTTGTTTTTGGTTTTTTTTTTTTTTTCTTTTTTGGGTCACAATGCTCAGGGGTTATACTCCTGGCTCTGTACTTGGGAATTACTCTTGGCGGTGTCTAGGGGACCACATGGGATGCTGAGGATTGAACCCAGGTCGGCCACATGCAAGGCAAACGCTCTACCCGCTGTACTACCACTCTGGCCCTGGTTTGTTAAACAAAAGGGCTAACTCAGGTCATGGCATCTCGCGGGACACTTTTTTTTTTTAATTTTTATTAGTGAAACACCATGAGGTACAGTTGTAGATTTACAGATTTTTGTGCTTGGGTTTCAATTATACAATGATCAAATACCCATCCCTCCACCAGTGCCCATTCTCCACCACCACCAGTCCCAGTATCCCTCCCACCCCCCTTCCCCCCATCCCACCCTACCACTGTGGCAGGGCATTCCCTTTTCTTCTCTCTCTCCTTTTGGGTGCTGTGGTTTGCAAAAGAGGCCTTGAGTGGCAATCCTGTTCGGTCTGTAGTCTACTTTCAGCATGCATCTCCCATCCTGGGAGGATCCTCCCAACACCCTTTATTTGGTGCTCCCTTTTCTGTCTGAGCTGCCTTTTCCCCTAGCGTGTGCGGCTGTCCTCAAAGCCATGGAGTAATCCTCCTGGTACTTATCTCAGCTCTTCTTGGGTGTTAGTCTCCTATTTTGTTACTTTATGTTCCCCAGATGAATGCAGTCTTTCTATGTCTGTCACTTTTGAAGTTGGGGGAATTTCTCATTGGGCTGGACCTAAAGGAAGAGTGTGCAGAGCCATCGTGGGTGGGTTTGGGGAGCAGCTTGGTCCCCGAGGTCACTGTCCCCGGCCATGGAGAAGCTAGAGAGTTGGCCCTGAGACAGGCAGGTGGCCAGGTCCTGTGTCAGCAGGACAAAGGGGACACAAGAGCAGGGACTGGCTCGCGGAGGGCACGGGTGACGTGCGAGATTGGGAATGATGAGTGACGCGGTCCGTATGCTCTGGTTCCTTCTCAGATAAAATAGAGTTGGGAGACAGTGACTTGAGGACGATGCTGAAGAAGCACCACGAGAAGCGGAAACGCCAGCCCGTAAGATGGGGTGGGGGCTGAGGTGGACTGGGCGGTCTTCAGGGGCTCCAGCACAGGCTCTGATCAGTCACTGCGGGGGGGAGGGGGAGGCCCCCAGGAGCTGGTCCACACTGAGGTGTGAGAAGACAAACATCACCTGGTCGTCTGTTCTCTAACTCAAGCGTTCTCGTGACGCTGCTCTGGCCTCTTTCACCCCCTTCCCTCCCAGCCAGGCAGAGCCCCCAGGTCGGGGCTGTGCTGCTCCCTCCTTCCCTGTTACTGTAACACTCGGCACCCCAGTCCCGGGGACCTCAGTGTGTTGTCCGTGCGCGCGTGCCTCCGTGTGTGCGTCTGTCCGTTGCTGTCCTGTTGATGGGCAGATGCCCTCCCCGCCACAGCAGTGTGTTCGGACTTCCTGTAGTGGCTCTTCCCGAGACCCAGGCGCCCCTGAGATGCGCAGCGCGGTGCTGGGGAGCTTGTGTTGTGGGCAACCCCGCTGATCTGGATTCGATCTGGCACCCCAGAGGGTCCCCCAAGTCCCACCAGGGGCGATTCCTGGGCCAAGAAACAGACATAGCATGTGAGCACTACCAGGTGTGGCCCCCGAACCAGATGGGATGAGAAATGCAGCTCACCACAGCGTTGCGGCCTGAGGGTACGGGGCGCGTCCCGCTGCCTCCCTGCAGAGCTGTGGCCTGTGGTCACCCCTCACCGGCTCGGGGCCCCCTGGTGTCAGCTCGTTCGTGTCAGGCTTGTTGGAGGCGGGCCGCTGTTGTGCCCAGATGCTTCTCGGGGCTCTCCTAACAAGTCTCTGAATGTCCTAGGATCACCCGGATCTTCTGACAGGGGACCTGACCCTCAGTGACATCATGACTCGGGTCAACGCTGGCAGGAAGGGCTCTCTCGCAGGTAAGGGATGTCCCCGACGCGGTGCCGAGTCGGCCTGCACAGAGGTGCAGCCACGTCGGCTTCTCGCCGTGACCTTCGTGTTCTTGTTGTGGCCTTTGAGAGATTTCGGGATAGACGATGAACACGTGGATGGTTGAGTGTTTACGAAGAGTCAGAAGTGAGCTGCAAGTCCCTCGTGGGGTTTGGTCTTACGAAAGAGCCCGATTGGGGGACCCGAGTGATAGCACAGCAAGTAAGGCTTGCACATAGCTGACCCGGGTTCCATTCCCAGCATCCGGTATGGTCCCCCGAGGACCACCAGGAGTAATTCCTGAGCCCAGAGGCAGGAGTAACCCCAGTGCGCTGCTGGGTGTGACCCAGAACGAAAACAAGAGCCTAATCTTAATCTTACCTCTGAGCAGCTCTTTGCGGGTGCTCTAAGCAGAGTGCTCTAAGCGGTGTGCTGCAGCCCCATCTCTCCCTGCTCTTTCCGTCCCAGCCCTGTATGACTTGGCTGTCCTGAAAAAGAAGGTGAAGGAGAAGGAGGAGAAGAAGAAGAAGAAAATAAAAATCATCAAGTCCGAGGTGGAGGACCTGGCGGAGCCCCTCAGTGGCCCGGAGCGGCTGGCCCCGCTGTCTCAGGCACCCTCGCCCCTGGCGGACCCGGCCATCAAGGAGGAGTAAGCGAGCCCGGGGCAGGAGCCCGGTCCTGAGCGCTGGCCAGTGCGTTGCCTGGTGACCTGGAGCGCCCAGGCCGGTGTGCTCGCCCCTCGACTTCCCTCTGTTGTTCCTCCGATAGGCCTCTGGAAGACCTCAAGCCTGGCCTGGGAATCAACGAAATCTCTTCCAGCTTCTTCTCTCTTCTCTTGGAGATCTTGATGCTGGAGGGACAGGCCAGCCTTCCCCTGGTGAGTGTGTGGGCTCGGCAGCCACCCGCCTGCCAGGACTGGACGTGCAGGGGCCCCTTCGGTGTAGTTGGAAGTGCAGGGGCCCCTTCATTGTAGCCGGAAGTGCTGTGGCCCCTTCGGGGTAGCCGGGAGTGGTGGGCGCCTTTGGGGTCCACGTCAGTGTTTTGTAGCCTTTTTTTCTGCTTGTCACCTGTAGCAGCCTTTGCTGGCTGCTTTGACAGAAATGAGACTATGGTGGCAGTCTGCATCTCACTGCTGGTGGCCGTAGGGTGGCAGGATGGGGCACGCTGTGTGGAGCTGTGGGCGGGCAGGGCCTCAGGTCCTGGGCCCAAAGCCGGGGCTCAGAACCCGGGTCTCCTGTGGACTCGGTGTCACCAGGCGAGTGGGACGACACAGACGCCGTTCCCCCTTGCAACTCTTCTGTGGGGTCGCCCGCGGGATGGGGGCCGGGACCTGACCTCTGCCTCTGCCGCCCACAGCTGGAGGAGCGGGTGCTGGACTGGCAGTCGTCTCCGGCCAGCTCACTCAACAGCTGGTTCTCCGCAGCCCCTCACTGGGCCGAGCTGGTGCTGCCCGCCCTGCAGTATCTTGCCGGAGAAAGCCGGGGTAAGGCCCTTTGACCCCTGGAGGGTCGGCGTGGCTCTTCCTGTTTGTCTGTTCTCATGTTGGGATGGTGGCCACTCCCCGCGGGGATCAGTGGTGCTGGTGATGGAGCTCAGGGTACCTGCATCCCAGGCCGTGGCCCTGCCCTGGGGACAGGCGTGTCCTTGCTTGTTAGAGTAACAGCATCGCAGTCTCCGTCCACCGTGGCTTTGCAGAGCACCGTGCCTCAGAGGTGCTTCTCGGCGCTGGGCAAAGGCGGTCACTGTGGTTGAGCGCTCTGGCCCCGGTGGCGTGTCCATATCGGACCCCTTTCTTGCAGCTGTGCCCTCCAGCTTCTCTCCGTTTGTTGAGTTCAAAGAAAAAACCCAGCAGTGGAAGTTGCTTGGTGAGTGGCTTCTATCCCCAACCTGCCTGCCGCCACCCTCATTCCCGCGTTTCCTTTCCTCGGTTCAGAGAATGTAAATAAGGACAGCGCCCAGCCGTGTCTCACCCACCGAAGGACTCCAGCCCCCTTTGGGTGGTGCTTCCTGGGGTGGGGGCACCCCCATACCATGGGGAGGCCGTGAGGTGGCTGGCAGCTTTAGTCCTTACAGTCATGGGCCGTTCTCTTTTTTTGAGGGGGTGAGGACCGAGCCACCCGGCGGTGCTAAGGGCTTACTCCGTACCCTGCACTCAGATCGCTTCTGACAGGGCTCAGGGAACCAGATGGGATGTGGTGATCAAACCGGGTTGGCCACGCGCAAAGCAAGGACCCTCCCTGCCATCTTGTCCTATCATCTCCATCCCCTGTAACCAGACCTGTCACTGGGCATTGATTTACGGTGGCAGAATGACTTTTTCCTTTCTTACAACCGGGCTTTTCTTTCTCGGTTTGTTTTGGGGCCACACGCTGTGGTGCTCGGGGGTCACTCCCTGCTCAGTGCTTGGGATGATTTGACAGTGCTCGGGGGAACAATGTGGTGCTGGACTTGAACCCACACGCAGAGCGTGCTCTCTGCCCTTTGAGCCGTCTCCCCGGCCCCAGGCTTGGCGTTGCAGGACCTTGGACACAGCAAGATTTGGAGAGCGTCCGGGAGTCAGGCCTCGTAGGGAACCGGGGTCCTATGGCTTGCAGGCCAGAAAGCCTGCTTCCCTTGTCGGCTTGACGAGGGGCCGCTTGGGACGCAAACACTCATCGTATGAAATAGATACACGTTCCATTAGTTTGGGGCTTGGAGGCCACACTCAGCAGTGCTCAGCGTCTTAACTCATGGATCACTGCTGACTGGGCTGGGACCCTAGGGGATGGTGGGGATCACACCCAGGTGTTTTCCTTTGCTACAGTTTTAAAGGAAAAGTATTGAAGTCTGGTGCTGGGCCAGTGCCATAGTACAGCAGGTAGGGCCTTGCGCGTGGCTGACCCGGTGTGATCCCCAGCGCACCGTGTGCTCCCCCGAGCCAGCCAGGAGTGATCCCTGAGCGCAGAGCCAGGAGTAACTGCTAAGCATCACTGGGTGTGGCCGCCCCCCCCCCCCAAAAAAAAACAAAAAAGGATGATGCTAGTTGGTGGTCTGGGCACTGGGGTCGCGCCTGCTGCAGGGACCCCAGCCGTGGGCACAGCAGGCAAGGAGAAGGGGGTGCCGGTGGGGTTCTGAGCCAGCTTGGCCCGTTCCCTCCCTTCTCACAGGCCAGTCCCCGGATAACGAGAAGGAGCTCGCTGCCCTCTTCCAGCTGTGGCTTGAAACCAAAGACCAGGCCTTCTGCAAGGTGCGGGGTGTAAGGAGTCCCACGGCGTCTCCTGGACGCCTGCAGTGGGCCGGATGGCTTTGGTCCCCTGACCTGCCTGTTTTCCTTTTCTCCAGCAAGAAAACGAGGACAGCTCCGATGCCACGACCCCCGTGCCCCGGGAGTGAGTGTCCCCCGTTCTCTCTCAGGGCTGGCTGGGGTGTGGGGTCGCCGCCGGGAGGGTTTGCTGACGTGTCTGGGCCGGGGGTGCTTGACAGGGCCAGGCACCCCGAGTCTGGCCTGCCTGCGCGCTGGGGGGACACAGCCCCCTCAACCAGGCCCTTTGCCGTGGCATCACGGGCTGCGCTGTCCTCATGCCACCTGCGTGTGACCACATTCAGGGCTGTTAGGGTAAGTGACCAACGGTCAGAGGAGGGTCCCCGCTAGGATTCCGTCCTTTCGTTGGTGTTGGGGCCCCACCCAGAGGATCTCGGGGTGCTGCTGCGTCTGTGCTCGGGGACTGCTCTTGGTGGGGCTCCGGGGCCCGAGCCGGGGTTGTTGGTGCACGAGGCCAGTGCCCGCCCTCTGTGTCCCGCTGGCGGCTCTCCGGGTCCTGTTCCCTTGACCTCCGGTCCCGAGTGTGTCCTCTGGATACTCTGCCTGGGGTGGTCAGTGGCCACCCCAGCTCCGGCTCTGCCATGAAAGTCCATGCTTAGGTTTCCCGCCCCTAAGCGGCGCCCCTATTCCTGGAGTGACACGGTGACCTGCCATGCATTACCACCGGGGCCTGTGCTCACTGCTGCGCGTGTGGCCCCATCTTTGAGCTGGAAACCCGCCCCCACGAGCGACATCTACCCATTGGCCGCACCCCTGCCTCCGGTGGCTGGTGGCCGTTCCTTAGCTTTGTTCCCGTCCTCCCTGGCAGTGCTCCGGGGATGGCTGGTCACGTCCTGTGCGATTCAGTGCTTCCAGGCTTGTCGAGGGCGACGGCGTTCTAGGGCCGATGGTATCAGGGATTTTTCTTTTGTTTTCTTTTACACGGTTCTAGAATTCTTTTTTTTTTTTCCAGCTTTTGGCATCACACCCAGCGATGCTCAGGGGTTACTCCTGGCAGTGCATGGGGGAGCTGCTGGGGATTGAACCCGGGTCGGCCGTGTGCAAGGCAAATGCCCTCCCCGCTGTACTATGGCTCCGGCCCCCAGTTCTAGATCTTTACAGTCTTCCTTTGCCCATCTGGGGTCGGGCCTACGAGGCAAGCACTCTGCGGCACAGCACATCCCCAGCCCTATTGAAATTTTTTTTAACTCCTAAACAGTACTCCGGGAGCCTGGGGGTCCTGCTCCGTGGTAGCCCACCATGTGGGCTGGATGAGTTGGTGCTCACACAGCAGTGCTCAAGAGCCTCACCTGGCAGTGCCCGGCGGAGCAGGGCTTCACACTGCACGGCCTGACGCGGGTTCCTAGCTCCCTCACCCCAGGCCGAGCATTCAGTTTCTGTGATCGGCTTGTTACTCTCCGGCGCGTGGGATCCGGTTTCCCAGCACGACCAAGGGGCGACCCCACAGGCCCACTCGGTGCCCAGCGGTTTCTCGCTGGATTCGAGTCTGTTCATTGACCTGTGTCTTCATCTTTATTTCGGGTAACAACTGGCAGTGCCCAGGGGCTTCTCCCGGCTCTGCTCTGGGGTCACCCTTGGTAGTGCCCAGGGCTCCATCCTGGACCTCAGTCAACCGAACTGTCTGATGCAAGTGCCGTATTATGTGGAGGATGACCTTGGAATACAGTTTGAAGTTGGCCTGTCATGAATCCAGCATTGTTGGCTTGGTTGATTTTGGGCGGCTCTACCCAACGGTGCTCAGGGCTTACTCCTGATTCTGTGCTCAGAGATCACTCCTGGCGGGCTTGGGGGACCATCTGGGGTGCTGGGGATCAAACCTGGGTTGGCTGCAGGCAAGGCAGGTGCCCTGCCCGCTGTACTGTCTCTCCAGCCCTGGTTTTGCTGTGGTGGTTTTGAAATTTCTATGTAAAACGCCAGTAGAATTTTGACAGAAATATGCGGATTCTTCACGTGGCTTTGGGTGACAATGGATATTTCGACAGTTCTGTTCTAACCCAGGAGCATTCATTTTTATTTCCATCCATCAGAGTCTTGTAGAATCTTGTAGTTTGCAGTCTTTGTCGTTCTGTATTGTCGCTAACTGAAGTATTTTATTGCTTTTGGTGCTGTGGTTTGGTTCTTTGGTCAGATTCCCCCGATGCCAGCAGGGAGGCCTGAGCTGTATGGGTAGACCCAGTGTCTAATCGGCACAATCCTGGTGAGGCCCAGGCCCCCGCAGTGGGCAGACTGGCAGGACCCTCTGCGTCTTCCCAACCCCCAGAGTGTCGAAAACATGGGGCTTTGACGCCCTCCGCCCCGGGCAGGGGCTGCCCGGAGACTTGAGGTCTTCTGAGGCTCAGGGGTTCCTGGAGGGATTCTCGTTTGAGTTTTGACGTTGTTACGGCGACAGTTGTGGGTGCTGGGGGAGGGCCGCTGGGCCCAACATTCTTTATGTTCTAGAAGAACCGACTACGTGGTGCGGCCCAGCACGGGGGAGGAGAAGCGGCTCTTCCAGGAGCAGGTAGGCGGGGGTGGCGACCGGGCCACAGGGCAGAGCCTGGAGACGCGCCCTCAGGCCAGGCCGGGGTGGGCGTGGGCACGGCGGGGAAAGGGATGAGGGATACTTGGGGGCCTCTCGCCCCACATAGCGGAGCCCTTGCACGGTGCCCTCTGTGTCCCCCTGCTGGTAGCTGGGGTGTCAGGGCCCGTTCTTCCCCGTGGCAGACGAGGCTTCGTGGCGTGGGCCTGGCTCCCTTCCCGCTTGGGGCCCCGCGGCCCTCTCCGCCCCGCCCCACGCCCAGGCCTCTGAGCTCGGGGCCCCTGTCCCCCCGCCCCGCTGTCCCTGCAGGAGTGGCACCGCTACAGCCAGCCCCACAAGGCCTTCACCTTCCGCATGCACGGCTTCGAGTCGGTGGTGGGGCCCGTGAAGGGCGTGTTTGACAAGGAGACGTCGCTCAACAAGGCGCGGGAGCACTCCCTGCTGCGCTCCGACCGGCCCGCCTACGTCACCATCCTGTCCCTGGGTAGGCGCGCGGGCCCACCCCCTGCCAACCTGCCTGCCCTCGGCACCCCCCTGTTCCCCCCACGCCACCCCACCCCCCCGGGCCTCCGGGCAGGAAGGGCTGGAGAGAGTCAGGTGGCCTTTAAGGACTCTGGAGGAGCGGGGGCGGCGCTCAGTGCTCTGCCTTGGTCTGGGCTCGGGCTTCTCTGAGGTTGGGGAGTTGGGCCACCCTGGGGGTGCTCAGGGCACTGTGTGGTGCTGGGATGCGCCCACTCGCTCACTCGCTCTCCTGGTTCTCTCCTTTGCTCCCCCCACCACGCCCCTGTCTCCCTCTCCCTCTCCCTCTCCCTCTCCTCCCTCCGTCCCTCTCTCCCTCTCTCCCCTTCCCCCCACCGTCCCTCCCTCTCTCTCTCTGTCTCCTCCCATTTCGGGTTTTGGGCCACACCTGGCAGTGCTCAGGGCTTACTCCTGACTTTACGTCCAGGGTCACTCCTGGTGTTTGGGGGACATACGAGGTGTCGGGGAAGATACCTGGGTCAGCCGCGGCCAAGGCCAGTGCCCCGCTGTGTCCTGTCGCTCCGGCCCCTCTCCTGTGCTGTCACACGGGAATCGTCCGAAGGCTCGCCGGCTGGGTGGCGCCTGATAGAGGACACTTGCAGCCGTGCTGGTGCCCGTTTCTCTAGAGAAACCCCAGACTCCGCCTCTCCCACGCATGACGCGAAAGGCAGAGCCGCGAGGGAGTCGCCTCGGAGAGTCCGTTCCCGACACGCCGAGACACGGGCAGTTGGGCGCGCGCTGCTGCCCTGGGAAGCGGCAGGATCCTAGCAGAGGGTCCGAGACCTCGGGCCGATTCTGAGCAGCAGTGGGCAGGGAGGGAGGGCGGCATCGTTCCGGTGTTTGTGACAGGCACCCGGGTCCCCACGTGACGTCTCGACACCGCACAGAGCTCTGCCCGGGTGCCGTGACAGGGTGCCGGGAACTTGGGTTTTGTTCTTCCCTTACTGGCCGTCTGCCCCTGCGCTCTGTCCCCAGCGCAAGAGGGTCTCGGTCTGGTTTGGTCTCTGCCGCCGGGGATCGAACCCAGGGCACCACACGGCACTGCTACCCTCTGCCCGGCCCAGCCCTCAGGTGTCTGGACCTTGCGGAGACGAGGCTGAGCCTGTGGCCAGGCCGGCTCCCGGGGGCCCATGTCCACGTCCGCGGGTCTGAGAGCCACAGCCAGAGGCTCGGGTCAGGGCAGCGTGTGTCCCCAGCGCAGACCCTGCTGACTCCTGGCTGTTTGCCTCTCTGCTGGCGCCTGTCACAGTCCGGGACGCCGCGGCCCGGCTGCCGAACGGCGAGGGCACCCGCGCCGAGATCTGCGAGCTGCTGAGAGACTCCCAGTTCCTGGCCCCCGACGTCACCAGCACGCAGGTAGCAGGAGCGTGGATGAGCAGATGCGAACTCTGCCGCGTGCATTGGTCGGGGGGGGGGGGGGGGGCAGGGCCAGGCACAGAGGTGCTAGGGTGGGGGGTCCCTCCTGTCAGTGCCTAGGGGGCCACTCTGTGCTGGCCCTCAGAGCATCACCCTGGCCTGAGTCTCACACAGTTTACGAAGCTGAACAAAGAGACCCCGGAGGCACCCGGGAAATGGAGCCGGGTGGGGGCGTCCACTTGCTCTCGGTGTCTGTTGGGGGTCCACGGCTCCGTCCACATGAGCTGGCCAGCCGCTCCCCGTCAGAGGCAGCACCAGGGTCTCCGTCCACCCAGCGAAGGCAGGGGACTGTCCCTGCGCCATGTCTGACGCTTCCTCGTCCTGTCTTGCCCCACAGGTGAACACGGTCGTGAGCGGCGCGCTGGACCGGCTCCACTACGAGAAGGACCCCTGTGTCAAGTACGACATCGGCCGCAAGCTGTGGATCTACTTGCACCGCGACCGGAGCGAGGAGGAGTTCGGTGGGTGCCGGGGGTCGGGCCGGGCTCCGCGTGGGCCTCTGTGGCCGCGGCACTGACACCCGCCTCTCCCGTCCACGCAGAGCGGATCCATCAGGCCCAGGCTGCGGCCGCGAAGGCCAGGAAGGCCCTTCAGCAGAAGCCCAAGCCGCCGTCCAAGGTGGTGAGTGACTGTGGCCGGCCCCCCGCCTGGGCAGGGGGGTCGGGTGGCTCGGCCCGCCCCGCCCCCCAGTCCCCTCTGAGCCGGCCGTGCTCTCCCCTCCAGAAGGCCGGCAGCAAGGAGAACGTGGGGAAGGGCCTGGGCTGTGTGGCCGCCGAGCAGAGCCAGCTGAGCCTCAGCGACTCGGGCCTGCCCCCCACCCCCGTCACCCCCGCGACGTCCACCCCGCCCGCTCTGCCCGCCACGCCCATCTCCCCCCCGCCCGTGGTGTCCACCAGCAAGAGCTGCCCCGGCCCGGAGCCTGCCAAGTCCAGCTCAGGGTGAGCCTGCCCTTCCCGTCCCCCGCCCGCCGCGGCCTCCAGGGCGCCCGCCCTGAGCTGTCGGTTCTGTCCCCCCCGCACCCCGCGCCCGGCACAGCGTCCTCCTGGTGTCCTCGCCACCCATGCCGCAGCTCGGAGCCATGCTCTCCCCGACGGCCAGCCAGACCCCGCCCGCCTCGCAGACAGCGGCCCGCGTCGTCGGCCACTCGGGCCCGGCCGGGCTGCCCCAGGTGCGCGTGGTGGCCCAGCCCAGCCTCCCTGCCACGCCACAGCCCTCGGCGGGGCCCACGCAGGCGCTGCCGCCGATGCCCCCCGTGCCCCAGATCCGGGCCCCTGCCGCCACCACCACGCAGACCAAAGTCGTCCCCCAGGTAAGTCGGCCACTCCGAGCTTGGCAGGCAGCCTCGGGTCTGGCTCTGCCACTCGGGGCACTCACAGAGCCTGGCGAGCGTGGCAGGTGGCCAAGTTCCACACGGAACTCCGGGGGTGCAGGCCCGAGCCCCCCAGGGAGAGTCTGGGTCTCCAGCCCCTTCCCAGACTGGCCTGCCGGGCTCGAGGCATTAGCCAAGGGCCTCCCTCGGCCGCACCTTGTTGACTCTGGGAGGTGTGAACTTTGTCCTTGCCCCGTGGGAGTGAGGCAAGGCACCGAACGTGCCAACTCTCTGAAAATTCCCACGTTCTGCACAGACGGGAGGCCGTGGGCCGTGTCCTCGTCCCCGTGTCTAACCTGGCTCCTGGCCTCGTGCTCTGACCTAGACAGTCATGGCCACGGTTCCGGTCAAGGCCCCGGCGGCATCGGCCAGTGGGCAGCGGCCTGGGCCCGCGCTCACGGTGACAAGCCTTCCTGCCAGCACCGCCAGCCCCGCCAGCAAGCCCGCCACGAGTGGGCCGGGGACGTCTGCGCCGAGTGCGTCCACGGCAGCTGTCATTCAGAATGTCACGGGCCAGAACATCATCAAGCAGGTGGGTGTGTGCGGGCCCCAGACGCTGGGGGGCTGGGGGACGCTCCCGCCTTTCCTGAGCCAGGGGGCGGGCAATCTGCTCAAGAGTTTCTGGCACGGGCGCTCGTTGCCTGGCTCCAGTTAACATCCCCGGGTTAAACTTCACTCACCTCACTGGCATTCTCGTTTCCTTGATTCGTCCCCGCGTGGCCATGAGCCTCCAACTGGCACGTTGGGAGGGATCGTCAGGTCAGGGCTTGTGGCCGTTGCCTAGGTTCACTTTTTTTTTTTTTGGGTCACACCCGACAATGCTCAGGGGTTGGTTACTCCTGGCTCTGCACTCAGGAATTACTCCTGGCGGTGCTCGGGGGACCCTATGGGATGCTGGGACTCGAACCCGGGTCAGCCGTGTGCCAGGCAAACGCCCTACCTGCTGTGCTATCACTCCAGCCCCTGGGTTAACATTCTCACTCTCCCAGCGCGGGGCCCGGCATGTGTGTATCCCCAGGTCACGCGTGAGGAAGAAGCGGAACCGCGTGAACTACAGTGACGCTTACAGGGTTCGGGGGCCTTGTGTGTGGGCGTGCTTGGGGGTGCCCGGGCTGCTCCCGGCTGGTGCGTGCCGTGTGGGAGCACGAGTCCCCTCCTGACCACCGTGCTGGGCCCCAGCTCGCACCGTTCCTCCCCCAGCCCTGCCTGACGATCACTGAGCTCTCTGGGTGCACTGTCACAGCTGGCCAGGCTTTGTGGCATCTGACACTGGCGCCTTCCACTGTCCGTGCGACTCGTTTCCTCAGAGCGGGACAGATGGATGCTTCCCGTGTGGGCTCTGATGCCTGGCCGGGGGCCGCTGGGGCGACCAGGCCGGCGAGGGGAGATGAGGTCAGTGGGAGATGTCTGATGACGCTGCAGAGGTGCAGCTGGACCAGGTCGGGCTGGGGGATGAAGCCTGCAGGGGTGTGGCCGGGCGAGGTTCTGTTACGGCATGGTGGTACTTGGGTTTGGGTTTTGAGGAGGGCTCACACATGGTGGTGCCGGGGGCTCTGTCCTCAGGGAGGCACGCCACGGCTGGGGGGCTCTTGGGCCTCTGGGCTTTCCTTCGGAAAGTGAGGGGGCCTTCGGAGGCGCGGCCTTTTCCTGTAATGAGCCTTTGAGCCGTCCCGAGACCTCCTGCTGTGGGGTGTGCCCGGGAGGGGTTGGAGCACTGTCCAGGTAAGCGCCCTGGGACAGCCGGGGGACGGCTCTGAGGAGAGCATGTGGGCAAGGTTTCCAGTGGCTTGGCCTGGACTCTGCCAGGGGAATGGAGAGTTAGGCGTGGTGACGCTTCCCAAGAGAAGACAGTGCTGCAGGGCTGGGTCTGACCTCAGCAGCACCCCTGGGCACGGGGCATGCCTCAGCTGCGGGCACAGCTCTGGGCTTCGGCCCGACACCCGGCGTGGGCACTGCGGAGAGGGGCTCACCAGGTCGGCCTCCGCAGCAGAAATAGTGATAGTCTGGGTACGTCTGCTACAGCAGGCAGGAGACCGTCGGGCCGCAGAGCACAGTGGGGATTAGGACAGGCTGGGTCTTGCTGACTGTTGGGAGTTTTGGGGGTTTTTTTGGTTTGTGTTTTGTTTTGGTTCGGTTTGGGACCACAGCTGGCAGCGTTTGGAGGAGCCCGTGTTTCTGGGGACCAGACCAGCCAGCCCCAGGGTCCTGCACTCGGCCCATTTAAGTCGTGGAACGCGTAGCAGCATGTTTGTGGTTGTGATGATCTCCCAGTGCTCATTGGGGCTCCTGACGCTGTTGTTCGGGGGTCAGTCCTGTCGGTGCTGGGTGCCAGACCCGTGTCAGCATCCACACAGGCAGGGCGAGTAGACCGGGAGGCCGGCATCTGTGCGGGAGAGGCGCCTTGGGTGCACGTCCCTGGGGCAGCAGCTGGTGCTGGTAACCCTCATGCCCTACCACAGTCCCCACGTGGGCGCTACGCAGGTGTCTGAGGCAGTGGGGAGGGCGCGAATGCAGATCTGCAGGTACATGGGGAGCTGACTCTGTGTGCTGGTTGCGTGCGCTCGCTCTCTCTCTCTCTCTCTCTCTCTCTCTCTCTCTCTCTCTCTCTCTCTCCTCCCCCCCCCTTTTTTTTTCTGTCTTCTGGGCCATACCAGTGATAGGGATCTCTTCTGGTGGTTGTGCTTGGGGGACCACATGGGATGCCGGGGATTGAACCCAGGTCGGCTCTGTGCAAGGCCAGTGCCCTCCCTGCTGGACTATCACTCCAGCCTTTATTCAGTCCTTTGCCGGGTCAGAGATGTGTATTGAGATCTCGGTCTCGGTCTGCATCGGATGTAGCAGCGCCTCCAGAGAGACGGGGAGGAGAGGAGAGCCACGCTGGGCGGTGATGGCTGTTGGGACCCCCGAGAGGCGGTGCCTGGATTTGTCACAGCGTTGACATTGCGGGGGACCACCGCCCACTTCCGAATGACTCGGAGTGGACACGGGGAGGGCCGATCCCGGGGTTGGCAGGCGCGGGCGCGGGCCGGCAAGTCCACACGTGGGCATGTCTCTCCCTCCAGGTGGCAATCACTGGGCAGCTTGGTGTGAAGGCCCAGGCGGGCAGCAGCATTCCGCTCACGGCCACTAACTTCCGCATCCAGGGTAAGGACGTGTTGCGTCTGCCGCCCTCTTCCATCAGCACCGACGCCAAGGGCCAGACGGTTCTACGGATCACTCCGGACATGATGGCCACGCTGGCTAAGTCCCAGGTCACCACAGTCAAACTGACCCAGGACCTCTTCGGGACAGGAAGTGGCACTGTGGGCAAAGGCATCTCTGCCACCCTGCACGTCCACGCAGCGGACAGCCCCGGCAAGGCCGGTTCAGCCAGTGCCCCTCCGTCCACTCCAACAGGTACCACCGTGGTCAAGGTGACGCCTGACCTCAAGCCCGCGGACCCCTCAAGCTCCGCGTTCCGCCTGATGCCCGCCCTCGGTGTGAGCGTGGCAGAGCAGAAGGGGAAAAATACGGTGGTCGCTGCGTCGGACACCAAGCCCGCCGCCACCATCCGCATCGTGCAGGGCCTGGGCGTGGTGCCCCCCAAGGCGGGCCAGACCATCACGGTGGCCGCCCACGCCAAGCCGGGCTCCTCAGTGGCCAGTGCCTCTGGGACTGTGCATCCGTCGGCCGTGTCCTTGCCCAGCGTGAACGCCACCGTGTCCAAGACGGTGGCTGTGGCTTCGGGGGCAGCCAGCACCCCCATCAGCATCGGGCCGGGAGCCCCCGCGGTCCGCCAGGTCCCGGTCAGCACCACGGTTGTGTCCACGTCACAGGCTGTGAGTAACCAGCACATCGGGGGATGGCAGGGTGGGGGCGCGTCCACACGCTCGCGCTCGGAGCCGGCAGCTCTCTGGTGGACATGGGGCGCCTCTTGGTCCCCTGGGACCCGGGGGAGGGCTTCTCTGCTGGGAGGCTGTGGCCTCGCGAGAGCGTGGGCTGTGTCCTGGCTCGGGGGCCCAGCCCGGAAGTCGGGTCCACATGGCGTCTTTCCCTCCCGTGCTCCTCCGTCACGGGGCCAGGCAGCCTCCTCCCGTGTCCCCCCATCATGGGGCCGATCACTGTCAACCCTTCTTGGGTCCAGGTTACTCTGGTCGTTCTGGCCTTTGTCCTCCTGGTCTCGTTCCTGAGCGTGTCCGCGGGGTGGAGAGAGCCTCGCTCCGCCCTGGCTCCCCCCCTAGAGTGACCGCCCGAGCTCGCTGGTTTCCCCAGGGCTGGGTAGATGGTGACCTCCCTGGCCGCGGCGGCCCCCGAGGGCAGCTGCTGAACTCAGGCCCGCCATGGCCGGGTCTGGCTGAGACTGTGAGTGTTCCTGGCGCAAGGGCTCCTCCAGCAGCCCAGGACCACAGGCCCCTTCCCTGTGCCCGCCCACCCCGGCGAGTCGATCAGCACTGTCGGCCTCGGCTTAACATCTCCACGCCCGGCCCTCGCACCTCTCTCGGCCCAGGGTCATAAAGATACCGGCCTTGGCTTTTTCTATTTTGGGGCAGGGGGCGGATCAGATCACTCAGCGCTTGGGGGCTGCCCCGGACTGGGTGCTGGGCGGTTGCTCCTCCTGGCGGTGTGCGGGCCGTGGTGCGCTCCGGGCCCCCTGCCTGCCCAGCGCAGGGTGCTCCAGCTGGCCCCAGCCTTTGTTTTCGGAAAAGGTTTTCGAAGGAGCGAAATTGGTAAGTCGCGTGGAGCAGGAGAGATTCCGCCTCCTCCTTTCCCGAGTCTTCAGCATCGTTCGTGTCCCCACGAGACCCTGTCCCAAGCAGGGCCCAGGTTCAGCGTGGGTGTTTGGGGGTGCACACGCGTCTGCCTTTGTCGTCTAAATGAGGAACGTCGTTCTGGGGAGCGGGGGTGGGGCAGGCTGGGGGCTGCAGAATATACACGTCCGTGGTTCGTTTTTGGTTTTTCCCCTTCTGGGTTTTGGGCCACCCTCCATGGGCCGTAGATTCTCCTGTCTCGGTGCTCAGGGGTGGGGTGCCCTGGCGGTGCTGGGGTTGACCTGGGCTCACGTCAGGCCACGGAACTGTCCCCGGCCCCGAGACTGACTCTCCAGTGCAAGCTTTGGAGCCGGTTTGGCTACAAGCCAGAGAGACGGAGGAAGGAGGACACTGGTGAGGGCCAACAGCTCTGCCTGGGGCCTGGGGCCACAGAAGGGGAAGTAACTGACCCAGGGTCACCGGAGAGGACGCGAGGACGCAGCATGCGCGTTCCACGCTAGTCTCTCTGCTCACGCAGGACAGCGTGACCCGGCGCGGCTGTGCCCTGAGTGGCTGTGGTGGACCCAGACGTGTCTGCCGGCCTCTGGGCTCAGCTCCGGGGTGCTGGCGGCACTTCCTGCCTGGGTCACGAGCTTGCCCCGGAGGCGGGGACGTGCCTCTGGCTCAGGACTGTGACCACTGTGGCTTTGGACTGACCGGAGCCGCAGACTCCACCGCGGGCTCCCAGACACGCTCCTCGGCCTGCACCCCTGGCTGGGGCCGGGCCTTCCGCCTGGCTGCGCTCCTGCGCCTGCCCGAGCTGACCCCGCTTATCTCTGGGAGGGGCAGAACGTCCTTGAGGCCGGGCCTGTTCCCAGGGTGCAGACTCCGCCCAGGGTCCCCAGGTCAGGAACGGGAGAGGGGGGCTGCCGCGGGAGCTCCGGGGCCTCTCCGGGCAGCTGTGTCACCCCCTCCCCGCCGCCCATCCCTGGGCAAGCAGCTCTGCAGGGGCAGGAACCGTCCACTGACACCTCGAAAGAGTGGCCGGGCCGAGCCCGAAGGCACCCGAGCCCCCTTCACCCTTCACTCTCCCCCCCCACCCCCACCCCCCTCCCCCCGAGCTCGGGGGCCCCGCTGCTGTCCCAAACCCAGGCCACTGTCTCTGTCCGCAGGGGAAGCTGCCGACGCGGATCACGGTGCCGCTCTCGGTCATCAGCCAGCCCATGAAGGGCAAGAGCGTGGTCACAGCCCCCCTCATCAAGGGCAACCTCGGCGCCAAGTACGTGCTAGGCCCGGCCAGGGTCGGGTCTCGTGGCCATCGCGGGCTGGGACTCCGCAGGTGGTGCTCGCCAGCAGGGCTCGCAGGGTCTGGCACCCTGCAGGGTGTGGGCGGTGGGTGTCCATGGGGGCAGCGGTGATGCCAGGAGTCCAGGGCCCGCGGCTGCCCCTCCCACCCCAGGAGGCCCCCGTGCCGGGAAGAGAAGGGGCCCTCCCTGCTGGCGACCGTGCCTGCGTCCACGTCTGTCTGCCCGTGTCCCTGCCCGTGACCCTGCCTGTGTCTGTCCCTGCCCTTGCCCGGGTCCCCGCTGCCGTCCCTGTACCTGCCGCTGCCCTTCTCACTGCCTCCCCTCTGCAGCCTCGGCGGCCTGGGCCGCAACATCATCCTGACCACTATGCCCGCGGGGACCAAGCTCATCGCGGGCAACAAGCCCGTCAGCTTCCTCACGGCGCAGCAGCTGCAGCAGCTACAGCAGCAAGGCCAGGCCACCCAGGTGAGGCCCCCATCCCCCACCCCGTCCCCTCCCCCCGCCCCGGGCCGCCACGCACTGACCGCAGTGACCCTGCCCGCTCTCCCTGCCTCTAGGTGCGCATCCAGACCGTCCCCGCAGCCCACCTGCAGCAGGGCACCGCGGCGGGCTCCTCCAAGGCCGTCTCCACCGTGGTGGTGACCACGGCCCCGTCCCCGAAACAGGCGCCCGAGCAGCAGTGAGCGAGCGCGCGAGCCTGCCCCTGGGGCCCAGCGAGAGCAGAGGGGGCCCTGCCCGCCCAGGAGCCCGCGTGTTGGCGGTGGCCGGGACTCTGCTGCCACGCCAGGACGGGCCGCGCCGGGCCCCCAGGCTGTCCCAGCCCGCCCGGAAGTGTGAGCGGTGGGCGAGGTGGACAGCGGCACAGAGCACTGGAGCTCCCAGGCTTCCTGGGGACGAGTGGTCTGGGCAGGAGTGGTCCTGTCCAGAGGTTTGGATGTAACTTATTTTTTTAAAGAACCTGTTGCACATTTTTATCAGTGGGAAGCTGGACTCTAGCGCCCCCCACACACAAACACGCACAGACGCGCACACACAATATCTTTCCGCCAGCGGGAGCAAGGGACAGTGACTGTCTCCCGGAGTCTGGCTGATGGGGAAGCTGTGAGGTTTGGGTCGGCTCTGAGCTGGCCCGCAGGCCTGGGCTTGCATCTGCCAGCCCCCGAATGTGGGTCATGGGCGGCCGAGGGGCCCGTGTCGGCTCCGACCAGGCTGTCCCTGAGCACGTCTGCTCGGCCCAGGCCGGCACCCCCGTTTTTGTAAATAAAGTGTCATTGAAACACAGCTCGACGCGTTGGATCTGGAAAGGCAGCGCGGCAGGGTTGGCCCCTGTTTCCGGGGGCCGTGAGACAGCACCGGCCTCCGAAGAGCTTCGTCTGGGTCTCCCGGGCCTTGGCTGTTCACCTGTCACAGCCGTGATCTCATGCGCCATTGCAGGGTTTGATCGTTGGTGATCTCAGGTGTGGCCGTCAGCATGAGTTACGACCTCAGATGTCAGTACTGAGTTGGACCCGTTGTTAGCACTGGGTTAGAGCAACTGATCTCAGGTGTCATCTGTTGCCAGCGCTGGGTCAAATCAGCTGTGATCTTGTGGTCCACTGTCAGAGCTGGGTCGGATCAGCTGTGGTCTCAACGTTGTCACTGTCAGAGCCTGTTTCAGATCAGCCGTGATCTCATGTGATCCACCGTCAGAGCTGGGTCAGATCAGCCGTGGTCTCGTGTTGTCCAGGGCTGGCATGTGCCTCTGTGGGTCCTCCTGACACTGAGCAGGGTCGGGGGGCAGAGCTTCTCTTCCTGGCAACTCCCCTGTGGCTGGGAAATGTCCGTCTTCTTCAGGGTGTCTTGTGGGGGTGCAGTGGGGGGTTGGGGCCACACCCAGCAGTGCTGGGGTTGGAGAGGGGGTGCTCAGGGCAGTGCCGAGGATGGCACCAGGATCAGACACATGCTGGGCCCTCAGCCCTGCACTGTCTCGTCCCCGGTGGTAAGAGCTGGGATGTGGTCACGGGTGGGTCGGGCGAAGAAGTGGAACTGGAGAGCAGAGGCTTGAAGAGACTGACCCAGCCGCCTTCAGTGGCTCAGGGGATGTCGGAGCCGCCATGACTGGCCCTGTCGTGGTCCTGGCAGAGAGACTCGTACCCACCCGCGGCCCTGGTGAGACCAGGAGGGTCCCGCCTGGTTCACGGGGCAGAGGTGATGGAGGGACGGGAGGAGAGGACCCGCTTCAGAACAGCATTGGGCATCTGCCCCTGCAGTCAGCCTGGTGCAGTGCCCACACTTGGTTTGGGGCCATACCCGGTGGTGCTCAGGCCCTACTCCTGGCGCTGTGCTCAGGGGTCACTCACTCCTGATGGGACTTGGGAGACCACCTGCAGAGCTGGGAGCAAACCTGGGTCTGCTGGGCTGTGGCTCCGCCCAGTGTCCATCTCTGGTCACCCCAGCCCCCCACGCAGGGAGGGTGCAGGGTGGAATGGGGTGGGAGCCTAGTGGTCTATGGCCAGTTGGTAGGGTTCCCATGGAGTGCCAGGGGACGGCAGCCCCCTCGGGGGTGTGCAGGTGCGTGACCGGGGGTTATTCAGGGGAGTCACTGCGGGTATTCTGCTGACCACCTCTCTGCCTCTGATAGAGTTGCTGACTCCTATTCAGGCTCCGTGGCCACAGTTGGGGTCAGGGCTGGTGTTGGCCTCGCATGAGAAGAGCTCAGCCGACACTGAGCCCTTCCTTGGAGGGGTCGCACTCAGTGGCGGGAGAAACAGACTCTCCACGTCGGTCGTCGGTCCTCGTCCCCTGTCATTTGGAATCGGGGGGTGGGATCAGGGGGTCTTCACTGAGTAAGACACTACCCACTGGGAGCACAATCCTCGTGGCTGCCCACGTATCACTGGCCGAGAGGTGTTACAAGAGATTAACCCCAAAGCTCATGTTTTACTGGGGAAAAACACACAGTACACGTTAGAATTGAATCTAAAGGGGCGGGCATGGGTGGGCAGGGGCTGGGGGCACTTCTAGGTGCTTGGGGAAGAGGGTGGCCGGGGGTGGGCCATGAACAGACCTTACAGAGACGTGGAAGTATGCAAAAAATAAAAGGGAAGGTGAAGAAGCAGGCGCTGTGGCCAGCTCCTCCCGGTCAGCTCGTTCTGGAGAGAAGCGGTTCTCCAGAACCACAGTGCTCGGTTCTGCGGGGCCTGGTGTGCTGGGAGCGTCCCGACACGCATGAAGCCCCGGGGTCTGCTCGGACACGCGGGACTGTCTGTCCTCCTCTGCAGAGGCCACGGCCTCGGAGCACGGGGAAGGGGGCCAGCCCCCAGAGCCCCGGCACGGTCACTGTTGCCCACCAGGGGCACGAGGGGACCCAGTCCCCGGGAGTCTCACTCCTCATCGGAGCAGTTCAGCAGGGCCGTCTGGTACGTGTGGTCCGACTTCAGCTTCTGAATCCCGATAATTTCTCCTCGCTGATGCTTTGACCGAGACACGAACCTGGGAGGAGGGAAGAGGGAGCACTGCCGTGACCGGCCCCGCCCGCCAGAGGCTCTTGCTCTCACCCCCACGTCATGCTCTCACTCCACCTCCAACCCTGTGTCTCCAGGAAGTGCCATCGGCAGCCCACAGCCATCGGGGACACAGGGACCCTCCGCCAATGTCCCTGGGGCTGAGTGTGCATCCCTGTTTCACTGGCCGGGCAGTGGGGATCAGAGAATCGAATCTCTTCCCTTGGGCTTTGTGGGGGGCGCTGAGGCACGGGGTGATGGCGGAACTCCTGTCCCCACATGCAGAAAGCTTTCTCACACGTGTTTGAGTCTGGGGGTTGGGTGGGTGACGTGTCTGTAGTTTTGTAATTTTGGGCTTGCTTTGGGGCACACCCAGCAGGGCTCACTCCCAGCTCTGTGCTCAGGGATCACTCCTGGCGGGCTCTGGGGACCCTGTGGGATGTGGGGATTGGGCACAGGTCAGCCACGTGCAGGACAAGCGCTCTTCCCGCTGTGCTATCACTCCAGTCCGCATTGCAGTTTTTGCGGTTTGTGGTTCTGGAGGTGAGGCCCAGATGCTCTGCCCCCGAGCCATGTTCCTGGGCCCTGGGTGACAGATCGTTCAGTGCCTCAGTGTTTCCTCCGTTAAGTTCGTCTCCTAAAGCAACGGGTGCCTGTGCTCTGTGTAGGAAGGACCAGCTGTTCCTGTTTTGGCTTGGGGGCCTCGCCCTACAGTGCTCAGGGGCTCTCTCTGGCTCTGAGCACAGAAGTGAGCCCTGGCAGGGCTTAAGGGACCCTATGGCAGCTGGTAAGCGGGTGCCGTCTGTCCAGCCCCAGGATTAGCTCTGGTGTTGGCATCTGAGTTGCACTTACGGCTACAGCGGGTTACTGGTCACCCCCACAGCTGGGCCTCGGGGGCACCCAGACCAAAGGCAAGGGGGTTGGAAGGGGTGAGGGGTGAGTGCAGGGCAGAGACTGCCACAAGCCTGGCCAGTGTTTCCCACTGAGCACCTGCCCTGACCAAACTGACCAGTGGCCAGCCAGGCCCTTGAACATCTTCACTGGGAAAATGACATTTGCTCTGGGATGGACATCAGTGGCGGAACTTAGCCCTGCTCAGGGGGCCAGTGCGATAGCACTGGGGGTAGGGGGCTTGCCTGCCATGTATCCGACCCAGGTTTGATCCCCGGCATCCTGTAGGGTCCCTCGAGCACCGCCAGGAGTGATCCCTGAGCGCAGAGCCAGGAGTAACCCCTGAGCACCACCAGAACAAAAGAAGTTAACGCTGCTCAGTTAACTTGGGATGACGGGAGCTGGGGTTGATGCGGAGGAGGAAGGGGACAGTGGTGGCCTCAGACATACCAGTAGACGAGCCCGTAGCTGGTGGCCACGATGCCCATGGCGGCCAGGTAGTGCCAGCAGAAACACATGGTGATGAACATGACGTTGTCGTGGCTCTGCAGGTCCCAGCTCGGAGCCCCCGAGGGCGGGTACAGCACAAACCCGATCTGGAGGGACAGACACGCGGGACTGCCCGGGGAGCCACGGCTCCTCCCAGGGAGACCTCTGCCCGAGAGCTGCTGTGCCCGCCCCAGGTCACGTGGCGCATGTGCAGGGACCATCGGGGCGCAGCGCCCGCAGACCCGTGACCTGCATGTCTGCTGGGCGCCCTTGGGACCCCTGTTCCACGCGGGGGGGGGGGGCTGGGGGAGGCCGAGTCACTGACCTGCCAGAACCAGGTGCCCTGCAGGATGACGAGGCTGGTGCGGAAGAGCTCCAGGACCACGTTGTCCCGCAGCACCACCTCCACGGACAAGGACACGGTCCCCGCGAACACGGCGCTCAGCAGCAGCGAGTGGATGTGCTGGTCCAGCGGCGGCCGGTGGTGGACGTGGTAGTAGAAGAGGAAGCCTGTGCGGGGCGGAAGGCCAGGGCCTGGGGGCCGCGCAGTGGACACGCGCCCGTCCCTGTCGGTGTCACTGGGCCTGGGTGTCAGAGGGTGGCCTAGGGGATGAGCGTCCCTGGGAGGAGTAGATGTCACCAGGGGATGGGTGTCTCTGGGAGATGGGCATCACAAGGGGATGGGTGTCATGGGGGGGGGGGGGGGGAATTGGGTGTCACTGAGGAGATGGGCATCATGGGAATGGGTGTCACTGGGGGAGGTGGGCGTCAAGGGAAGACAGGTGTCACAGGGGAATGGGTGCCACTCAGGAGGATGGGTGACACAGGGAGATGGGTATCACTGGGGGATGGGCATGACAGGATGGGTGTCACTGGGGAATGGGTGTCCCTGAGGTTCAGTGTCACTCGAAGAATCAGTGTCTGTCTCGTAGCCCCTCCACAGTGCAGGGGACCCTCCCAGAAGGTCGCCTCCTAGGTGCCGTGTGTCTCCGGCACCCAGGGCCCCCATAGACCTGCCTTCCAGCCTGACCCGAGTTACCTTCAGCGAAGGCGGCCACGGCCATGACCAGCCTGTCGATGCCCCGGGGGATGTGGGCGTAGACGGCCGTCAGCAGGTCCGTGACGCCCGACACGGCGAAGAAGAGGTACATGGTGCTGTGCTGCCAGTTCATCAGCTTCACCCAGTCGTCCCCGCGCAGCAGGTGCAGGTGGGGCCCGTCGGGGACAAACTGCTCGGCCAGAATCCCTGCGGGAAGGGGGGCGGGAGTCCATGCGCAGCCCGCTCGGTCGGCAGAGCCCAGCGGTGGGGGCGGCTGCCGGCTCTGAGTTCCCCTGCGGGCAGAGGCAGCGCTGCCATCTGGAGCCCTCGGGTCCCCCTGCGCAGTTCCGAGGGGGACTGGGAGGAAGCAGCGGGCCGGAAAGCAGAGGAGCCTGGCGGGGACAGGCTGGTGCGGGGCGACTCAGGCCCCCGCGGAGGGTAGGGGCAGGAGGGGGGCCCAGGGCAGGGCCCGCGGGAGGCAAAGTTTTTGTCTCCCCGTTCCGTTTCCCGGGGGAGCCATCCTTAGAGGAGAGCCACCCGCTAGGGGAACCACCTTTAGGTTCAGTGTCAGGGCGGTTTCAGGGACCAATCTTCCCCCATCCCTGACAAGATTCAGGTCCCAGGTTCCCCAACTCCAGCCCAGTCCCCCAGCCCCACCTCCCAACCAGCCCCCCCCACACACGCACACACATACACTCACATACACTCACACACAGTCACACCGCTCACATACAGTCACACAACATACACACACACAGTCACACACACCACTCACACATTCACACACGCCCACATATACTCACACACATAGTCCATACACACATACACACACATTCACACATTCACAGTCACACACACCACTCACATTCACACACACACCACTCACACACAACCACACACCACTCACACATTCACACACACACACATACACACACACCCCACACACATACTGTCACTGTCCTCACACTGTTCATCGATTTACTCGAGCGGGCCCAGTAACGTCTCCATTGTGAGACTTGTTACTGTGTTTGGCATATCGAATACGTCACGAGTAGCTTGCCAGGCTTTGCCGTGCAGGCGAGATACTCTCGGTAGCTTGCTGGGCTCTCCGAGAGGGGCAGAGGAATTGAACCCGGCTCGGCTGGGCTGGTCACGCACAAAGCAAATGCCCTACCGCTGTGCTGTACACTCACACACAGTCACACATTCACACTCACCCACATACACTTCCACGTACATTCACACACAGTCACACACATACATACATTCACACAGAGAACACACTCATACATACATTCAGACGTACACTCACACTCACAACATGGAGTTGGTGAGAAGAGGGCAGAGAAAGGGTGACCTGGGGCTCTTCGGGCAGCGCAGCAAGGGGACTGTAGAATGTCCCCATCAGGTGTTCTGACACCTGGCCACGGCCTTGAAGGTCGCTGTTGCACCCGGCAGAGACTGAGGATGGGAACACAGAGAGGTACAGTTGACCTGGGACAGCGCCGTGTGACAGTGAAGCACTCGGGCAGTGCCTGAGGTGTGGCCACTGTCCTTCATGCCCAACACAGCCCTCTTCCTGCCCCGACGCTCCGGCCGTGCTGGGCACTGCTCTGTTCTCCTTTGCCCCAGATGGCGCCGAGTCCCCTGGCGACCTGTCCTGGTGCGTGAAGGCCCCCAGACCCCCTCACTCGCTGCCACCGGCTCTGCCCACTGGACTGACTGGGCCTTTGCCAGCTCAGCCCGTCCAGCTCGTCCCGCCTGGCCCCATCTGCCAGTTGATGACACTCGTGCCCCTGACCTGGTTTTCAGCAAGCTCCCACAGAGCCATGCCTGCTGCATTAACCAGCTCTCCCGTTTTCTCCTTTTGTGCGTGTGTGTGTGTGTGTGTATGTTTGTGGTGGTGGTGGTGGGGGGGTTGCCATACCTCAGTGGTGCTCAGGGATCGTGCCCAGAGCTGCTGGGGGGTGGGGGGTGGACCATGCAGTGTGGGGTGGGCGGTAAGTAATGCCTCCCCCTCTCTCTGGCCCTTTTCCAGGATTTTGTAAGCCATGGGAGCTGTGTGACGAGGAAGCCTTTCTGTTGCCCAGGTGGCTGGTAGAGGGGCGGTTGGGCCGGACCGAGCCAGCCAGCTTCTTCCACATCCTTCCTGAGGAGCTGCTGTTCTCCTCTGGGGAAGCCCAGGGAAGGGGACAGGTGGTGACAGGCAGAGACGCCTGCCTGCACGGGCCTGGCTGCGGAAGGGCGCAGTGCCACACGGCTTGGGCTGGTGCCAAGGAACAAGGGATCTGGCGGGTTATCTCAGAAGGTGCCCAGGGCGGACTCCTGGCTCTGTGCTCAGAGCTCATGCTGGCAGGGCTCCAGGGACCTACAGGGCGGTGGAGACCAAACCCAGGGCAGCCCCATGCAAGGCAAGGCCCTCCCCACTCTTCGAATTGCTCCAGTCCTCCTGGGAGTGTTTTCATCACTCACAACGCTTGGCTTCTGCATGTCCTTTTAGAAAAATTGTGTTTTGTGTTTCACTTTATTTATAAAGTTTGTCCTTTGTCCCTGAAGCTTAACCCCTGCAGCCTCCGAGGGCAGAGAATGTAACCTGGGGTCATTGCCTCAGTGGACCCTGAGGTCAGGTGTCCTGGCTGCTTGTGTCACGGAACATGGGCAACAGAAGCTGACAGAATAGTCTGGACCAAATGAAACCCCCATTCTCTGCCAGTGGAAACCATTCACCATGTGGGATGCAGGAACAGGACTGAAGTTCCTGCATCTGGGCCAGAGCAGACCTGGCACAGCAGGTCAGCGTTTGCCTTGCGTGTAGCTGACCCTGTCCCATCTCCGGCACCCCAGAGTGTCCCCGAGCCCACCAGGACCGATCCCTGAGTGCAGAGCCAGGTGGAACCCCTGAGCACCGCCAGCCCCCAAGCAAACCACAAAAATAAAGACCTTCGGTCCACCAGGGGTGTCCCCCCACCCCTCCTTCTCACCAATGATGGGGAATACAGTCCTGATGGCGGCTTCAATGACCTCGAGGCGCTGCTGAGCGCGAGCCCCCGGGCCACGCTTCTCCTTCTGGTGGAAGTACTTGAGCGGGTACTTCACCGACCACCACAGCCCCACGATCAGGAAGAAGCTTCCCGGGAGCGCATGCCCCTTGAAGTTCGCCATCGGGGTCCAGACACCTGGGGGATGGGAGACAGCGGTGAGACGGCTGAAGGGAGGCCGCAGAGATGGGTCTGAGGAGGACACCCATTCCGGCGGTGGAAGATCCCACCCAGGTCGCAGGCACCGAGCCCAGAATCCAGTCCTTATCACGAAAGAACATCCTGTCACCTACACTCTGCCACGTGTGCTCCGTGCCAGCAGAATTCCTCTAACCCTCCTATTGTGGAACTGGGTGATATGTGGAAACCAGGAGATGTAAGGGTGGTGGGTTAGAAAAACCTTCCTCGGGGGCCGGAGCGATAGTACAGTGGGGAGGGCGACCCTGGTTCTATCCTCATATGGCCCACCAAGCCCCACCTGGAGTGATGCCTGAGCATAGAGCCAGGAGTAAGCCCTGAGTATTGTCAGGTGTGGGTCTCCCCTTCCCCTCCCCCCTAAATAAGAGGGGAAAAAAATCTTCCTCAACAAAACTAAAGGAAGAAACTAGAAGAAAATTCAATTCCATAAATGGGGGTGGGAGGCTGCTTTGGTTTTGCTTCAGGGTCAGTCACACCTGTGGTGCTTGAGGGATCATTTCCTGATGGTTTGAACCCTGGAACCCCCGATCATTCATTTCCTGATGGTTTGAACCCTGGACCCCCCCCCCCCCCCCCATGCAAAACATGTGCCCTGCCCATTGAACTCTCTCTGGCTCCAAGGCTTTGTTTGATATTTCTTGTTTGTTTGGGGCCACACCCAGAAGTGTTCAGGGCTTGCCCCTGGCTCTTCACTCAGATCACTCCTGACAGGATTTGGGGGACCAGCGAGGGTGCCAGGCATTGAACCTGGGTCAGCCAAGTGCAAGACAAGTGCCTCACCCACCCTAGTATCTCTGTGCCCCCTAACCCCAAGGTATTTATGTACCAAAAACAGCCACTCATGGGCTGGAGAGATAGGACAGTGGGTAGGGTGCTTGCCTTGTATGTACCTGACCTATGTTTGGTCCCCAGCACCCCATGTGGTCTCCCCAGGCCCAACCAGGAGTAATCCCTGAGCAGAGTCTGGAATAAATCCTAGGTACTACCAGGTGAGGCCCCCAAAACAAACAGTAGTGAAAAAAAACCAACGTTCTAGAGAACGTTCCTAGCAGCTGTCCCCACCGGGAGGTGTTTCCTGAGCATAGAGCCAGGAGTAAGCCCTGAGCATTGTTGGGCGTGGGTCCCGCCCCTGCCCCCCAGCCTCAGAAAGAGGGAAAAAAATCTTCTTCAACAAAACTACAGGAGGAAACTAGAAAAAAACATTCATTTACATAAGGAAGGGCTTATGAAACAGACCCTGGATGGTCGGGCAAAAGACAAACTTAATGGCTCCAGGGTGAAATACGACAATTTTCACACTTTCCTCTAAGGAAACTCTATATCATTTTTAGTGGATTATTCATGACAAGCAATACAAAATAAATTATTTAGGTCCTGCTTTGGGGGCAGGCTGGGGGGGGGGTTGGGTGGAAACATTTGAAATATGGTGGAAGGGTGTAATGGTGATGGGATTGGTGTTGGAATCACTGTCACTGTCACTGTCCTCCCGTTGCTCATCGATTTGCTCGAGCGGGCCCAGTAACGTCTCCATCGTGAGACTCGTTACTGTGTTTGGCATATCGAATACGTCATGGGGGGCTTGCCAGGCTCTGCCCTGCGGGCGAGATACTCTCGGTAGTTTAATATTAAATGTAATAAATTATTTTGAACAACTCTACAAATTTTTTTAAGAAAGACAAACACGACTTACAAAATCATAAAGACGGGTCATACCCCTCGCTGCGGTTCAGAGTGTGGATGGTGAGGTCCAGTCTTTCTGTTCCTCATCTGAAAACCGCAGAGCTCGGATGCAGAATCACGCTCCATGTGATTCAAACTTGGGAAAAGACCCCATAGGTGTGCACACAACACATTCGAGAGAGAGGATGGACCTGGAGAAAATCTGGGGCTGCCTGGGCTCGACCACGAGACAGGGTTGGCGGGCGGGGGGGGGAGGCTCGTGGCTGAGACGCAGAGGAGCTGCAGCGGGAAGGTGCTGCCTGCGTGTGGTCAACCCGGGTTCCATCCCATCTGGTCCCCGGGCACCACCAGGAGTGATTCCTGAACTCCTGAGCATCGCCGGGTGTGGCCCCCAAATAAAAAAAAAAAGACTATGGGAGATTGGAGCTGGCAGGGCCTGCCCCAGGGGCACGCTGGGGCATCCACGGGTGAATGAAATCCACCCAAGGGTGTTGTGGAGGTGGGCATGGGCAGGTTCCTTGTTGTCAATATTTGTGTTGGGCTCTGGAGTTCCCAGTTGCCCTGTTTTCCCTGGAGTTTCCCTGAGCACTGAGTGTTCTGCAAGAGAGCCAGCAAAACCATCGGTGTCCATCAGATCACCGTGCTGATGTTCTAACGCTGGCGACCCACTCCCTGGCACCTGTGCCAGCGCCTGCTCAGCGGTCTGCTTGCCATTCCCTTCTCCGACGTCCGACTTTGGACCCTGCCTCTGAGAAGCTGTTTATCTCCTGTACTGGCTTTCCCCTCCGTGCTGACTGTATTTCCAAAAGGCAGCCCCTGCGAGAATTCGCCTGGCTCCTGATACCTTTTCAGAAGTGACTGGTTTCCTCTTTCCGCTGTCCTATACCGGAGACTTGGCACTTTAGAATGGTTTTCGAGCCACTCGGGGCCTGCTCAGGGAGCACTCCTGGAGGTGCTTGCAGGACTATATGGGACACCAGGGATCAAACTGGGGACAGCTTCAGGCAAGACAAGCCTCAATCCCTGAACCAACTCTCTGGCCTCAGTCACAATCACAACCATCCTGTTATTCGTCAATTGCCTCGAGCAGGCCCCAGTAACGTCTCCTTCGTCCTAGCCCTGAGATTTTTTTTAAAACAGTGCCATATTCAAGGCTCTTTCAGAGTTAGGAGAATGAGACCCTTCATTGTTACTGGTATTTGGCATATTGGGTACGCCACGGGGAGTTTGCCAGACTCTGCCGTGTGGGCAGGTTACATTCGGTAGCGTGTCAGGTTGTCCAAAGTAGGAATGAGATGATAAGATGTCTCGCGGCCACATTTGCGGCCGCGCGCTTCCAGGAGCTGGGTTTTATAGTCTCTGAGTCTTGGCCGTTGATGGGATTACATGGCGCCAGGGGGCCAGTTGGTGGGTGTGACCTCATTTCTGGCCTCATTCACTTCATTTTTCAAGAGTTGGGTCTATAGAAAAAGGAGGAAGTTACAGAAGTTTTCCATTGTGGGGTCACCAAGGAAATGAGGGCACTCCTGCTGGAATTCTCAGTGACCTCGGTAATGAATGGTCTCCCCGTGCGCTATTAAGAATGATACCCTGCCCCCCATCAAGTACCATCAAGTACCAAGCCCAATCCCTGTTCTTCTGTGTTGAAACCAATCCACCCACGTGTCCCCTGGCTTACTTGTGGCTCTGTGCTCAGGGACCACTCCTGGCAGTGCTCAGGGGACCTAATGCGGTGCCCCCTGCCCTCACCAAGACCGATCAGCCGCAGTTGCACCCCATCTGCCCCCCAGGACTTGACCGAGCAGAGCTGGGCCGGGGGCTGGAGTCAAGGCGTTGCTCACGGGAAGCCCAGGCCATCCCTGGTTCCTGCGTGAACACAGCACAGCCAGGAGGGACACCCAAGTACAGGGCAGCCAGGTGTGGCCATAAAACTAAGCAACACAAAAGGAAACGCGGTGACGGAGCCAAAGCACAGGGCAGGACACTGCAGCAGCTTCTCAACATCGCCCACCCGTGCCTGCTCCCAGCTCACTGCAGAGGGGGTCTCGACTGTCCAGTTACGCAGTGTGCGGACAGGATCAGCTTCTCTGTGCGGGCATTCCTGGAAACGCTTTTCTTATTTTAACGCCTTTTATGGGGGGTGGGTAGGTGGGTGTTATCTCGGGCCACACCTGGAAGTGCTCAGGGCTTACTCCTGGCTCTGTGCTCAGGGATCACTCTTGACAGTGCTCAGGGGACCCAATGTGGTGCCTGGAATCAAACCAGTGTGGCCACGTGCAAGGCAAGTTCCTTACCCACTGTGCTCTCTCTCCTGCCCTGTGACTCTTTATTGGTCAATCATTTCTTTCTTTCCTTGTTTCTGGGCCACAGCCAGCGATGCTTGGCGCTTACTCCTGCCTCTATGCTCGGGCATCACTGCCGGCAGGCTCAGGAACCATATGGGATGCTCAGGGCTCCCGAACTCAGGAGTTACTCCTGGCAGGGCTTGGGGACCATATTGGGGAGGGCAGGGATCGAATCCTGCTCTGTCCTGTGCCAGACAAATACCATCTCCCCAGCCTCTATTGATCAGTTTTAACTCTCCACTTTTATTTAATGCCTAACATGGATCTTTTTCAAGGTCAGTCCTTGAAAACATACACACACAGACACCATTGTTTTTTTTTTTTTCTGAGCAAACCAGCTTTACAAACCCTCTTTGCCCTTCATTTTTCTGCGAAGCGGAACCTTTAGGTAACTGCGTGTCCTTACCTGCCAACCCCTCACTTGTGGATATACCAAGTGCCAATCTCTACCTTCCCTTTGATCTCACTTAAGATCCACATCGAAAGAAAGATGGCGGCCGCATGGGAGCCTTGTGGACAGCAGGTATGAGCCAGGGGTGTGGGGGCGACAAAAACCTCATGGGAAGTGGGGCGTTCCGGCCCGTCCTTCACGCCCTACCGAGGTCATCAGTTGCCCCCCACGAGCGGCTCTCCGGCACGGCCACAACTCCAGAGCACAGAAACCAATCTCTTAATTATCTGACTTTTAGTAGAAATACTTCCAGGGTTAATAAGTAAAATAGCAGAAATCCAAAACCACGCGGCCGCAATAGTGGCCACGCGACAACATTTAATTCTTGAACCCAGCTGTAGAAAGCAAATCATTTCACAATGCTTTTTCAGCATGTCTGATTGGGGGGGGGGGCGGTAAACTCTAAATAATAATGGTGCATCATTTATCGAAACAATGAATCTAGTCAAA